GGTAGTTGCAAGTTCTAGCAACAGCTTTCTGCTACCTCCGTCCTCAAATATAAAAAATTTTAGAGTTGAATGTGAGTATTAAGAAAGTTAGTGAAATTAAATAGAAGAATATTGTAATTGGTTAAGAAGATGAAGTAAGTAAAAAAATTGAATGATGAAAAGTTGTGATTGGTTGAGAAGAGAATGTAGACGAGAAAATAGTTATATTTTAGAATAAATTTTAAATATTATAAGTTGCTACTACATTTGTCCTAAAATATAAGGATTTTACTCGTATAATTACATAGACAAAGTCTTTTATATAATATAAAGGATGGATATAGTATATTTTAGGAGTACTCTATTCTTTGTGAATTTGGCAGCAGTTGGTTTTCCAGGAGTGTAGGAAGTTGAGACACTAGCGGACAATTGGACGGTTTGTTGGTGACCATATCTTCAGGGCCATGTGAAGTTAAAACTGATGATGTTGTCGAAGAAAAGGACAGAAGCATTGGGATGAGCTTCTGCGTGTCCTGTCTGAACATGACTCAACTGAAGTTACTACTCCTAGCTGATCAATAATAAATCTTTTTATTTTCCATTCACGTTCTGCCAATTTCCTTGCACTGTACTCACAAAATTCAATTCCATCAAAGACAATCGTTAGGATGTTTGTGCCAAACTTCAATTCTGCAGGCGCGGTGTTTCTCTGAAACCACGTCTATCAGACCAAAAAATAAGCTAAAATGCAGCATTGAAAAACATGAATGAAGCAGTGAACTTGGTTATTACGGCCAATTACTATTGATCAGTCTACAAGACTATTTACAACAATAAATACTAGTACTTAATATTCAGTTAGGCAACAGTACTTAATTCCAACAGGCCGTGCTCCCACGTAGTACGTGCGGTACTTGTGTATTATTATCATCATCATGTACATTGAACTGTACATTTGTAGACTGTAGTTCATCATGGGACATCACGATGTATGCACAGTCTTGGCAAAAAAAGAAAGGAGGAGAAGAAGAATAAGGTAGAACACTTGCAACCATTGCACGTTGCTGTGTTTGCTACTACAGTCCTTTTCAGTAATGGTGTGCCTAGAAACTAGCTTATCTTTTATTTGGTGATGACCCATGCAGCCTGTCTGACCTGGACAACAATGTGTTAGTATTAGGGTTAAGTAGGCCGGTAGATGAACCCGATTACAAATGATTTTCTAGATTGATCTACATGTTAAGTTAACTCGCTTAAAATGACTTATAACTGGATTCGTAAGTTAGGTTGTGTTCGCTAGAATGGGTTGGGAACCCATTTCCTGCGCATGAAAAACGGAGCGGTCTATTAGCACGTGATTAACTAAGTATTAGTTATTTTTTTTCAAAAATTGATCAATATAATTTTTTAAGCAACTAAACGCACCGTTTAGCAGTTTGGGAAGCATGCGCGTGGAAAACGAGGCGGAGGGAGTTGGGAACTAGGACTTACAAATAGACCCTTAGTCCGCTTACATCCCTATCCATAAGCTTGTATAATTTACTCTCATAGAATTTGATTCAAGGATTAATTTAGGAGATTTTTCGTCACTTTTGTTTTCCGGGTTTTTTTTTACGTCTAAGAAGATAACTAAATGTACCTAAAATATTTTTAATTAAAATTTTGAATGGAAAATCCACTTTTATTGTAGTTTACATGCTCAAATCAAGAACAGAAGGGCTTGATTGTATGTAAGGATGGACTCGAAATAGGTGAAGAAACAAGATAACTTTAAGAACTATTGAAGGGCGCAGGCAAATCAAGTTTAACAGTCTAAATCTATCAATGGCATGGAGTAACCCAATCATATACAATTGATGAGACTTTTGGTTTTCGATCAGCATGAGTTTGGACAGTGCTTACTTTTCATCCTTTACAGTTTTTTGAACTTTTTGTGGATGCAACGGACACAGTGTTTGTGCGTACAAATTACAGTAATCGCACCGAAAAATTGTTCGATGTCGTGTCCCAAGGGAGCTGCTGAGTCGTTATGCACTGCTCTCTTCTGAGGAAGTGATTGATTTCTATTTGTCCCTTTGCAAATACAGTTAGTTGGTTGTTTTTATGCTTGATTTGATGCAGCCATGACATGCCTGTTGCTGACAAAAGTTGTTACGCAAAATTGTGTTCACCAAATAAATGTCATTGATTATTTAAGTAGCCGGACTTAACTGACATCATGTACTGCTTTCCAATTTCAGATGATGAATCCAGATTTAGGATATTACAGAGTCAAGCATGATTATGTAAAAGATGTTGCAGAGTATTATAGAGCAAGATAGGAATGTACTGAAATTTTATTTCCATTATCAGAACTAGGGGATCTTCCCACACAATTTTGTGCGGGCTAATTGAATTGGATTATTATATAACTTAGCTCCTATTTACTTATATTTAATTATACTTTGTATACAATATATATTAAAAGAATGATTGAATTTACTATACAACTCTTATTTGCTAGTCTATATATACAATTGTACTCTGTATACGACTATTTGCTATCAACCACACCGTTATAATTTGGTCCTATCACAATCTAACAACGTGGATTTTGTTTTTTTTTCTCCGATTAATATGAGAGTTTCTAGCATGCGGATTGAATGTGGTGCCTTCTTTTTTTAAGCTATCTTGATAGGAAAAATATGTAGTGAAAATCACATATGCAGTAGAAACTTGAAAACTACTGCTGGATGAAAAATGGATGTCTAAAATTCATCCATGTCACCATGATGAGTAAATCTACGAGTAAAATTTTTACTCATGAGGACGTGGACGAATCTCAGACATCCATTTTTCGATCCAAAGGTAGTTTCCAGGTTTCCACTGCATATGTAATTTTCACCATATATTTTCCCATCTTGATAATATAATATAGTAGATAGATAGATAGATAGATGAATTCCGCGTTATTAAAATTGTTTTTTTCAGAAACGTTGTTAGAATTGTTATTTTTTATTAGGGTGCTAAACTGCTAATGTGTTATTATATTAAAAAAATTCAAATTGCACCTCAGACCATAAACTGTGAAACGACATGTGCATTTGTGAATAACACGGGCTGTTCACGAAATTGAAGATTGAACATAGAATACAAAGCAATAAGTCCATGAAAGCAAAAGAGCCAGCTAAACACGGTTATATAGTTATCTGAAAGCTACAATCTGACCAAAATGTATTGGGGGATAAAGATGTACAATGGTGATGTGAATAACACAAAGCATGGCTCAGCCGACTATTCTCAGTTAATGTGACCTAATTGCAAAATCAAAGATGATGTGCTATCTTGCACAAGAAACATTTTGGAAGAAGACAATGCAGAATCGGCCGGGGCCGGATAATTAAGAATCTGCGTAATCAATCGCTGAAAGATATCAAGTTGAAGGATCCACCGAAACACGGCTAGTTAATTACTTTCTGAAAGCTACTCAAGTACTCTGTGGAGGATGCCACTGACAGGGCATGGGCAAAATTAAATTTCTAACAACTGATGCCAAATTGCCAGTCACAAGTAGAAGTAAAAAAGGAGATTTGGAGGAGGAGATGTCTCTCTAAACTTTTTTTTTTAAAAAAAAAAGAAATTATGAAACCACGCACCTCTTGCCACTGCACTTGAGTAATTTTTTGAATTCAAAATATAACTTTCGCGACGTACAAATATCTAATGGTAAATGTTTATAGACCTAAGAGAAGGGTAATGTTATATATGGAACTTTTATTTTTCTGGAACAAATATGAAAATTATTATTTTGATGTTTTCAGTGCAAAAAATTTGGCAATATTGATACCCAAAATACAGAAAAGTCCAATGGTACGCATCCTAAAATATCACTATTCTCGACAAGTGGACACTCTTTAAGACGTACGGCGCGTGCGTACAGATGGAATTTTTCTACTGTTGAGCATTTCTTAGCTAGGATCATGCTACTTGTGTTGTTGATCAGATCACCTCATCATCCCCACTTTGTTTGATTTATTGATGGAGTGATTACATCCTATTAGGCTACTGTTAGTAGATAACACCCTATCTGACAGTCTAACACGGATTAGATAGCAACGGCCTCAAAAGGACATTTCTCCAAGAAACAGAAAAGATCTCCAGCACTAGGAATATCCTACCGTATCAGGACTCAATTTATGTGCTTCAGTCTTTTTCCTTATTTTCTTCTTTTAAAAACATATATACGATATTTGTAACATTGGCAAATTTCGGTACTGAATGTACCGTGATGGATAGAAGTTGGGAAATGAAGAAAAGCTACCTAACTTGTCTTGAATATGAAGTGCCTTTTTGTGTTTCATCACCAACAAAAATATTCTAAAGTTTTGTTTCTATTAGCCTAGCAGTATAATAGGAATCAATTTGAATTTTTTGCGTAGATTACCCATTGTGACATTTTTTAGATTTTGCGTACGTTGATGAGGCATAATTATTGCCAATGCTGTTTCTGGAGGTACTCACCGATGCTGACATTTCAGTTATAGAGTACAGAACATGTAATAAGATCTACCTAATAATCGATCAGAAGCGTTCAGATCAGGTAGATCTTGCATTCAGATTAATCTGGAAAAATTAGTCAAAATAGTATGGAGATTAAATCAGGAACCATGCTATGAGTCCAACCGATTCTTGTTTGTTGGTGGCGACATTTAATTTGGGCGATGTTGATTGCTATTGCTAGCTCACTTGTGATTACGTTAGCTTTTCATCAAAGCATCAACGTATCAATTAAGTATCAATTGAATATTCACAGCATCACATTAGCTGTCTGAAGATTATGCAAGACCTGAATCGAATTTAAGTTTGCCTGAAATTATGTGCATTGGTTTCTCTTAATTCAGGAAGCTTGAAACTAGTTTTACAGCCATTGCATAGAACTTTCTGACCCAAGAGGTCTCAACTGTATCAACAGGACATTCCAAATCACAGTTCAAATCTAAAAACATAGTCCATTCTTTGTTATCCCAGTTGGCAGACACGTATTGTCAATTGGCCAACAAATTCCTTTATAATAGCATGAATCTAGTTCAGTATTTTTCCAGAAGAAATGACCAAAGTACAAACTGTTCAGTCACAATTATAGTACTAAACTTACAGTGTCCGACACCGATTATATATCCCATCCCAATGCACTTCAAATTGCATTATATGCAGAACACGTCAAGTAAGCAATCAAGCAATAATGAACTTCCAAAAACGGAGTCAAGCAATCATCATACAATTAGTAGCAAGCAACGTAAATTCAACACCAAACTTCCTCCAAAAATTAAAATCCATTTCGTCTTAAAGATGATATTGAATTTGGCCATGTTTTTGGTTGCCCAAGTAATATGAATAGGCTATTTTGACTCAGGTTCACCACGCTGTAGACTGTTGCTTGAGCAGCAAAAGGAAAATGCTTTGGGCCCTCTTTAGATCCCATCCCAAAACTTTACACCCTGTCACATCAAACGTTTGAACACCTGCATGAAGTATTAAACATAGGCTAAAAAATAACTAATTGCATAGATTGCGACTAATTTTGGAGATGAATCTTTTAAGCCTAATTGCTCCATGTTTTGATAATGTGGTGCTACAGTAAACATTTGCTAATGACTGATTAATTAGGCTTAATAAATTCGTCTCGCGGTTTACTAACGTATTCTGTAATTAGTTTTTTTATTAGTGTCCGAAGACCCCATGCGACACCCTATATAATATCCGATGTGACACGCCAAAACTTTACACCCCTGGATCTAAACACCCATGTGCTGCATAACCACCCCTTGTCTCAAGGCCACTGAGTGAGTGAGTGAGTAACCTTGCTAGCTCATAACCATCCATCCATTTAAGAGCCCAAAATTGCAGATATGAGCAGAGCAATGGATGAGGAGGAGGAGCACACATGCAGGCAGGATTGCAGGAGAAAAACGAAGGCCTCTATGAATGTGGGGCCCACGCCATCGCCCAATGGTCAAGCCCCTATGACTTTTTCATTGCTGCATAATAAACTGATGGTGATGATGATGGTATGATCAACCACACTGGCATCATAGCAATCCTGGGGTATGATGTTGTGGTTGGTTGGTCCATACATCACACACAAAGCCCCACACATGATAAAAAAAAAGTTATTTGGCGTATAGAGGAGCTATCTAACCTACTCTTACTTGGATTTCAGTCAGGAGCTTTGATTATTGTATGAGAGGAAGAATATGTGCCAGGCTGAAGGAATTTCCTACATAGAAATTGTACCACCAGATTGGATTTAAGTTATTGGATCTCCTTAAGCCTGCCCAGGGTATACCCGTCCGAATGGTCGAATTTCGGGCGAATATCGTAACAAACGGTGATAGATCCAAATCCGTAGTAGAGCGACTCTTATTAGGAAGATAAGAGCTGCATCAAAAGAACCCTGCAGCGCGAAAACCCACTTAATTAGATAGATGCATAGAGTGGACACAAGTGTGGGGCAGTGCATGCCAAAAGAGACGGTGGCCGCCGGTGAGACGCCACCGGGCAGGCCGGCCGGCCGGCCGGCCAATTAGTGCCCGCTTCCGTAGGGTACTTGTGCAACAATAATTGAAGAGGGCTTTGCCCCAGACTACAGTGTGTTCTACGCTAATAAGCAGGCAAGCAGTGATTGCCCAACTGATCACATAGCGGATCATATCACCGGAAAAGAATTTGGAGAGGGATAGCTCATTGGAGGAGCCTCACATTCTCCCTTTTCTTTCTTTGTTTCTTTCTTTCTTTCATTCTTGAGGGACTCTGAATCTGAGAGATACTGTGATGGCACGGCGTCGGTCAGCCATCAATGGCAACCCAAATAGGTTGGGATTGGTTGGGTCCAACTCCGGTCTGGTCTGGTCTAACACTTGCTCTGCTACCAAACCCCTTCTTCCATCAGCAGCAGCAGCTCTAACTACGTGTCTGCAAGGTGTGTGACATGTGTACAGTGTTGCTCGCACTTGGCACCTACCTGGCTACCTACAATGAACTGCACGAGTGGCTGACATGTGGGCCCCACCTACACGCGGGTCCTAGATACAGGTGAGCTATGTGAAATGAACACAAGCCGTAAAATACTGTAAAATTCATAAGAGACACCACCAGTTTGTCACCAAACAAAATGAAGGGTAGTACTTGCAGCTACTTGGTAGTGTCCAAATTGGTTAAGGACGAAGTATATGGTTGGGTTGTTGTCTTGTTGATGTGACCATGCCATGCGATTAAGCATGCGAACCAGCACATGACAAGTGTAAACAAAGCCAAAGCCGTGAGTGCCTGTCAAGAAGATGTCTTTCGAGTCAGAAACCCAAAATGCAGGAGGCCGTGGCATGGGGACCTAATTGTGGTGGCTAACAGATGTGTGCATTGATGAGAGTGTTTATACCAGCCCTGAACTAGTACGGGTAGCTCTTATAGTTATATATTGTGCATATTATATATGCACACCGTTTTCCTACCAGAAACGAATGCTCCAAACAGTGCATTTCTAGTTTTCCAGCCAGTACTCTAACGTCCATTAATATGAGCTGATAGTGCATGCATTGCATAAGGAATTAAATGGGAAAGTAGGCACCTGTTTCAGGGCTTCTGGCTGATTTCATCCTACCAAGTTACAGCATTGGATTGTGTAAGGTGTTCACAGTGCAATGCCTCGTTATTTTGGTTTTAAACATATACAGGCGCCTCAAGGTTTGGTGGGCGTCTTGTAGCAACAAATTCCATTTCGCATTCACGGGAATGGGCAAAGGACAGTAGGTACAGGCAGAATATATATATCTCATTGGAGCTATCTAAATTATCACTCGGGTCACTTCACTCAATGGCACGTCCATTTTCACAAGTAAACACAGAAACAACACCCTCCAATCATATTATACTCCATTAGCCAATCAACTTTTAGCTAAGATTTCCCTACCTTGCATCAAGAGAGAACCCTACAAAAAGAAAAGGAGAATGGTGCTGCCCTAAATTCCTTTCATTCTGAGAAGGTGAAACAGAGCTAGGGTTTTCATACTTCTGAAATCTACTAGATTTGGTCCCTTGGAGCTATCACTTCTTTGTTGCTAAGTTAAGGTCTGGACCCTTTGGCTATAACTAGCTAGAAGAAACAGGACAGAGTCTTTTTCGATGTATCTTTTACTGGTTAAAGATTGTTCAGTGATGAATCAGTGCTGCCGACTTCTCTTTCCCCTTATCTGATCTCAGCTAAAAGCATCTACCTTAGTTGGCACTCCCATCATGGCTATAAAAATCGAGTAGCTAGTCCACACGTTTTGTATATTCACTATGTTTGTTCTTGCTGTATTTAGCAGTTGTGATGAGAAAGTACATCGATTTCAGCAAGTACCTAACACATATGGGGTGGGAAGTAGACAGCCGGATAATAGCAGAGGGAAACAGGAATAACAGACAATAAACAGCTATCATCTGAGAATGGCTAGCAATTAAACAGGAATAACAGACGATATGCAGCTCTCATCTGAGAATGGCTAGGTCAATGGGCCACTGAATAGTGGCCTGGTTCGTTAATAGTACCAACCTAGATTAATTGGGGGCCTGTTGATAGCAATAGGAGGTTATGACGAGACAAAGATGCGAACTGACTGGCACTGTTTGCTTGTGTTGGGTTAAGGCCCATATGATCCTCATATACTCCCTCTATCCCATAATATAAGGCGCGGTCTCCAAAACTAATATTTAGCTTATAATTTATCATATACTGTAAGGTTTGTAGTAGCAAAATTGTAACCATATGAAAGGAAATTTAAATCTCAATCTAATAATATAATTTTTAATAAATAAAATAAATTTTATATTATACTAAGTATTGGTCAAATGTTTTAAAAGTTAAATCTTGAAATGGGTGTGCGCCTTATATTATGGGATGGAGGGAGTAAAAGATTCAATGGTTACACACACTCACTTAGTTAGCAACAAATAGCTATCCTTTCAATCTATATATTTAGAGTGCCAAGATCATTTCAAGCTCAAAAGTTCTAAATTCTTTCCTCCAGCTTTTGTTTCTCGATTATTGCCTGGCCAATATTATGTTCTCTTTTGGCATCGACCTATGAAGGTTAACTATTTGCTATTTGGAAGTGGAACTGTAGAAGGCCTACCGATGGACCAGATTTAAAAGGTTAAGAAATAAACCGATATCCATTCCAATTCCCAAATCTATCTATTATATTATAAAGATAACTTGAAAATAAGACGCCACATTCGCTTTGGAGGCTAAAAATTCTCATATCAATAAGAGAAAAGGAGAAAGGTATTTTCTGTCCAATCATGATATATCTAAATTATAATGGTGTAGATCGATTGATATAGTTATATGAAAATATGATTATATTTATGGAAACCAAAGCTAAGAGATGTACATCCAATCGTGCTTTAAAAAAAATGTTGTGTAGAAAATATAATCGTATCTAAGAAAAAAAAATATGCTAAGAGTTGTATATCAAAACCACTAATCTAATTTTATTTGCAAATCTATTGTATATAAATTATAAGTGCATCTACAGAAACAAAAGCTAAGAGTTGTATATCAAATTTGATTGGGCTTTTAAAATCTATCACCGTGCAAAATTGAGTGGGGGAAATCTCCTAGTTAATTCTAAAAGGTAGCTAATCAGGATATGAGGCAATGTGATTATGCAGAAGTTAACCAATCGGTAAAGGACATAAAAGCCTTAATTCGGTTTTGCCACTACCAGTTATGCCAAATCAGAAACTATAATTAACTGGAGAGATGAGGTGCGGTGTAAGGCTTAATGGGTGGAATGAGGTGTGGAACGGTGGAACACGTCAATAAGTCATACCACAATCCCTACGCATCATTTATCTCATATTCCTCTGGCTTTACAAAGAACTCTATATAAGCAATTCGGCTTGGCTGTTGAGCCCCTCCAGCAACATTACGGAAGTTCTGCATACCTGGCCTTGCAACTGAAACCAGGTGCTGGATTTTAAGCATCCCACCCCTACCAATTGTCACCTTGCTCCCACGATTCTCCTTCACAATACTGTTTGGGAAATTCGAAGTTGTTGCACGAAGAAATTTGTACTTATACCTTGCAGAAAACAGAATAGTTAGCACAAAGCAGCAAACGGTCAGAGATTCAGAACTTTTTAAACAGCAGAGTTTACCTGTATGATGTTTCATGGTCACATTGGAATGCAATGAGAAGATCTGTATTTGCATAGTAGGGGAACTCAATCTGCCCAATGGTGTAGCCAGCAGTGAGTCAGGGATTCAATGTGAAGCCAAGTAACGAATAGAAACAAACTTATCGTACCTGCAAGTCACCATGACCTTCACCTTTGAATAGTACCGAAGGGGGGTCTGGTTGCATTTGAATCTGAATGCTGGAACCTGGCCACTCAAGGTCCTCGATCGATTCTTTCAGGACAGCAGACTATAAAATTGAAGAGGGTGAATCATACTGTGCATAAAAGTTAAAGCTTCTATTGATGCATACTGCCACCAAATAAACAGAGGAAGTACTTGGAGTACCTTGACAGTAAAAGTGACTGGTGTATTCCCAGCATGCTCAAAATGGTAATCCCAGGAGATTGTATCTGGAATCCTGGTTCTAATTTCTGCATACATACATGAATCTGGGGAGCCCACTGACCTGCACCCAAATTACAAGACTCCGGCTTATAAGAAAAGGATGACAAATAACTCCTGACGTTATGTTGCTCTCTATTTTACATTACTCAGGTTACATTGTCAAGCATTTGGTTCAGCATCTTATGCTGAAGCTGAACAAAAGAGCTTGAATCTTTTTTTCAAGGATGAGATGGTACTATGATTAATTTGAAAAGTAAGATTCATTAATCTCCTTATAAAATGTAATGCCCAGATAGTTTTAAAATTTGATCTGAACATGAATTTCACATGAATTACACCTCTATAAACTGGTACATAATAACAGCCACAAAACCCCATCGAATTGCATGTATAATCCATTCCAAGTATGAATTATGAACAAGCCATTTACCCACCACAGTTTGCAAAGGTATGCTGAGTTACATGGTCGGATTATGACAGGACAATAATTCCAAGTAATTAATCAGATTATACACGTACTTGAGAAGAAGCTGCATATCAGGCCCAGGGTAGCGGATCTCGACAGGAGAGGAGTGCCCCGGGGCCGAGAACGTGTTGAGGCAATCGACGAGGAGCCCCAGGCTGAGGCCAAACCGCGGCCGCCCCTCTGCCGCGTACTCATATTCCATGAACAGCTGCAGCACACGACCCCCAAACAAAAAATTCAACGCACAAGCGCCGCGAGGCATTAACACAAACACCTGACGGGCGCACCAAACTCACCTCACGCTTGAGGTAGACCTTGGCCTGGAGGCAGCCACTCTCCTCGACGATGAGCACGATGCCGTGCTCCGACAGCTCCAGCACCGCGTCCTGCACGCCACGGGGGAGGGGGAAATGCGGCCTCAGATCGGGGCAGATCTGTTCATGGATGCAGGTCGGGGAGGCGAGAGAGGTAGCGCACCTGGTGGCGCTTCCAGCGGACGCAGGAGAGCGCGTCGACCATGCCGTGGACGCAGTCGATCTGGCAGACGAGGTCCGGCGCCTCGTCGTCGCGGGCGGACGTCGACGAGCTCATCTCCGCGCCGCCGCCGCCGCCGCTCGCCGCCCGCCTCTACGGTTTCGCGCCCTCTTTCGCTGCCTTTCCGCGGCTATTCCCGCGCGCGGGAGCGTGCCGCGGTTATAATGGCCCAGAGTAGTAGCTGGGCCGCGCAAACTAAAATAGAAAATGGGCCTAATCTTGTGAGTTCTGCGTAGGTAGTAAGTCTATTTTGTTCCCCTCAGCTCTTGTCCTGTCGAATCACATCCCTCAATCAGAAAACCAGCCCAACTTATTCTTACTGCGTAGGCTTTGTATGAATTGGACAGGCTGAGATATAAGGGCCTGATTCCAACTCAAGTCGAGATAGATTTGGTACATGGAAAAAGTACACCGAAGGTCCCTTGACTTGTCATCGGATACAAAAACATCCTCGAACCGCAAAACCAGATATGCGGGGTCCCTTAACTACATAAAACCGGTCACCCGAGATCCTTTGATAGTTTTTACCCCTGGTTTTGTCCTACGTGGCGTCTGAGTCAGCTTGAGACCCACATATCAGCTGGCCACGTCAGCCTCCTCTCCCCTCCTCTCCCTTTCTCCTCTCTCTCTCTCTCTCACTCTTCTCTTATATCTTCTTTGGGCAACTGGGCAAGCCGGCTAGAGGCGTCTCCGGGCGCGAGGGAGGAGGGCGCGGGCCTCGTCGTTGGTGTTGGCGGCGGGGGTGGCCTCTCCGGCGGCGGCGGTGGCGGGGAAGGGGCGGCTCCTCCGGCTGCGACGGCGGGGGAGAGGCCGGCGGCGAGGGCGCGGAGAGGGAGGAGGCAGAGAGGGCGGTGGCGCCGTGCAGGGCGCAGTCGGCTGCGGCTTGCGGCGGCGTGCGGCGACGCGGCCGGCCGTGGCTTGTGGTCGCTACGCCTTACGCGACGGCGCGGAAGAGGCCGGCGGTGAGGGCGCGGAGAGGGAGGAGGCGGAGAGGCCGGCGGCGCCTTGCGGGGCGCAGTCGGCTGCGGCTCGCGGCGGCGCGGTGCGGGGCGCGGCCGGCCGTGGCTCGTGACGGCACTGTTCGGGGCGCGTCGGCTCTCGGCGCGGCGCCGTGCGGCGGCGTGGCCAGCGGCAGTGCTGTGCGGGGCGCGGCCGGCAGCGGTTCGCGAGGGCGCGAGCGGTGGTGCCCGAGTCCGCGCCGGCGTACCGCAGCACGGCTCGAGGGAGGGAGGCGGCTGCAGTCAAATCCAATCCAATCCAATCCATCACATAATGCAAGGACCACGCCACCGACGAACACCACCAGCCATGCTCATGCTCAGACCATCCTCCGCCACCGCCTACCACCGCCGCCTCCTATTGCATTGCTCCTCACTGTCATGCTCCTCCCCTCGCCCGTCGCCGCGCACCACCACCACGTCCACGCCGCGGGTGACGGCGTCGTCATCAGCCCTACGGCTTCCTCCGCTACGGCCATCAAGCACGACCTCACCGACCCCTACGGCTTCCTCCGTTCCAGGTCGGCGGAAGCGTAGGACCGGCGGCGACGAAGTCGACGGAGAGGATGGGGAGGTCGTCGGGGCGGCGAAGTAACTCCAGATCGGCGCCACCGAGGCAGAGCTAGCGGAGGCGCGTGGAGAGGCGGCGGCGGGGAGGTCGTCGAGACGGGGCAGACGGCGGGTGCAGGTCGACGTCGGGGCCGGCGGGAGGCGGCGGAGGGAGCTCGTCCCGCAGCGCCGTGCCGGCGGAGGTGGGAATGGGAGGTGGCCGGTGGTGTTGTCCTTCTGTGGTCAAAAGGGAGAGAAGAGGGGAAAAGAGACACAGAAAGAGGCTGACGTAGCCAGCTGACATGTGGGGCCCACGTGGGTCCCACGGCTGACAGAACCGTCACGTAAGACAAAACCGGGGTAAAAACCACCTAAGAAGCTCGGGTAACCGGTTTTGTATAGTTAAGAGATCCCGTATATCTGGTTTTGTGGTTCGAGGATGTTTTTTTATCCCGATGATAAGTTGAGGGACCTTCGGTGTACTTTTTCCTGGTACATTATGGAATCTTCAAAGGCCAGATTTCAATTCAATTTGGGCTTTAGTTTGCCCTTTTTTTATATGGAATAAGTTTATCTAAGGTCCCTTAACTTGTCAACGAATCCGATTTTCGTCCTTCAACAACAAAACCAGATACAACGGATCCCTCAACTATCAAAACTGGTGCAGATTAGGTCCCTCGGCGGTTTTGACGGCGGTTTTGGCTGACGTGGCGCCTACGTGGCTAATTTGACTTAGTCTCGATCTGACGTGGTGCTTACGTGGCAATTCGATCTGAAAAATAATAAACCTCATGGGACCCACATGTCAGTTTCACACATAAATTAATAAAAAATGGTGGGCCCACGTGTCAGCCTCCCTCTCCCTTCTCTCTCTTCTTCATCCTCACTCCTCTCTTCTTCCTTTCCCCTCTCCCCTCTCTCTCTCTTCTTTCCAGGCGGCGGACGGCACGGGTGGGCGACGGAGCAGGCGAGCGAGGCGCGCTGTCCAACGTCGACTACGACCGCCTGCTCGCCCCCGTCAAGGCGTCGCCGCAGCCGCTGTCCAGGGAGGGCGAGGAGGAGGAGGGGGACATCGCCATGGTCGCCGCCCAGAGCTTCGTCTCCACGCAGGACTCCGCCTCCGACACCGTGGTCGACTACTCCGGCAACGAGGACGAATTCCACGAGGTACCTGAACCCCGACGACGACGTCTCTGACTTCCGGGAGGTATACATCCTCATTTATCAGTCTAACACTAGTACATTCTCTGCTAATTGCCTGTGTTATCAAGCATGTATTTGACAATGCTATCTGTTAATGCAACATCTCTTGACACATGCTCGCCGGAGGGCCGTTCGACGGCACCGAGATGAACCTGGCGAGGGTGTTTGGCACAGCGCTCGTCGGCTGGCGCTGGAGGCACCACTGGGTGTACTAGCTCGGCCCCTTCATCGGCGCCAGCCTCGCCGAGCTTCTCTACGAGTACCTCGACATCCCGTCCGCCGACGCCACCCCGCACGGCGGCGCGCACCAGCCGCTGGCACCGGAGGACTACTAGATCCGCTGCCGCCCCGAATCGCCCGTGCCACCGTCGCAGGAGAAGAGATGTGAGAGAGAGTTGAAGAGATGGGAGATGAGGGGAGAGGACAGGAAGAAGAGGGGTGGGAATGATACGTGGGGCCCACGTGGGCCCCACCATTTTTTATTAATTTCTGGGTGAAACTTACAAGTGGGTCCCATGAGGTTTATTATTTTTTCGGATAAATTGCCACGTAAGCGTCACATCAGCGCCACGTCAGATCGAGACCAAGTCAAATTAGCCACGTAGGCGCCACGTCAGCCAAAACCGCCGTCAAAACCGCCGAGGGACCTAATCTGCACCGGTTTTAATAGTTGAGAGACCCGTTGTATCTGGTTTTGCGGTTGAAGGACGGAAATTGGATTTATTGACAAGTCAAGGGACCTTAGATGAACTTATTCCTTTTTATATTTGCACAGGCCTAATTTCAAGTCCAGCCCAGCTTTCTTCAGCCTGTTTGATAATTCTCTCTAGCTTATTACAGCCGTGGGAGAGGAGATATACAGCTACAAGATTACAAGTCGATGTATACAGCAAACCCATGAGCTGATTGCCTGATTAGACGGTAAGAATGCATCCCTGAGAAGCAAATGCATCACCAAATTTGTAGCTTAGATAAATGCTGTGACCTGCAAGAAAATAAAATTAAAATCAAAATAAAAGAAAAGCGCAGGTAATTGACACCCCACGCATATAAGTGTAGATACATAACACGTTCATCTAATCATCTTAATTAGACTTAGGTAAAACTACAATGAGGTTTATGTCCTACGGAATGACGACAAGCTAGCAGCACAGAGGCACAGATCATATCGTCTCCAGACTCAAGTGCACGTTGATCGTTCGCTCACTGCTTCATCGATCATCCCTTTGTCGAGGCGTTAGTTGGCAGGCACTAATAGCTACAGTAAAGTAAAGAGCAACGTGCCAACGTACGCACGCTAACGTGAGTCATGTAGCGTAATTCCAAGTTCTTTTTTTTTTGTCAGCACGTACAAGCAGCCGCTAGCCTCGCCCTGCATGAGAAGCTCGCGGCGCGCCACCAAACTGGCAGGCACTCAGCTCGCTGCTGGTCCCGCACGTCGCCACACGATCGACGTACGCACGCGAGCGAGATCCACCGATGGTTTACGCGTACGCCGACGGCTCACACATCCCCCGGTGCCCAACAGAAACCACACACCACCCGCACGAAAAAAACCGAACCGCACGTGCGCGCGCGCTCCACGCACACCCCAAACAGACGGCACGGCGGGAGCGCGCGCGCGCACGCGAGCCGAGGAGAAAACAAACGGGGGAAACAAGCTGGAAAAGCAAAAGGGGAAAAGAACGGAGCGGAGGCTTCACCCACGGCCACCGCGACGCGCCACCAGCGTGCGGTGCAATGCAACGTACGCCAAGCCGAAACGGCAGGCAGCATCGCGCACGCACGCACACACAGGCCACAGCACACGCGAGCGACGTACGCGAGTGCATGCAGATGCATGCGCGGGGCTCGCGCGAGACCGGCCGATGGGTTCGCTTCTCTTCTCTCTCCCGTCCCGTTGCGTCGTCATAGACAAAAGTCGGTTTTGCTTTTGGTTTTTTGGCTCTGAGGCACTGACGTGCGGGCCAGCGTACGCCTGCGTGCCCCGCATGTCATCGTCGACACCGGCCGGGGACCGGGTAAAATGTGTTGCGGGAGGGAGAGGGGGAGAGAGAGATCGCGCGGGCTTCACGCAACGGCGCTACAAATAGCCACCCACACCACCACCCCCTCTCTCACCATTCCTTCAGTTCTTTGTCTATCTCAAGACACAAATAACTGCAGTCTCTCTCTCTCTCTCTCTCTCTCTCTCTCTCTCTCTGCTTCACTTCTCTGCTTGTGTTGTTCTGTTGTTCATCAGGAAGAACATCTGCAAGTTATACATATATGTTTATAATTCTTTGTTTCCCCTCTTATTCAGATCGATCACATGCATCTTTCATTGCTCGTTTTTCCTTACAAGTAGTCTCATACATGCTAATTTCTGTAAGGTGTTGGGCTGGAAATTAATTAATTAATTAATTGACTTGCCAAGATCCATATATATGTCCTGATATTAAATCTTCGTTCGTTATGTTTGGTTAGGCTGATCAATGTTATTCTAGAGTCTAGAGAAACACACCCAGGGGTTTTCCAACTAGCTCCACAAGATGGTGGGCTAGCTGACCTAGATTTGAAGTCTCACTCCTTATAATTATTTTATATTAGATCATTTTCTAATATTCGTGTCTTTTTTTATTCTAGAGTCTAGATCTTGTGTTCAACTCTCGTTAAATCATGTCTCTCGCCACTGGAGAAACAGATCAGGAGGGTTTATTTTGGGTATAGGTCAAAGCTAAGATTGAAATTCACAAATAGTAAAATCAGAATCCAACCAATTTTAGTAGCCGAGTTGGTCAAAGGAAAATGTATATAGCTAGATTTATTGTTTTGGCAAAAAAAAATCTGAATATGCAAAATACTTGTATATCTTTGTATTAAGAAGATGAAAATAAGTAGCAGAAAATTAAAAAATGGATTATATTTCCTGGGCTAAAAGAATTGTTGATTTGGCACAATTAAATTCAGTGTCAAGGTTTTGTGCAAGAATTCAGTGTGAAGGAATAGATTCTCTTCAAAACAATTTAATCATTCATCTGATCTGCTCAAAGCTCTGTGCATCTCCGGGTGCAACGGCCAGGATATTTATTGTGCAGTAAAAAAATGTCATATCCCCTAGCCACCCAAGAAACTGCTCCTTAAGTCCTTATAAGCACATATGGCATTGTAATATATATGTTTGAGTTTTAGCGACAATTTTTTTAAAAACTTTTGGTCCTTTTTATGAACGTTTTAAGTTTCACTGTCTTTTTTTTTCGAATTTTAAATGTAGCTTCAAATTCTAATCCCCAATCCAAATTGTAATAAACTTCAATTCTCCTAATTAACATCTTAATTCATTTATTTGAAAACCAGTTCAAATTCTTTTAGGCTCACCAAACCTTAAACAATTCAATTCAGTGCAGAGATCTTCCACAGCAACAGCTAGACAACCACCATGTCGGCTCTCACCACGTCCCAGCTCGCCACCTCGGCCACCGGCTTCGGCATCGCCGACAGGTCGGCGCCGTCGTCGCTGCTCCGCCACGGGTTCCAGGGCCTCAAGCCCCGCAGCCCCGCCGGCGGCGACGCGACGTCGCTCAGCGTGACGACCAGCGCGCGCGCGACGCCCAAGCAGCAGCGGTCGGTGCAGCGTGGCAGCCGGAGGTTCCCCTCCGTCGTCGTGTACGCCACCGGCGCCGGCATGAACGTCGTGTTCGTCGGCGCCGAGATGGCCCCCTGGAGCAAGACCGGCGGCCTCGGTGACGTCCTCGGTGGCCTCCCCCCTGCCATGGCTGTAAGCACACACAAACTTCGATCGCTCGTCGTCGCTGACCGTCGTCGTCTTCAACTGTTCTTGATCATCGCATTGGATGGATGTGTAATGTTGTGTTCTTGTGTTCTTTGCAGGCGAATGGCCACAGGGTCATGGTGATCTCTCCTCGGTACGACCAGTACAAGGACGCTTGGGATACCAGCGTTGTGGCTGAGGTAGGAGCATATGCGTGATCAGATCATCACAAGATCGATTAGCTTTAGATGATTTGTTACATTTCGCAAGATTTTAACCCAAGTTTTTGTGGTGCAATTCATTGCAGATCAAGGTTGCAGACAGGTACGAGAGGGTGAGGTTTTTCCATTGCTACAAGCGTGGAGTCGACCGTGTGTTCATCGACCATCCGTCATTCCTGGAGAAGGTGGAGTCATCATTAGTTTACCTTTTTTGTTTTTACTGAATTATTAACAGTGCATTTAGCAGTTGGACTGAGCTTAGCTTCCACTGGTGATTTCAGGTTTGGGGAAAGACCGGTGAGAAGATCTACGGACCTGACACTGGAGTTGATTACAAAGACAACCAGATGCGTTTCAGCCTTCTTTGCCAGGTCAGTGATTACTTCTATCTGATGATGGTTGGAAGCATCACGAGTTTACCATAGTATGTATGGATTCATAACTAATTCGTGTATTGATGCTACCTGCAGGCAGCACTCGAGGCTCCTAGGATCCTAAACCTCAACAACAACCCATACTTCAAAGGAACTTATGGTGAGTTACAATTGATCTCAAGATCTTATAACTTTCTTCGAAGGAATCCATGATGATCAGACTAATTCCTTCCGGTTTGTTACTGACAACAGGTGAGGATGTTGTGTTCGTCTGCAACGACTGGCACACTGGCCCACTGGCGAGCTACCTGAAGAACAACTACCAGCCCAATGGCATCTACAGGAATGCAAAGGTCTATGCTTGTTCTTGCCATACCAACTCAAATCTGCATGCACACTGCATTCTGTTCAGAAACTGACTGTCTGAATCTTTTTCACTGCAGGTTGCTTTCTGCATCCACAACATCTCCTACCAGGGCCGTTTCGCTTTCGAGGATTACCCTGAGCTGAACCTCTCCGAGAGGTTCAGGTCATCCTTCGATTTCATCGACGGGTATGAGTAAGATTCTAAGAGTAACTTACTGTCAATTCGCCATATATCGATTCAATCCAAGATCCTTTTGAGCTGACAACCCTGCACTACTGTCCATCGTTCAAATCCGGTTAAATTTCAGGTATGACACGCCGGTGGAGGGCAGGAAGATCAACTGGATGAAGGCCGGAATCCTGGAAGCCGACAGGGTGCTCACCGTGAGCCCGTACTACGCCGAGGAGCTCATCTCCGGCATCGCCAGGGGATGCGAGCTCGACAACATCATGCGGCTCACCGGCATCACCGGCATCGTCAACGGCATGGACGTCAGCGAGTGGGATCCTAGCAAGGACAAGTACATCACCGCCAAGTACGACGCAACCACGGTAAGAACGAATGCATTCTTCACAAGATATGCAATCTGAATTTTCTTTGAAAAAGAAATTATCATCTGTCACTTCTTGATTGATTCTGACAAGGCAAGAATGAGTGACAAATTTCAGGCAATCGAGGCGAAGGCGCTGAACAAGGAGGCGTTGCAGGCGGAGGCGGGTCTTCCGGTCGACAGGAAAATCCCACTGATCGCGTTCATCGGCAGGCTGGAGGAACAGAAGGGCCCTGACGTCATGGCCGCCGCCATCCCGGAGCTCATGCAGGAGGACGTCCAGATCGTTCTTCTGGTATAATATAATACACTACAAGACACACTTGCACGATATGCCAAAAATTCAGAACAAATTCAGTGGCAAAAAAAAAACTCGAATATTAGGGAAGGACCTAATAATATCAAATAATTAGAAGGGGTGAGGCTTTGAACCCAGATCGTCTAGTCCACCACCTTGTGGAGTTAGCCGGAAGACCTCTGAGCATTTCTCAATTCAGTGGCAAATGATGTGTATAATTTTGATCCGTGTGTGTTTCAGGGTACTGGAAAGAAGAAGTTCGAGAAGCTGCTCAAGAGCATGGAGGAGAAGTATCCGGGCAAGGTGAGGGCCGTGGTGAAGTTCAACGCGCCGCTTGCTCATCTCATCATGGCCGGAGCCGACGTGCTCGCCGTCCCCAGCCGCTTCGAGCCCTGTGGACTCATCCAGCTGCAGGGGATGAGATACGGAACGGTATACAATTTCCATCTATCAATTCGATTGTTCGATTTCATCTTTGTGCAATGCAATGCAATTGCAAATGCAAATGCATGATGATTTTCCTTGTTGATTTCTCCAGCCCTGTGCTTGCGCGTCCACCGGTGGGCTCGTGGACACGGTCATCGAAGGCAAGACTGGTTTCCACATGGGCCGTCTCAGCGTCGACGTAAGCCTATACATTTACATAACAATCAGATATGACACATCCTAATACCGATAAGTCGGTACACTACTACACATTTACATGGTTGCTGGTTATATGGTTTTTTTGGCAGTGCAAGGTGGTGGAGCCAAGCGACGTGAAGAAGGTGGCGGCCACCCTGAAGCGCGCCATCAAGGTCGTCGGCACGCCGGCGTACGAGGAGATGGTCAGGAACTGCATGAACCAGGACCTCTCCTGGAAGGTATAAATTACGAAACAAATTTAACCCAAACATATACTATATACTCCCTCCGCTTCTAAATATTCAACGCCGTTGTCTTTTTTAAATATGTTTGACCATTCGTCTTATTAAAAAAATTAAATAATTATAAATTCTTTTCCTATCATTTGATTCATTGTTAAATATACTTATATGTATACATATAGTTTTACATATTTCATAAAATTTTTTGAACAAGACGAACGGTCAAACATGTGCTAAAAAGTTAACGGTGTCGAATATTCAGAAACGGAGGGAGTATAAACGTCTTGTTCAGAAGTTCAGAGATTCACCTGTCTGATGCTGATGATGATTAATTGTTTGCAACATGGATTTCAGGGGCCTGCGAAGAACTGGGAGAATGTGCTCCTGGGCCTGGGCGTCGCCGGCAGCGCGCCGGGGATCGAAGGCGACGAGATCGCGCCGCTCGCCAAGGAGAACGTGGCTGCTCCTTGAAGAGCCTGAGATCTACATATGGAGTGATTAATTAATATAGCAGTATATGGATGAGAGACGAATGAACCAGTGGTTTGTTTGTTGTAGTGAATTTGTAGCTATAGCCAATTATATAGGCTAATAAGTTTGATGTTGTACTCTTCTGGGTGTGCTTAAGTATCTTATCGGACCCTGAATTTATGTGTGTGGCTTATTGCCAATAATATTAAGTAATAAAGGGTTTATTATATTATTATATATGTTATATTATACTTCCCCTGTTCCATATTATACCATGCCATTTTTGTTTTATGCCAAGTCAAACTTTTTATATTTAACCAAATTTATAAAAATAAATATAGCAACATTTGTAATACTGAACTATTTTTTTGTTAGACAGACTGTCAAAACTTAAATTATAGGTACTATATTTGTCTCAAAATATAATAACTTTTAGTTATGTATCTGGGTATGTGTCTGTCTATATGTGTAGCTAAAAGTTGTTTTGTGTCAAAAAAAATGTTATTATATTTTTTTTATAAATTTATTTAAGTTTGAAGGAGCAGTAGTTTGACTCAGGATAAGATGTAAAATAATTTATAATATACTCTCTCGTCCCATTTTAAATGCAACCAAAACTTTGATCGTTTATCTTATTTATTTTTTTATAATTAATACTTTTATTGTTATGAGATAATAAAACATGAATAGTACTTTATACATGACTTATGTTTTTAATTTTTTTAAATAAAACGAATGATTAAAATTATGCACGAAAAATTATAGTTGCACTTAAAATGTGACGGAGGGAGTGGATACGAAGGAACTAGTCCTGTTAAATATCCTGTTCGTGTGTTTTTGAGGTTGTGGCTCTGGTTGATCAGATGCCACTGTCATTACTAGTGCTCCATATATCGTACGTCTGTCTACGTCAAGTTCAGGTAGGTCATCAGTTGATAGTCCAGTTGGTGTGGCTTATGGCTGTGGAGGTAACAAGGTGTGGATCATACCAACCATTGGCCGATACAAGTCACCTCAAGGTTTTAGATACAGAATCATAATTGGATTCCACAATCTTTTACTACCTCTGTCCTAAAATAAGTGCAGCCATAGATATCCGTATTTAGCGCTTTGACTATCCGTCTTATTTGAAAAATTTATAAAAAATATTAAAAAAATTAGTCACACATAAAGTAATATTCATGTTTTATCATCTAATAACAATAAAAATAATAAACATAATCTTTTTTCAAATAAGACGAACGGTCAAACGTTGAACATGAACAGTGCTAAAATTGCACTTATTTTGGGACGGAGGGAGTACCTCTTCTTTATAATGCAAGAATTTTATAAGGATAATTTATTTAGTATATAAAATTTTAAAAGGTGTACTGTAACATAATGACCCATGACCAGTGTTTACTGTTTAGGTTCTTTGGGAAATAAGTAGATGGGGTTACCTATGAATGTTATGCACATGTACGCGTACGTAAATGTGTTTTCAACAGGATTTTAGTAAGATTTCAGAACTATCATTGGTCTTCTCTTCAAATGAGTGTTAGGGTGCACTTTATTAAGTAAGTGTGATGTACGAATGTAGTGATGTATTTATACGTGTTTTTCGTGTAATCGAAAAAAAAATGATCAATTTGCTAGAAGCGTGAGAGATTTGTATTCCGGGAGATGTGATCCGCCTTAATATATGGTCCGGGACAAGTCAAGAAGAGAGTGGGGGATAAACTTTACGGCCATCGTTCGTCGCTTGACCAAACCAACGGCCATGGGGACTCGCAAATCTATTCCGTGGCCAACATTGGCGGCCATGGTTGCCCCGGTGGCCACTTGAATTCGTCGTGTGTGATCCAAAGAACGGCTCACATCTCGATCGTTCAGCCGTTCCTCTCTCCCCTTGTGCCGGTCGGAGTCACTAATAAAGAAGGCCAATAATTAGGCGAATTCTACACTGTTCCATGACACTGCCCCTTGGAGGAAATTAAGCTACCCTACTGAATAATCCACTCCATCTAAACTGCTAAATACACCTAGTACTGTATAAAGTGAAAAGAAGGTTGTCTGTACTCTGCAGCCTGTACTGTACATAGCTAAACATAGGGATGGAAACAGTTGGGAAACAATTTCAACCATTTTCATAGCTATATTTTTTTGAAAAAGGGAATTGAAAACAGTATTAAAAAATATCGACTATATGAATGGAAACATTGCTACTTCCTCCATCCCATAATATAAGGGATTTATTTTTGCTTGTAACGTTTAACCACTCGTATTATTCAAAACTAGCATGGTAGCCCGCGCAGATTGCGCGTCTAGCATCATTATATTTTCTCTCATATAATAGCATATATGTTTTCTCATTATATTATTCAAATAAATTAAAATGACAACATAATTTTAAATTTTGCAATAACTTTACAAAACTGTGTAATTTCATATTATATTTTATATACGTGTTAGTTATTAGATATTTTTAATATCAAATTTTAGTTATTTGTAAATTATATATATATTCCTATATGTACTCTAGACTCGTCTTTTAATATTTTTTTAATTCCGAATTTTCTATAAATTGTATTCCTATATAGACTATGCGCTCTTCTTCCAATATTATTTATTTTTATTTCTGAATTTTTATATTATATTTTATATACATGTTAGTTATTAATTATTTTTAATATCAAATTTTAGTTATTTAAAAATTATATATATTCCTATATGGACTCTAGATTCGTCTTTTAATATTTTTCTTTTAATTCCGAATTTTCTGTAAATTGTATTTCTATATAGACTCTATGCTTTTCTTCCAATATTATTTATTTTTATTATTTCTATGTGGACTCTAAACTCATCTTTCAATATTCTTTAATTTTTAATTTCGAATTTCAGTTACTTCTAAATTATATTCCTATATTGACCTTAAACTCTTCTTCCCATATTTTTCTTAATTTCAAATTTTAATTATTTGTAGATTGTATTTTTATACGGACTCTAAACTCTACTTTTAGTTTTATTATGTTTATTCCAAATTTTAGTTAGTTTTAAATTCCTATATAGACTCTATACTCTACTTCTAATATTCCTTATTTTTAATTCCGAATTTCTATTTTTTTTCTTAATTGTATTTCTATATCGACTTTATACTCTACTTCTAATATTCCTTATTTTTAATTCCGAATTTCAGTTATTTCCTAATTATATTTCTCTATCGACTCTATACTCTACTTCTAATATTCCTTAATTTTAATTCCGAATTTCAGCTATTTCCTAATTGTATTTCTATATGGACTCTATACTCTACTTCTAATATTCCTTATTTTTAATTCCGAATTTCAGTTATTTCCTAATTATATTTCTATATGGACTCTAGTCTCCTCTTCTAATATTTCTTATTTTTTTAATTTCGAATTTCAGCTATTTCAAAATTGTATTTCTATATGGACTCTAGTCTCCTCTTCTAATATTCTTTATTTTTTAATTCCGAATTTCAGCTATTTCTAAATTGTATTTCTATATGGACTCTGCTTTTTCTTTTTCTCCGATTAATATGAGAATTTCTAGGCCATGAGAGCGAACGTGGAGGCTCCTTTTCTCCTATTCTAATATTCTTTATTTTTTAATTAAGAATTTCAGCTATTTCTAAATTGTATTTCTATATGGACTCTGCTTTTTCTTTTTCTCCGATTAATGCGAGAATTTCTAGGCCATGAGAGCGAATGTAGAGGCTCCTTTATCTATTCCTTTAATAATATAATAGATTTTTTTAAAATTATTATTTATTTTATTTATAACTTACTTTATTATCTACAGTACTTTAAGCATAACTTTTCGTTTTTAATATTTGAAAAAAAATTTAAATAAGACGAGTGGTTAAATGTTACAAGTAAAAACTCAAAATCCCTTATATTGTGGGACGGAGAGAGTAATATTGAGAGGAAACTATATTTAACTTAGCTTAAGTACATAATATGACCAAACAAATTTAAGCTTACACTCAAGTTAGGCATTTTGTTTAAAAATTTATGGATCCCCAGACCATTCCCTCTATTTTAAAAAGATAACTTTTATATATGAATCTGGGATATGTCTTACATCCATATTCGTATATAAAAGTTAATTACCTTCTCGTAAGACAGAGGAAGTAGATATTTAAAAATATAAAGTAATTACCATATTTTTCTGTAAGAATACGGTTGGTATATTAGGCTTCTTAGCAAGATCGTTTTCATACTTCTTACCATTTCTATTTTCGTGGTATATTAGGCTTCTTAGTGAAATCGTTTTCATACTTATTACCATTTTCACTTTTGCCCGTAACCATTTTGAAGGTGATTTTCGTGACCGTTTTCACCCCCTACTAGATGTGGCAGGCATCTGGACCTCTTTTTGCACCGGTGTGTACCTTGTTGTGTGGCCAAGTAGGACACATGCAGGCACAGAAGGCATGTGTTGGTGGGTGTCATGGATGACGAGTGGAGGCTCACGAGAGCCATGCAAAATGTTTTGTCTCACGCTCTTGTTGCATCCGTCGTCCCATGGTCCACGCGCGGCCGCGCGTTCCCTACTGCATCGTCATGCATCCCAATCCACAAACCCCCGTGAAAACTGAAACTTGACACTGGTGGAGAAATCATCTTTGATCGGTCTGGTAAAATCCACAATAGTTTCGGATCCAAAAAAACCGGGACTAAGATTAACCGGGACTAAGATTGTTTTTAGTCCCGGTTATAAAAATTTTGATCTTTAGTCTCGGTTGATAACACCAACCGGGACAAAAGATGATCTTTAGTCCCGGTTCATCCGCTGTCAGATGTATGTCAGGGGGCCGAAAATCTTTAGTCCCGGTTGATGTCAATAACCGGGACTAAAGATCACCACTTTAGTACCAACCGGGACTAAAATTAAACACGTAGTATATAATCCCTATCCCTTATCATCTCCTCCACAGTTACAACTTAGACAGATTGAATCTCACACCTCTCCTCAGATCTATCCTCTCTGACTCTCTTCTCCAACTCCTCCCCTTCTCTCCCCTTCCCATCCGGCGGGCTGGCCGGCGGCGGGGCCGCGCGCGGCGGCGGCCGGCGGCGGGGCGGTGCCCGGCGGAGGGCGGCGGCGCCCGGCGGGGTCGTGCCCGGCAGAGGGCGGCGGCGCCGCGCGCGGCGGGGCTTCGGGCGGCAGCGGCCGTGGCGGGCGGCGGGGCCGCGCCCGTCGTTCGTGGCGACCGGCGGCGGCAGCAGCTTCTTTTTTTTTTAATTTGTGATGATTCACTGTGATGTATTTGACTGAGAAGTTAGAAATTTATGATTCATTGTTTGGATGTGTGATATATTTGAGTAATTTCTTAGAATATTGTGATGTATTTGATTTGTGTGTATAAGTAACTTTATGATTGTGATGTGGACTTGGTGATGTGAATTTGGGATGTTAGTTAGATTTGAGGATTGATTTGGGGATTTTCCTACTTGATTCGGGAGAAAATAAAAATGAAAAATGAAAAAGAAGAAGGAACCATCTGCACTACCGCTATTGTCTCTTTAGTCCCGGTTGGTAACATTAACCGAGACTAAAGATCCCTCTCTTTAGTCCCGGTTGGTGGTACCAACCAGGAATAAAGATGTATCTTTAGTCCCGGTTATTTCAACATTCTTTAATTTTTAATTTTAAATTTCAGTTACTTCTAAATTGTGTTCCTATATTGCCTTTATACTCTTCTTCCCATATTTTTTTAGATTTTAAATTTTAGTTATTTATAAATTGTATTTTTATACGAATTATAAACTCTACTTTTAATTTTATTATGTTTATTCCGAATTTTAGTTTGTTTTAAATTCCTATGTGGACTCTATACTCTACTTCTAATATTCCTTATTTTTAATTCCGAATTTATATTATTTCTTAATTGAATTTCTATATGGACTCTATATATACTCTACTTATAATATTCCTTATTTTTAATTCTAAATTTCTATTATTTCTTAATTATATTTCTATATGGACTCTAGTCTCCTCTTCTAATATTTCTTATTTTTTAATTCCGAATTTCAACTATTTCTAAATTGTATTTTTATATAGACTCTGTTTTTCTTTTTCTCCGATTAATATGAGAATTTCTAGGCCGCGAGACCGAACGTGGAGGCTCCTTTTTCTATTCTTTTAATAAATTAATAGATAGATATATGTCTAGGTTAATTAATATCATGTGGGAAATGCTAGAATGACTTAGAGGGAGTAGAATTCGTCTCCGAATTACGAGTCGGATTCCAACATGACGACGAAGCGGCTGTGCCACTGCCGCCGCCTATAAAGCCGGGGGAGGGGGGGGGGGGGGGGGGGCACGCCACTACGCCACGCGACCTCACCTAACCGCGCGCGCGCCCGCCCACCCACGCGACGCGACGCGCGCGCGGCGTCAGATCGCGGCGGCGAGGCGAGGCGAGTCCGCGCCGCCAGCAACCTGGTCGTGCCGTGCGAGCCATGGAGAGGATCATCGCCATGTCCGTGGTGGGCGCGGGGCCCGGGAACGTGTTCGGCCCGGGGATGAGCGCCGGCGCGCTCGAGAGCTTCGTCCCGCGGCGGCAAGCGGGCGCCACCGACAACGCGGCGGCCTCGGCGGCGGCGGCGGCGGAGGGAACAGGGCGCGGCGCGACAAGGCCGGCGGAACAGGCGACGGCGGCGGCGGAAGGCAGGAGGGCCGGTGGCGACGGCGTCGCGCGGTTCGATCCAGCGCGGGATGGGCTCCTCTACTGCTTCGAGACCATCTCGCCGCATTGACCCTGCTCTGTTCTTCCGATCCCCTCTTGTTTTGGGGGGGATTTTCTTTGTTTCTTTCTTTCTTAGGTTGCGTGTGATTCGAGCGATTTGGAAACATGTCTCGATTTGTTAATTGCACAAGGATGTCGAGCAATTCTGAAATCAATCGAATTTTTTGTTTTTTTTCTGCAAAAAAGAAAAGAAAAGAAATCAATCGAATTTGGTAGACGATTGTGCCTTTCTTTCCTTTTTAGTTTTTTCTGCAAAATGTGTTAGGCAACTGGCGATGCCTAATATTTCCGTGACAGCGTACACCGAACAACAATTAGGGGTTGATTGTTTGTTTCACATGTTAATCATGCCAAGATTTTGGCAAGGCTTATATTGACAATGGATCAAAGGAACAAGGTACACAATATGGCTGCAAGTCCTAATAATAAGGGCATTGCAAGTAGGTGAAACAGGAGCAAACTTGTCTCCATTTAGCTGAAAATAATAAAATAATAGTTATGGGGTCCTTTAGCAATTTTTTTTTTGTTATTCTACAACTATCTCACATTTTCAAAGGTTTCTAGCAACAAAGAGAAAAAAAAACTTTACACATCATGTAACAAAATTTACCATAATATATAGTTACCGTGTAGGAGAAAATACCACGTTAAATATTTAGTGATATTAGAAGCAGGAGAAAATGGAGACATATGTATGTTTTTTTTTCTATTCATTACATATGTCTAATAGACAACTTAATACCTACCTATACATTTCATATACTTTATAAAGCATAGTAATTGAAAAACGCAATAACATAAAAAAAAACACATAAATTGGGATGGTTTGTGAGTGAAATCCTAAGGAACATGAAAAATACAATGATTGTTCAATTGTGTTGTTTGGATGTTTCACACGAAAACAGTATTTTGGAGATTTGGGGATGCCAGGATGTTTCTTCCTCCACTCCACACATGGAGCAAATGGGGCTATTTGGCTAGCCTCTTAGTTGTAACTTGTCCGTAGTTAGGATTTTTCTTTGAGCAGTGAGCCACATGAAAAATTTGCATTTCCCCTCTGCCTTTCCCTCCCAAATGATTAATGAACCTATGCCTTTTGTCCGTGATCCCACCGAGAAACTGAATCTGGTAAGCCGATCTCGTTGAGTATTCATCATTCTTTCCTTCAAAACCAACGGTAACTATCCTCACGAAAAATGAGTTTGTTCCTTCAATCACAATTCAAGTCTTTTGTTCCAATAGAGCCCGAAATGAGTTATCTATATATTATCTAGATATAACATGGAAAACTTATATAGACAGTTTTTTGAAATGTACTAAAAGTTTTGTGCACAAGTTTTATTAGGAGCACAAATCGTTTAGGTATGAAGCATATTGTCTATGCTTTAATACAATCGACATCGATGTCCATCAATCACTTATGGGAATACTCCTATGTATACGTCGTATAGAAAGAATTGGCTTATCATGGAACATAAAGAGTACTACCTAACATGTCCTACCTTCCCTTCAAAATTCAAGAGACATGATAAATATACCTAACACGAATTGCCAGATACCCAAATCACAATTTCCAATGAATATCTCACAAGTCACAACATGCCAAAAAAGTTCATCGCTCTTTCCTCAAAGACAACGACAACAATCCTCGAAACTAAGCCCATAAAGCATCTGGGCCAACGAGCCAATCATCAGCCCGGAGAAAAACTAGCCCACCATGATGGCCGAAAACAGAAGTAGATGGGCCGATCATCAGAAGTAGAGGTTCTTGGAAGGAAAAAGTACACCGAAGGTCCCTCAACTTGTCATCGGGATAAAAAACATCCTCGAACCACAAAACTAGATACGTGGGGTCCCTTAATTATACAAAACCGGTCAACCGTGGGAAAAGAGGGAAAAAGAGAGAGAGGAGGGTGATGATGTGGCCAGTTGACATGTGGGGCCCACGTGGGTCCCATGCTGACTTAGCCGCCACGTCAGATAAAACCGGGTGCAAAACCACCAAAGGATTTCGGGTGACCGGTTTTGTATAATTAAGGGATCCCGCATCTCTGGTTTTGCGGTTCGAGGATGTTTTTGTATTCCGATGACAAGTTGAGGGACCTTCGGTGTACTTTTTCCTTCTTGGAATCGCTGGGCGGGGGGCCGCCGTGAAGAAGGTCTCCGCCGCCATCCCCGGCGGCCGTGTCGAGCAGCCGGTCTGGGCGGCGCCGCCATCGGAGGCGTTCGATGGCCTCAACTTCTTCGAGACCATCGTGATGAACTGATCATTCGGATGATCGATGGTGTTCCTGTTAATTGCCTTCGTTCTTGTGTTGCTATCGCTTAAGCTACTGGCAAGCTAAGTACGTACTTGTAATATTCTTTCGTTTGATTGTAGAATATCATCGCTTCTTTAGCCAAATTTCCTATTGTACTAGGAGTATATAAGATTTTATTTACGGATGAACATTGTATATGACGGAGCCAACCTAGAATCGGGCACGCAATGGGGAGGGAAAAAATCAGGCACGGATGTCGGTTAGCATGACGTATGTGTGCAAAACCACTTTAAACTATTTTTTTCTCTTAAATTATGTATCCAAATGATGATCCGATTGCACCATTAAATTCGTTGCAATTAAATCTTTAAAACAATACCACACATGGATATATTTCGACGAAAAAAATAGCTTATTATTGAATTATTTTTAAATGTTGCACGATGTTCCACCAAGTATATTGGAATTGTTTAAATAAGTAGATTGAAAATGTTTCAATCGTTTAAATCGGGCGTTGTTTCACCTTAAATAAAAACAATGTTTCAGCAAATAACGAAAGAATGTTTCTATTCATTGCAACATTAGATCTATACATAGTGAAACATTATGAGTACACTAGGTGAAACATTTTTGGTGAACAAAAGAAACGAATTCCCTTAATAGAGTCTTTCTAAAATATGTGGATGATTTGTTCCAAAAGTAGTGAAACATTGTGAGTACACTAGGTGAAACATTTTTTTTTTGAAAAAAATGAAACGAATTCCCTAAACAGAGGTTTTCAAATATATAGGTGATTTGTTAAAAAAAATATTTTAATTCACTATAATATTAGATCTATATATGGGTGAATCTTTTTTTTAGACACTTAGTGAGGCCCAGGGAAACATGCGCACGTGGGTTGGAGGGGAGGGGGAGCGCCAGATTTTCTCGCCCTCCGCCGGTCGCCCGAGCGGCAGCAATTCCGTCGAACATACCACACTCTTTCGTTCTGCAAACCTCTCCTGCAAATCCACTATAAATTGATCTGCAGGGCATTCTTTTGCTTCCATCCCAAACTCGCAAAGCGAAAGGCACCCAAGAACCAAACCAAGTCGAAGCAGCGCCATTTCATCGAGCCGTCGCGACGCGCAGCGAACGAAGCAGCAGAGAGATCATGGCCATGGAGAGGTTCTTGACATCGCTGGTCTTCTGCGAGTGCGAGGCGCCTGGCATGGACGTCTTCGCCTACGCCGCCGGCACGTCGCTGACAGCCGCCGTGAACAAGGTCTCCACCGCCAGCCCCGGCGGCCGTGTCGTCGGGCCGGCGGTCTCGGCGGCGGCGCCATCATCGGAGGCTAAGAAGGACGCCGCCGGCAAGGCGCCGCGGCGGCTGCTGCAGGCGGCGTACTCTCCGGCGTTCGATGGCCTCAACAGCTTCGAGACCATCGTGATGCACTGATGATGATCATTGATCACCCGGAATGATTATTGCCTTCGTTTTTGTGTTTAAGCTATAGCAAGTACTACTAATATTCTTTCATTTGATTGTTGAATATAATCAATTTTTAACCATGTAGTATTGTAAAAACATAGATTATCTTTGTTACTGATGGCCATTGTATATGATTGGTACTGAAGGATAAATTTTAGAGATCAATCCAATCAGGAAGAATTTGAAGTCATATTGTTCTTTTTTATCGACGTTGTTTGCTGAAACCTACCGGAACTTTTTTTATGTGTTCAGGTGCTGAATAATGATCCAATGCTTTTGCTTCCCATTGTGCACATCCTCTCTGAAAGAGAAGCGGAGGAGATCTATTCAACGGAGAAAAGAAAAGTACAAAACTGTAGTCTCTGCACGCACGCGAAAAGTTCGTTTCGAGTACGCGGCGATATCTGACCAGTGACTACTGACTAGTAGGCCGTTTCAAGCAAACTAATTAACTGTAGAATAGTTGTAATTTTGTACAGTAACGGTCGTGCTTAAGCATTGAGAAGGTCGGCTTGTGGTTAATAAGGCCGCTGGGTTCGGGGTTTAATTCTACGAACCCCCTTGGGACATCATAAACTGATCAAAACCTGCCTTCGTTTTCGTTGCCATCCTTGGTACTGGCTTTCGCAGCCATGATTATCCCAACCTCAAAATCCGGCATCTTCAGATTTTCACAACCTCACCCAAAAGCTAAACTTCCATGGCGCTGATTTGTCTGTACAGAGTATCAACCCACACCCACGAATGCGGCATGAACTATTACGGGTTAAATGCACAATGTCTTGATAGTGCAAAGGGACAGAGCAACATGTCCTGAAGATGGGTTGCCCGCGGAACGGAGTGCCGTGGGTGTTCGGAGTTTAATTCTCCGACCCCTTTTACCATCATGATTCATGAATAGAAAACCTGCCTTCGTCTTCATTTATTCATTCATGGTGGGGGATTAACGTCGGCTTTCGCCCATGACAGCATTTCCTGCATCCTCACCCAAAGGCAAACAAACGTCACTTAGCTAGATTGGCCTAGGCCCTGTTTAGGTTCTAAAATAAAAAATTTTCACGCAATCACATCGAATATTTGGACACATGTATAAAGTATTAAATGTAGGAAAAAAACAATTACACAGATTACGTATAAATTGCGAGACGAATCTTTTAAACCTAATTGCGCTATGATTTGATAATGTGGTGCTACAATAAACATTTGCTAATAACGGATTAATTAGGTTTAATAAATTCGTCTCGCAGTTTTCAAACGAAATCTATAATTTATTTTGTTATTAGATTATATTTAATACTTTAAATATATATCCGTATATTCGATGTGATAACTAAATTTAAAAATTTTCCCCAACTAAACAAGTCGCTGTGCAAAGTGTATCAGCATAGCCGCGTACTTATGTGCATGCATGTGTGCCTGAGATATCGGGTTGCCCTCGCCAGAGACATCACTAGCCAGCTAATTAGCAGTCCTAGATAGTAGTATCATCAAGTGTGAGATTGTTGTTTAGCGCAGGCAAAGGGACAGGGCAACATGTCGTGACGAGTGGATGTCTTGCGAGTGCTCGACAAATGACGGGCAAACACGTTACCAATCCAGCATTATTTTTCAAATGAAAAGACGGGGGGCCAAAGAGCAATAACATAATAGGGGAGAGGGCAAATCGATCTAAGCAAAGTATATCTTTGAGATAAACATGAGCTAGCGAGTGTGGTGTTTGTGTCATCCTCCACCAGCTACCTCGATTCGCTTTACTATCAAACTCCGTCTAGTCAAAAACGAACTAGTAGAAGCAGCCGCCAAGTCAAAGAGGCAACCCAAAATATGCACGGCCGGTTTGATCTTTTGACCAGTCCCGACACGTACACCCATCTGTTTTGTTCGGCGGCCGACCGGAACGTTCATCCCCTTATTTCCACTGAACTGCCCTGACTTTTCTTTCGGTTCGTCAAAGCTTAATAACCATTCTAGTAGCACTACTTGTAGTAGTAACTCCATAAAAAAAAAGAGTAAAGTCCATCACCGGTCCCTAAACTTGTACCGCTATCTCATCCTAGTCCCTAAACTCGTAAATCGACCGTTCAGTTCCTCAAACTTGTTCGACTGTGTCATCCCGGTCCCTAAACTTGCAGATCACTCGTTTAGATCCTTCAACCTGTTCAGTATCACCCCGGTCCCTAAACAGGATAATCTAAAAACTTTATATCAAAAAGTAATTCATAACTTTTTCATGTGAACTCTAATGAAGACAAACTTTATATCAAAATGGTAGCCCTCGACGCGACCTGATAAGTTTTTGAATTAAAACTGTTTAGGGTTCCAAAATATTGTTGTATATTTATAGATTTTGAAATTTTAATTTTAAAATTACATTTTGGGACAAAACATGACTTAAAATAAAAAAAATCAACTACAAAGTTTTAGATCGCGTCGAGGGCTACAAATTTGATATAAAGTTTGTCTTCATTAGAGTTCACATGAAAAATTTATGAATTATTTTTAAATATAAAGTCTTTAGACCGTTCTATTTGATCCAGATGATATTCAAATCCAAGTTTAGAGACCGGAGTGACACAACTGAATAAGTTGGAGGACCTAAACGAGTGATCTGCAAGTTTAGGGACCGGGATGACACAATTGAACAAGTTTGAGGACCTGAACGGTCGTTTTGCGAGTTTAGGGACCGCGATGACACAGCGGTACAAGTTTGTGACCGGTGATGGACTAAAAAAAGAAACTGTCTAGTACCAGCGGTAAGTTTGTCCCGTTTGGAAAAGTAGAGCTAGGTAGGTTCGGTAAACCAACATCACCTTCACTGCACCGTCGTGTCCGGTAAAAAGCACCTGCCAATTAGGCAAATTACATGGCATGTGCCACGTCGTTGTTGCACCACGGTTTCGCCTACCCCTACCGACGCAGAACCGAACCGATCCCCCGCGCCCGCGCAGGCGCAGGCGCAGGAGCAGCATATCACGTCGCCCGCCAGGTGCGGTGCGGTGCGGTGCGGGGGTGTCTGCCAAGTGCCCAACCAAACACCAATCACCACGTACGCCGACCAACCCCATCCACCCAGTGTCGCCGCGCCCCCACCCCATCCTGCATCCTCCCATGACCACCCGCCACGTCTCGCCCACGCGCGCGCGCGCACCGCCCCCCATCCGTTTCTCGTCGGTTGGAACCAGCCTGACCGACCGCGTCTGCGCCATCCCCCGCGCGCGCGCGTCAATTCGAGCTGCGAACTCGCCGCACGACGTGGGACTGGGTCCAGTCCTCCGCGCGCGCGCGCGTGCGTGCGTGCGGCGCGTCGCGTACACGAGCTTTCCCGCCGCGTCACGGCTCACTCACCACCGTTTCCACCCGCCTTCTCCCCGACTCGCTGACCTCGCTGTGCCTATATATAACGACCAGCGCCGCGAGAAGCCTCAAGTCTCAACCCAAGCACACACAAATCAAACCACACTGGTCAGCAAAGGCAAAAGTGAAGCACAACTGCACTAGTTTCTTGATCATGGACAAGATCCTGGCCTTCTCCATCCTGAGCTCGTCGCCGGCGGAGATCGCCGCGCCGGGGTACTACACGCGATTCTCCTGGAGGACGACCAGCGCCGGGAAGCAGCAGAAGGCGGCGGCGGAGAAGGCGCCGACGAGGCAGCAGGAAGGGGAGAAGCAGCAGGCCGGGCGGAGCTCGCCGGCGGCGGCGGCGGAGAGGAAGCCGGTGGCGAGGCCGCGGTTCGCGCCGGAGTTCGACGGCATCAATTGCTTCGAGACCATCGTTCCCTTCTGACTCTATCTCGATGCTTCAATTCTTCTCTTAGTTTTTTTTTTGTTTAAAGAGGCGTAATTTGTACAGAGCTGTGGCATACAGCGATCAAATGAAACTGATGAATGACCATACGTTTATTTGATTTAAAATCAAAGTTTATTCTCTTCTTCCTGGTATGGTTTTGAGCTCAACGTGTTTGCATCGAAATTGGTTTGGTTTTCTTTTTCGTGTGAACGCGAAGCCTGATCGGTATCTTAATTCCCCGGGAAAAATAATTATAATCAGTATCTCAATTATAAATAAATTCGTGCCAGATCATACACGTTACCCTCGAACTGCGAAACTGACCCTCTCGCCAACTAAACTTGACAAGTTCCTTTCAGGCCAGCGACAGCAAAACGCACCCGCCGGTTGCTTAATTAAGCGTGCGAAACGTGTCCCCTTCTATATTCGATAGCGGACAGGTTGGATTGGAGCGTCCCAAATTTGGATTAGTCACTACTATTGTGCAACAAAGTTAAAAAATCACAAGTTCAAATTTGGATTCGAATAAGCCTACAGACGTATAGAAGTACGTAGTAAGACAGCAAGACAGCTAAATCAAACAAAGCAGGTCAAATTCAGTACACAATTCAATTTGATTTCAGAAAAAAAGAAGAGGGGCTCATATTCGATTAGTTTCCAGCTCTGTACAACCCGTCATCTCAATTAAAACAACAGATAGAAGCTGGATAGTTAGGGGACTAGTAATCATCGTATACATGTTCGTGTGAAATTTTTTTAAAAAAACACCAAATTAGTACCCCGTGTCAGATCAAATCCTCTCGTGTAGTAATAATGATGATTTCGCAATGGCTAATGCATCACGATGGTCTCGAAGCAGTCGATCCCGTCGAACTCCGGGGCGAACCGCGGTGGCAGGGGCGGCGCTTCGCGTGGCCGCCGCCGCTCTTCCCTCTGCGACGGCGAGCTCCCCTCCCCGCGCTGCTGCTGCTCCGACGGCTGCCTCCGGCCATCCACCGCCTGGTCATCCGCCTTCCTCCGCCACGACAGCCGAGCCCAGTAGCCACCGGCGGCAATGTCCGCCGGCGACGCGCTCAGGATCGAGAATGCCAGCACCTTGTCCATCACCGCCGACGAAGACGACGAGATCGAACAACCTCTCGACGAAAAACCTGGCGTGTAGGCTTGAATTTTGCTTCGAATTTGTGGTTGCTTGCCTTGCTTGCACAGGTTGCCAATGGGGGGGAGAGAGATCGGGGATTATATATACTCGTGGGGGGGAGAGGATTTGTGTTGTAATCGAAGTGGATTTGTGTGTTTTCTTGGACAGATGGGTCGAGAAAATTCGCGGACGCGGTGGAAGGCGAGGCGGCCGAAAGAACGCGAGCGTACGCGACCTGGTCACCTCGCCGCGTGACGCACGCGACTGCAACTCTGCAAGTGCAAAAGCCAGGGTGGTCGCGTGGATCTCACGACGGCTTCGCGCGCGAGTTCCTTGCCGTCAACGTGTGAACTTCCTTGACTCTTCTTCGGCTTGGACTGCAGGCCGAGTTGGGCCACGTGTGAGAGAACATGGGCCGAAAGTAGTACACATGCTCCTTGACGTCAACGTGTGAACTTCCTCGTCAACGTATGAACTTCCTCGTCGGAGTCTGACTCTTCTTAGGCTTGGACTGCGTCGAACGCACGTCAAAATGGCTTGTGTCATTTGGCCCATTATGTCTCATGTGGGCTTTTTGGACCGGCAATACTGGCAGAAGATTCAGAGAGGTGCAGTGTTTGGTTTTGGAATAAGTTCACTTCATGACCCTCAAGAGTGATCGAAATCTAATCCATGACCCTAAACCACAAAACCGGATATCTCGACTCCCCAAACTCTTAAAACCGGTGCAATTTGACTTTCTCGGTGGTTTTGGAGAGCGGTTTTGCTGACGTGGCGCCTACGTAGGAGAGGAGTCACTGACAGGTGGGCCCCACTTTATTGTTTTTAATTTATTTGATGATTAGGATGCCACGTAGGCGCCACATCAGCGAAACCGTCCTTCAAAACCACCGAATAAGTCAAATTGCACCGGTTTTAAAAGTTGAGGGGTCGAGATATCCGATTTTGTGGTTTAGAGTTACGGATTAGATTTCGATCACTTTTAAAGCTCACGAAGGAACTTATTCCTTTGGTTTTCTCTCTCTTTGGGGGGACGGCGTAAGTCAGAATATGCGGTCACAAGTTCGTCAAACACGTTCAAAAGAAGCAAAGGGTACAGTACTGCAGTTGCAGCACTTGACTGACAACCCCTGCAGAAGTGACGAAGCGACAAGTCAATGCTATTCTCAGCGCTCATCTGCCTGTCTCCGTCCGTCTGCTTTGCAAGATAAAGCAAAACTCCATTCACAACTCGAGATTAACCATATGTTAATATTATCTTATTTTGCGTAAACTACTTTATCTTTATCTACATAAGTTTCCAACACCACCTCAAGCCAGAGTTTCCCAAACCGCCGGGGCCGGAGTTACCGCGCCCGGCGGTAAGCACGGTTACCGCGCGGTAACCGTGAAAAACCATATAAAATCATGTAAAATTTATCAAAAATTCAAATTATTTTTAAAATTTATTTGAATTTAAGGAGGTTATCGTGGTATTTATATTACCGTACCCCCATGGTAAGCCCGGTAACCACACGGTTACCGGCGGTAATTCGAACCCTGCCTCAAGCTCGACCGGGGCAAGATTTGAAGCGGAGAGATTGCTGAAATGGTACTACTACTACTACCTGAAATCCATCTTAAGCGCAACTTGACTGCAAAAAGGGGCAAGAACAGTTGGATTTCGCCATGAGAGTGAATAACTGATGAGTAGTTAATGACCGAAGAGAATGAAGAGAGAAACCTTTTTTTTCTTTAGAGATGGCGAATGAAGCCTGAGTAAGTAGTTGAGACTTGAGACTACTCCTAGAGTGGAGTATAGTAGAGTGGTACCTCCTCTTACACAGGAGGGCCAGTTCTTTCATGTATCTCAAAAGGCCAATCACTTGCTACTCCTCCTTCAAATCCCCCCCCCCCCCCCTCCCCCCAAAATTACAAACCAATTCAGCGCGAAAAGCTACTTAACTGGACCCAGTTGATACTCCTACGGGAAAGAGACAGTGTATCTGGAAACAACAAACATATGGGCATTCATAATTTGCTCAAAACCGCTGGCCGATGATACCAAAAGCCATACCACCCACTCGTATACTCTAGTGTATGTACATCATCTTTGTTGCACATCGGTGTAGACATGAGCACGCTTTGTGGAGTAGACAACAATTTTTCCTGCAACAAAACCGGGGCCTCTTTTAAAATCAGGCTGTGTTTATAGTTCAGCGCAAAGTTTAGATTTTGATTGAAATTAGAGATGGTGTGACTGAAAAGTTGTGTGTGTATGACAGGTTGATGTGATGGAAAAGGACTGAAGTTTAGATCAAACTTTGGATCTAAACACAGCCTCAATGTAGAGCAGTGAGTAGTAGACGAGAGCACCTGGGGCCTATTTAGTTCGGGAACGAGAATTTTTGGCGTGTCACATCGGATATATGAACACACATTCAAAGTATTAAATGTAGATTAATAACAAATAAATTACAGATTCCATCTAGAAACTTCGATACGAATTTATTAAGCCTTATTAATCCATTATTAGAAAATGTTTATTGTAGCATCACATTATCAAATTATGGAGCTATTAAGCTTAAACGATTCGTCTCGCAATTTACACATAATTTGTGTAATTAGTTTTTTCTATATTTAATACTCTATACCTATGTTCAAATATTCGATGTGGTAATGTGAAAAATTTTTTGTTTGGAAACTAAATGGCCGCCCCATTTTTCTCCCTCTTTTCTTACCTCTTTTCCCGGACATCCGGGACCCACCTTGCTTTGTGTGCTCGAGAAATACTCCAACTGGATCAACTACAGTCACTGACTTGTGGGTCCGAACAAACCACGGGCCCACTTGTCAGCCTTCGATGGTGTTGCTTCTTTTCCGCTACCCAACGTGACAGAAGGCGCGCCCAGCCGGCGATGCGGATCATCCTGGCCGTCTACGGCCATCGCGGGTTCGGGCGCGCATGGGCCTCGGGATCCGTGCCCGCGAAGGTGATCTTGGTGGGTCCCGCAAGGAAAATATCGTCTCGGGAGTGGGCCCCGTTGTCAGGGTCAGCCTAGCCGAGGCGGGAGGACACGTGTACGGCGACCCAGGCGAGGTGGGCCCGGTTTGGCATTCACCCACCCGCGAGGGAGGCAGTAGCAGCAATGAGGAGGAGCGAGACACGGGGAATCTGGCAAGCGGGCCCGGCTTTACAGCTGGGCAATAACAACGCCTCACGTATCACCCCCCTAGTTCGCGCGCACTTTGCCCGCTTTTTTTTTTTTTTTTTTACGCGCGCGTCTCCTCCCTCTCGTAGAGGTAAAAAAAAGTGGTGCGAAAACCGCGAACGGCAGCAACGGTAGTTTTGCTTTGCACTCTACTCAAACTCAATGCTGCTGCCACTCATGCTCTTCCCATTTGCCACATGTGAAGGTTTTGTACATGCATCGTTTGGCATGCAGCTGACAAACCGTAAAACAGCATGTAAAGGAAAAAAATTGTTGGCAAATTTTTCATGTATATTTTATTTGTGGTTTAAAAGCTAATGTAAAAAAAATTACGACAAAATACTTTAAATTTTTTAAAATTTAAAATTTAGCACTTCCTCCGTCACAAGATAAGTTTGTTCTTCTCCTATCACACATACCAATACAAAACCTAAAAGACTAAAATACCTATATCTTATCAACTCTCAATGCAATGTTTTCTCACTTTATCTACTTCTAATACAACTTAGTATTACTTATTTTCACGAACGTCAATACAATGATTATCCAAAAATTAATTTATTTTGTGACAACTAAGAGAAGCTAAAAAAATAAACTTATTATTGGACGGAGAGAACAAAATGTAAGCAATGCTACTGTTTGGTTTTTTAAAAATATCTTTAACTCTTGTGATGCAATGTTACTGTTTGGCCCCATTGGTAGATGATGGGTAATGTGTACTAGTACCACTATTGTGCACAGGGAAATTTACTCGTGATCGCAAGGACAAGGTAAGAAAAGTTTAATCAATCTAGCTCGTTGAATGGAACAAACAAACAACCCACATTCCATTAAGCCCCCACACGAAACAAAAGCTTGGTACACGTAGAACAAAATAAAAGTTGGAGCCTCCAAAGAAACGAGACCTTCACTAGCTCCCCACATACCAAGAACAGTGTCACTCTAGCTTCTTCCTCTTTCTCTCTATAAATCTTTTCCCGAGCCAAGAAAACCACCATTAAACCCACCACCACCGCCACCTCCTCCACCTCCATGGCGATGGCGATGCACCGGTTCAGCCTCTGCTGCGTCGTCCTCCTCGTGCTCGCGCCGCTCGCCGCCGTCGCGTGGCGGCCGTGGCCGCCACGGAATGGGAGCGGCGAGGTTGAGGGGATCGGGGCGTCCAAGAAGTTCGAGGGGTCGTCGGATTTCGTCAAGCTGCAGTACCACATGGGCCCCGTCCTCGCCGCCGACATCACGGTCCACCCGATCTGGTACGGCCGGTGGCCCGCCGAGCAGAAGCGCACCATCCGCGCGTTCCTCCGGTCGCTCTCGCCGCCGGGCTCGGGCTCCGGCGATGGCGGCATCCCGTCGCCGTCCGTGGCGGCGTGGTGGCGCACCGTGCGGCTGTACACCGACCAGACCTCGGCGAACGTGTCCGGGGTGGTGAGGCTCGGGCGGGAGAAGTGCGACGCGCGCGCGTCGCGGGGCGGGCGGCTGACGCGGCTCGACATCCAGTCCGTGGTGCGGGACGCCGTGACGGCGCGGACGCGGCCGCTCCCCGTGGACTCGAGCGGCGTGTACCTGGTGCTGACCTCGCCGGAGGTGGTGGTGGAGAACTTCTGCGGGCAGGTGTGCGGCTTCCACTACTTCACGTTCCCGTCGGTGGTCGGGTACACGCTGCCGTACGCGTGGGTGGGGAACTCGGCGGCGCGGTGCCCGGAGGTGTGCGCGTACCCGTTCGCCATCCCGTCGTACGTGGGCGGGGGGCGGAGGGCGGAGGCGCCGCCGAACGGCGACGTGGGCGTGGACGGGATGGTGAGCGTCATCGCGCACGAGCTGGCCGAGCTGGCGTCGAACCCGCTCGCCAACGCGTGGTACGCCGGCGAGGACCCGTCGTTCCCGACGGAGATCGCCGACCTGTGCGAGGGGATCTACGGCACCGGCGGCGGCGGCGCGTACACCGGCCAGCTGCTCACCGACGGCCGCTCCGGCGCGTCGTACAACGTCAACGGCGTCGGCGGCCGCAAGTTCTTGGTGCAGTGGGTGTGGAACCCCATCCTCAGCTACTGCTCCGGCCCCAACGCGCTCGACCAGTAGCCGCCGCCGCCGCCACGCACGAACGCAGTGTTCGTCCGCCCATGGATTCGGATTCCTTTTCTTGGGAATCCATGGTAGCTTTAAATTCTTGTATAGATCGAGCCGGTGAAGTGAACAAGGGTGGCGATGTTTGGGGTTTTGGGTGACTTTGGGTGAATGGATGGTATGTTTGGGGGAGACTGTTTGGAACTTTGAGATTATTTTGCTTACCACCATGGCTCAAATGCTCAATTCGTTTGTTTGAGTTCGTTCTTCTTGAACTAAGTTTGAATTCGAACTCAGCAATTTGGCATTGCAACAGGTAAAATTTCATGAGAATTTTGGAAGCTAGACATGGGCATGGCCGCATTGGCAAAACAGTCACAGTTCAAACGATGTTGAGATGGTCGTTGATTGACAGGCGGCCATTAATCACGGGATTAATTGATGCCGGGGATTGAAAACAAGATGAGATTGATGATGCCCGTGAGTGTGAGTTGTGGCAATGATTCATGGGCAATTGCGGTTTTTGTTGTGTAGCGCAGGCACAAGCACAACACTAGGCAGTAGTGTGTGTAGGCATTCAGCTGAACACAGCTGGTTCTGTTTCTGTTTCTCTCTTCTCTTCTAACTACTGCACTAACACTGCTTCGTGTAGTAGTGTACTAGGTCTGTGTTTACATCCAAACAAACTTCAGTCCTTTTCCATTACATCAATATGTCATACACACACAACTTTTCAGTCACATCATCTCTAATTTTAACCAAAATTCAAACTTTATGTTGAACTAAACACAGCCGGGCTTTTGCACGCATTATTGGCCTCCGAAATGGAGGAGGTGATACTGATAGCAACTGGTGCTGTGAAATCATGGAGAGGCAGGCAGGCAGGCACCAGGCCATCAATATTCATGTTGGCTTGGCTGGCTCACTTTGCAATGATGGGTGGACCAATTCAGCTTCATGATATTCAGAGATCTCCCTGGACCCTGGTGAATTCTTTGCTCTTCAGTTTGCAGGACAGAGTAGGGCTTACATTCTTCATTGAGCCCCATCGAGATGCTGATTTTTCATTAATTCGAATGAACTTCGACAAACTTTGTTGAATGGAGTTTGATAAATTTTGAAGAAAACCATTCGAGATGCACATTTTGAGCCAACTTTGAAATGTTTAAAATTCGTCGATATTGTGAGCACACGATATTCTGGCCTCTCTAGGTCCCTAGCCAAGGGGAAGAGAGATTATTTCGGTTGATTTGTTTTGCTACCATGCTATAATAGAGGTAATACAAAACTTGGGCACTTTTTAGCATTGCCAATATTTTGATAACACGTGTGTACTTGATATTACTATCTTTGTCCCAAAACGTTACTACATAGTATAAGATTTGATCCATCATACGACAACGAATTTGAACAACCCTTTGTTAGCAAACCAAACTCTATCTAACAAGTAGTATAATTCAAAATGCCAATTTGATAGTAGGCATTTTGGCTTTAAAAGCTAAAATAATAGCATAACAAAACTTTAGCATCAATGCATGGAAATCCATTTTACCTCTACCCTAGAGAAATTTAATGTTACCAAATCTTATCCAAACTCAACAATGTAAGTTACTACTAAGACACAAAACCAAACCAAACCAACAATAGGCAGGTCCTGGCTACCCAATTGATTCTGCTGCTGTGTGGTCATGTGATCATGTCATGCTAGGCGTCCTTTTAGAATAGTACATAGCACTCGAATGGTGTACCGGGGTGAGCCATCAATACCTCCGTCCTGAAACCGATGGATTGTGTTAGCCTCTGCTCGATCAACGCTACTGCTAGAAACAGCTTGGATGAATGCGATGGGCAGCATATGTAAATGCGGTTTTATTCCTGTCCGTGTAGCGTGGCCGCACGTACGGCAGATAATGTAGTAGTGTGCTCCATGGCACGAACTTGTAGAAATTCTGCATGCTTGTACTCAAGATAATGTCGGCTATAAGTACATTAAAGACTTGCTCTTAGGCTTGTCTCGAATACAAGAACTTTGTAGGATTTTCACGGTAAATAGTTGATTACATGTAAAATACCTTTAAAATTCCTTTACGACAATAGATGTCGAGGCATTCTGGTTAGTTAATTTAGAGCGGGCAAAAGATATCTCTTTTCCTAGAACAAAATGTGGCAAGTCTTAAGTTGTGGCGGTGAAACAAACACCTACCTAATAGATATGGCTTGACATTGTAAAGCAATCAACCAAACACAACTCATAGATTCGATCCCCTCCAATTCTCTCCCATTCGCATATGACCGATCACTATCGTTGGGATGCTTAAGAGAAAAAGAATGGTACTAGCAACATTTGGAAGATCGCTTGTGCAGTCCAGCACCACCGCTTGCTCTGCTACTGCACACCACTTATGCTGATGTACTCACTGTTTTGCTGTTGGGGCCAAGGTGGTAGGCCAGGAGGTCATGTCATCATGCATCTCTCGTTCGTCATGAATTCCTCCATCGCTTTCTCTTTTCCAATAGCTCGCTTTTGTTCATCTTTTACAGCTGTTGTAAGCCGGTCAAAGAGGATCATGAATAAGAGTGTTTAGTTCCAACGCTAAAATTAAAAGTTGGACTAAAATTGAAAGTTTGAAGAAAAATGTTGAAAGTTTATGTGTGTAGAAAAGTTTTGATGTGATAGAAAAGTTGAAAGTTTGAAGAAAAAGTTAGGAACTAAACCCGGCATAAGCCCTTTTCAGTTTTTAGCCCCACTAAACCCAGTGGCAATGATGCCTGCGGCCTGCCCTCAGAAGAGCAGATTCATGCTAACTGTTCTCAAAAGACAAATCCATACTTACAAAAAGTACCGAAAACAATAAAAGTAATTTTACCGTACCTAATAAAGTATTGGATTGTATCGTATCTTTTAGTATAAAATTTAATACCTCTTGGTACCTCTAATATTAGAATGTACAAAAATTTATAATAAAAAGATGATACCTCTCGATACTTCTTTCTTGAAAACTGTAAAATTTCTCAACCAATAATACATCTCATGTCAAAAAGGTTGTGACATATGTGGGATTATTGTGCCACTATGAAAACACTGCAAGATCCTAAAAATCGTAAGACAATGCAAACAAAACATACAGTTGGTTTGGGCCGTGATGTTCTATTTCTGTGGGAAACAAAGGCCCATCTGTATGCTTGGGCTTTTAAGGCCATCGGTCCTCTGGCCCATAAGGCCATAAGACGAGTAGAACATGAAGTTTGCTCGATGGCATATATGGTTGCGAGTAATAGTGTGAAGTAAATACAGGGGATGCATTCACCAAACTTGAAACTTTTCTCACGTGTCAATCGATAATATTTCATTACCCCTTGTGTTTGAGTAGGGGCAGCATGCTCCCATTCATCCACTCTTCGATATTTGTTATACTATAGCGCCATAGACAAATGCATATGTATATGTGGATTATTACATGGGCAGGATAGATAAGGAGATGATGAGAGATGGAGAAGGCAGTAAGTACTCATCCTTCCAAGAAAAAACTCAACCTTAGATGATGTTTCGTTCTAATTAAGGTTGAGTTTTATTTTGGATGGAGGAAATAGGCAGGTAGGATTAGGAGGTTGGAATGAGAAGCATCGAGAGATAAGCGGCTGCCACCCGCCATGGCGGAAGAACTGGTGATGGAGAAACTCCTACAATGACGGGTGGAAGATGCAGTTCGCAGTGGCAATGGTTGGTTGGAGGCGGTGGAAACACATGCGACGCGATTAAAATCAGCTCCAACAATCCACTCATTTGTGTTGGTGTGATGACGATAACACCATGGCTGTATCAGTGTGTGGGGACCGTATGTTCGTCTAGCTTGTGCCTTGTTAGCGGCTTTGGTTGGGTGTTGAGATCCGTTGTCCTGTTTTCGTTGTCGTGGTAGATTAGATTAGTTGGTGGTGCTGTGTGATAGTTGTGGTTTTCACCCAGTTTTCTCTAATTAATTGTGTATTGTAAGGTTTGGTCCCGTTTTCTCGTCAAAATGGAGCACCTTCTTATTTATATAAAATGTCGGCGAAGGCCTAATCATTCGAAAAAAAAACAATCCACTCATTTTCTAAAAAAAAGCTCCAACAATCCACTCAATGAAGACATGACGTACACAAATGGTGATCGAATTGCATATCGTCGTTCGTACGAAAGATGGGTAGATTACTGCAGTTGAAAGTTCCTCTGTTTTAGGCACAATGTGAAGAGATGCAAAGCTAAGCACTCATTTCATAAGAATTACTAATATTAATGCATTAATACGAGGGGTCATATTGTTTTTTTTTTTTCATTTTTGGAAATGTAAAATCCTTGTTAAGCATGTCTAGGCATGAAGTGACGACTACGTATGATTTTTTTCTCCCTTTTCCTTTGAGTGTTATGCTTGCTCTGGTCCATAGGCAATGCATTTTTTGTGAGCAAAACCTATCAAAAAGAAAAAAAATCACTAAACTGAGAAGCTCAACAAGAGCCAGAATGTAGTCATGTGGAGCAATAAAGCAGCACATGGGGTATGACGTGGCCCTTCAACCTTATGCAGCCGAGCTCTATAAATTGATCAAAGCATAATGTTTGTTGCAGCAACAAGCACCAAAATGCACATAAGGTTTGCTCAGTTGATCATTTTCACACGATCCATTTTGTAGAGGCTTACACATGACATAAGATTGGGAGGTATCGAAAATCAACACACTACATCTAACTCTATCGGTGTATGTAACTCTGTATGGTTGGTGGAGAAGATGGTTGTGAGCTTGGGGAAGAAGATGATTTCCTTCATGATCCAAGATGCCCGGGTTAAGCTCCATGTGGACGATGGCGAGCTCAAGAACAGTTTCGCCTCTTGGTGTGGCTTGAGCACGTGAAGATTTGATTAGTTCAAAACAACAACAACAAAAAAAAAGAACGTCTTTGATGGCCTCATGCACGCTCCATCCAAATGCATAGTTGTAAATATCCTCTCGATCTTCCTCTATTTTACATGCGTGTATTCCTATTATTTTTCTATTCTTGTAAATTTTTTTCAATCCTATATTTTGCAATCGTGCTATTTCAAAACGTAGGGAAGTTCTTATCCAATTTTTATGTTTCTTTTACAACTAAGCATTTGGGGTCAAATCTTTCTTATCCAATTTTTATGTTTTTTTTCAATTCTCTGTTTTACATTTGAGTTCCTATTTAAATGCAAGAATAGCCAAGCATGCAAGGCTAGAAGGATGAGCATCAATATATTGAAAAACATTTTACACTTATGCCTCATGGTCACTTGCGTCAGAAATACAACATAATTATTACAGGAAGAAAGTTACCAAAATAATATTACTCGGTGCCACAGGTGGTTGACTCCATCATTGCCATGTGCAAGGCGTTTGATGAAGCCCAGACGGTTTAGATGATCTTTCTACGCATCTTGTTGTTAGTCGCTTTGCATTGCCTTAAATTTTTGTATCCCCCTCCTATTCCCCCTCTTCCAGGGGATCCCCTGACACTGGATGTTGTATGATGTAAAACTTTATTTCTCCTCTCTTTAATTGAAATTGGCAGAGCTACTGCCCTTTCCCCTCGAGAAATAGCTTTAGAAACTCAACGAGAGCAAATATAAATAACCTGGTAAACCCTCGTACACTAGTTATGAAAGGATATGTCCCATCTATTAACTTATTAAAGTAACAGAAAAATGAGCCTCCACGTCCGCTCTTACGGCCTATAAATTCTCACATTAATAAGGGAAAAAGAAAAGTAGAGTCCATATAGAAATACAATTTAAAAATATCAAAAATTCAGAATTAAAAATAGGGAATATAGGAAGAGTAGACTAGAGTTCATACAAGCATACAAGTTAGAACTAATTGAAATTCAGAATTTTTTTTAAAAAATAAAACTAAAGGAATACAATTTGAAAATAACTAAAATTAGAATTAAAAAAATAAGGAATATTGGAAGAAGATTATATAGCCCATATAGAATAATAAGAAAAAAAAACTGAAATTCAGAATTAAAAATAAAGAATACTAAAAGATGAGTCTAGACTCTAGAGTCCATATAGAAATACAATTTAGAAATAAGTAAAATTCAAAATTAGCAAATAATTAATAACTATCAACACAATACAAAATTCAAAATTGTGTTGCTATTTTTAATATATTTTAATAATAAAATATGAAACTATTTAAGCTATTATATGAGAAAAAAATATAACGATGCTAGCCGTGCAATCTGCATGGGCCACCATGCTAGTTTTGTGAAAGAAAGTAGTGATGCACAGGCAAATTAGATTACTCGCAATAAGTCAATACAAAGGTATTTTTTTGAGCGATTTTATTGTCCTCGAGAAAATATCGTACCTTATTTTCTTTTTTTAAAAATTTATTATCTTTCGATATCTCTTAAGGCTATTGATGTGGATAGAAGTAACAAACAAACTAAGTGAAGTAAATACAGGCCAATATATACCCTGATCAACCCTCACATCTCTGAAGAATTACATTGCATTACTGTTGCGATGATCGAGTAGCTAGCTATATATAGGCAGCATTGCATTGCCCATTCATGATTCATCCACTCTCGTTTAGTTTTGTCCTTGTTATATTTTGCGTGCGTGTCTAAATATATGTTGGTGATCACATGGCAAGCTAGACGAGGAGAGATAATTAGGCGATGAGAGGTAGAGTAGAACATGAGGCATCGAGAGACCAGCAGCTGCGATTATCGCCTTTGGAAGCCCAATGCGGCGAGGAATTCGTCATAGAATGGCCGGTGCAGAACCGACGGATGTCCACGGATTTGGGGAGAAATATGCATGTTGTGCTGAACCATTGGCAAGAATAGTTCTTCTATGCAGACATCTAGTAAACTTCACAGAAATAGCATCAGCCAACATGTATATGTGTATATGAAATGATTTCAGTGCCTCAACCGGTGAATTGTATGAACAAAATGTGCAAGATAACGGAACTGATCGTGGATTTTGAGACAATTTCAATTGAAACCACATTGTTTTAATTACTTTTTTGCAAGGTTTGGAAAGGGGAATATCAGGAAGGTTAGTCGATTACTTTGATTGGCAATTCTTCTGTTTTAGTCACATTTTTAAGGGAAGAAAACTATAAACAAGAATGCATAATATGATGGTTGTAGAAGTCCTATTGCGCTTTTCATTTTTGCAATGTAAAATCCTTGTTAAGCATATATACTACCTTCGTTTTTTAATAGATAACGCCGTTGACTTTTTCTCACATGTTTGACCATTCGTCTTATTCAAAAATTTTATGCAAATGTATATGATATAAATCACACTTAAAGTACTATGAGTGATAAAACAACTCATAACAAAATAAATTATAATTACGTAAATTTTTTGAATAAGACGAATGGTCAAACATGTGAGAAAAAGTCAACGGTGTCATCTATTAAAAAACGGAGGGAGTACTTAATTAGGCATGCTGATATATTTTATTCTTTTCCTTGTGACTGTTATATATTCTGGTGCAAACAGGCAATGCATTTTTCTGTGAAATGGCATTTAGTCGCAAAACAAATCCATATTTTTATGATATGTAATTAAAGGCAAATCGCTAAAGTTGAGAAGCTCAACATGAGCCCAGAGTGCAATCAAGTAAGCACATGGGTATGACGTGGCCCTTCAACCTTATGCAGCCGAGCTCTATAAATTGCTCAAATAAATCATACATTTGTTGCAATAACAACAACTCAGCAAGCACCCAAAATGCAAGTGTCCACTCCGACTAGCTTCACTGTCATTTTTGCTTCGTCCATTTCTAGGGCTTGGACAGTATGTATGGCATAAGATTAGGAGGTATCGGCAATCAACATGCTACCAGAGCGATAGCTTGACCTGTACACTACCAATTGTGTTCTTGATGTAATTGTGTTCCTTCCTGCATGCCGAATTCACAAAGATCCCCTACTAATTCGATAATTTCTATACACTACTAATTGTGTATGGATGAAGCCAAGTACAAAACAACCTGAATGGCACATATATAAGGCTGTGAGGAGTGTCCATTTATCTTGATTTCAGCACCTCCCTATGATGACCAAATCAGTGGCGGATCCATGCATATCCTTTGGGGCCGAGTTTTTGGAAAAACCCTTTAAAAACCTCAATTTTTATGTATGAATCCAGAAAACTTAGAAAAATGACCCCACTTAAATATAAACTGGTATTAATCGACCCCACAGGGTTAAATTCCTGGCTCCGTCACTGGATCAAACTATGTTAATGTAGAGACGAACCGGTGCATATGCTATATTGCTAGGGTTAGGAGGCATCCAAGATGATGCTACTAGTGCAGATTTTGAGCAGTGGTGGGTGACAAGGAACTGGAAGAAGATAGAATATTCAGTTGTGTAGCTCACATCTGCAGAACTTGGTGTAGTCCTCTTCGATGATCATTCAGAGCTTCCATAACATCCACTGCTTTCCAGATTAAGGCTCCCTTTGATTCAAAGGAAATCTATAGGAATTTTAGAGGATTTCATTTCTATAAAATTTTTTTCTATACAGCCCTTTGAATCAAAGGAATTGATCTTATGGAATCCTATGAAATTTCTATGGAATGCCTAATGCATGTAAGTTTTGGAGGAATTCTAGTATAAGATAGAACCTCATGGAAACTTTCCTTTGAGTCTTTATATCTTTTCTAATTTCTGCATTTTTTCTGCTGTCCAATCAAATGGCTATTCCTGTGTTTTGCAATCCTTTGTTTTACACTTACATTCCTATCAAAATTTTATTTTCTCTATTCCTAGGTTTTCTCATTCCTGCGATTCAAAGGACCCGGAGAGACGTGTTTTCTACTTATCAACGAAGGACGCTGCGACTGATGGTCAAAGAACTCTTGCACGCTGCAGTTTGTAGCATTTTACTCTCGTACTCTTCCATGCCTGCTTCGCTCGGCTTGGCCTACACCACTGACGACTTGTTGGACGGTCGCCACCTCACTGTTCCTTGCATCAAAAAGGCCGGGGCATTTAAAAGAAACTATCTTGTCGATTATGTCGTAGATCACTATCAGTTCTGAGCCTCCAGTTGTCTGTGATAAGCACAACTGCTAACTTACAACCAACTCGATGTTACCGTATGCATACGCTTGAGAAACGTCTAGGGGTTTTCCAGCTAGCTCCACAAGATGGTGGGTTAGCCGGCTTGAGTTCGAAGCTTCATCCCTTCTATTTATTTGATATTAGGTCCTTTACTAATATTAACTTCTTCTTTTTTACTATATGCATATGCGTCATTGCAGAATAGGGATCGAAGGGTTGCTGCCCGACCACCAGAGGAAATTTAAGACGATAGAAGAGTTCGCGGGGATTCATGTCAAGAACTCACAACTGTTAAGGCAAAATCTTGCCTAGTGTGGTAAATTAAACAGAAAGTCTACATATTGATGTAGTGAAACAAATCCTTTCATGATCAATAAGAACTTGAAATTAAATTAGATTGGACATGTGCTAAGTGCACATTATGCAAGAACTGGTCTTGTTTAAAACTTGGTTTGGCCTATTGTATCTACACTTTTTTACTTATAGTTTAAACAGGACTATAAAAAGATGAGCAGAGCTATAAAGTGGGAATTGAATTCCATTGTCACCTAGTATAATGCCACGTAGGCATTCAGTAAAAAGGCTAACATATTAATAAGAGAATCAAATAGCAATTCAAATCCAGAATTAACACATAGTTCTAGTAATAGTACTACCTCCGTTTTTAATAGATAACGCCGTTGACTTTTTCTCACATGTTTGACCATTCGTCTTATTCAAAAAATTTACGTAATTATAATTTATTTTGTTATGAGTTGTTTTATCACTCATAGTACTTTAAGTGTGATTTATATCTTTTACATTTGCATAAAATTTTTGAATAAGATGAATGGTCAAACATGTGAGAAAAAGTCAACGGCGTCGACTATTAAAAAATAGAGGGAGTACTACATTATTATTGAACTCTTCCTCCTATTATGACAGGGACATGGTCGCTGATATATGTGAGCCTCACCATCCATGGGACCATATATCAGTGACCACGTCGGATAAGTGCACTATGGTTGTTGTGGCAGCTACTTCTATGAGAGCATATATATATATATATATACACTCCTCATTGAGATATGCATGGTGATTTACCTACTCCTAGTCCTAGGCACGAAAGCAGTGTATTCCATGGTGCAGTTCATAGGATTGAGAGGTATCAGGAACTTAGCTCCAACTTATCCTCATCCGAAGTAAGTACTGGTCTCCTTCATTTTTTTTAGATAATACTGGTCTCCTTCATCCTTCAAGACAGATTGATTTTCAGCTGTGCATGAAGAAATGGAAGATTTCAGTCAGTTTTAATTTCGAATGGCTAACCGTCTTTTGCTTAGCTCGCACACGACAGGGCACTGGGCACAATAGATCTACGCAACTTCGTCTGAAATTAAGTGATGATCAAACTTATCTTTTATTAACTGAATCCAAACCTATCATCTCCATTCCTAGCAAGTTGGCTCCATGTTTCTTAGGCTAGAGCAGTACAACCATGACAGAATGATTGATAGTCCAGTAGTGAGATAAATAGTTAATTAGCAAGATCACCACACTTTGGAGCACAACACAATGACAAGCACCTGCAAGATTGTTACATTGACCTTCAAAATTTCTTGTGTTGCAGGACGAGTTGATCTTGGCAACCTTGATCAGGTGGATGCAGTAAAATGTGCAAGCAGTAACCAAGCAAGGCTGCTTCTCTCTTCATGCCGTCCACAGTTGAGCAGGCTCGTGCTAAATAGTTCATCAGACTTGTAGCAGATCCCGCATTGACAACCAAAAGTGGATCAAATCGATACCGAACGAAGCTCAGTCACCAGCCTTTGGTACTGATCGTCTCCATTTGGTATGAATTGGCGTCCAATCTTGCTTCTCGTCTAAAAACTCAACAGATCAGTGTCGCTGTTACTGATAATCAATGCACACTGTGGCTGTGCGGCCTATTCGGTTTGGTGGATTTTCGCGGGAATTTTGGAGAAATCGAACTGTTTCCTATGAAAATACTGTAAAATTCTTGCGTTCCTAGGAAGCCCTGCAAACCTCATGTCCTCATGTGCTTTAGTTGTAACACTACTTTGCAGTTTGTGTTTTGCCGGTTTGTGCTATCCATTCATGTGTGCAACTACTGAGGCCCCGTTGAACGCATCAAACTCAGCGAAACATTCAATTCCCACTAGAAATTAAAGAAGTTCCCAAATTCAAAATTTTTTAGTGGAGAGGTATGCACTTATACTTTTAATTAACTTAAAGATGAATATTGTAGTGTGCCATCGATTTTGTAACCTAATGGGATCTCACATCATTTTGACTCCCCAAAATTAATTTGTCATCAAATATTTACCACAAATCTGTGATAGCAACCAGACCTCTACACACTCCTTTAAAAGGATGCAGTTGTTATTATCTTTACAAAGAAAGAATGCAGTTTTTACAGCAGAAATGGACTCCCACAGGTTATACTCTGTTTGAAACATTTTGGTTCTTCTTCAGTTTTACTACCTTAGAATTACGCTGAGCTGTCCATTCCCCAACGACCAGCCCAGTTAACCCCCCAAAAAGGTGTTTTTTTTAATAAAAGATCTGGAAGTTCACTTATGCTAACACTGAATTCAATCTAAAATGATGCAGGGCTGATGTGTTTTCATTTTTTTTAAGTTAATAGAAGCTTTAATGAACTTGTCAAGTTACATCAAGGTGATATAGCGACATCTGCATAATTGAGATGTACACAACCAAAACACACACACACACACACTCACACGCTAATTTTTAACGGAGGAAAAAAACAAAACAATTAAGGTCCATTAATCCGTAGAATAGATTGTCATCTATACTTCTATGTAAAAACCTCCCTGGCCCCTTGAAAAAACTCATTAGCCCAAGTTCCCTCAATATAGAATACCAAGTTCCCCAAAGAAGAGGAGTTGCATTACCACAGCTGGTTGGTTCGAACCACCCGGCACGAGTTCAATCCCCAAGATCGACACTCGCGCGTCTCATTGACAGATTTTTCTTGTTTTCCCCGAGACTAACTTCGGTTGATTCCATTTAGGTAAAAAAGTACTACATCCATTTTTTAATAGATGACGCCGTTGACTTTTTCTCACATGTTTGACCATTCGTCTTATTCAAAAAATTTACGTAATTATAATTTATTTTGTTATGAGTTGTTTTATCACTCATAGTACTTTAAGTGTGATTTATATCTTATACATTTGCATAAAATTTTTAAATAAGACGAATGGCCAAACATATGAGAAAAAGTCAACGGCGTCATCTATTAAAAAACGGAGGTGAGTGTTCACTGGTAATATGCTTCTCTCACACACCAAAACTTTAGATCCTCCAAGTCTCTAGTTTAAGCGTGTGTGTTGGACACACAGTGTGTGCATGTGTGGTGTGGTGTGAGTGTGAGAGTAAGTTCATGTGCATCTTTATATGTACCATTCACTAAAGAAACTGGTTACTAATAGGCAGAGTTTGCAATATCAAAATTAGATTTTTTTTTTTGCCCCGGGGGGAACCGAAATATCAGAAATTTCTTTGCCGAAATTATTTGAAAAATTGATAAATTTTAAATGAATTTGAATAAACTTCGATAAATTAACAAAAAGTTGAAAAAAAAGGAAAAATTTTGGACGAGATTTGTGCTTGCCGATGGAGGGGGGGGGGGAGGGGGGTTTGCGAAATTTCATTTCGAAATTTCAATCACTGCTAATAAGCAGCCCAAATACAATTAGCACTCATGGGTCATGGCACAATAGTACGTCAATTCATGAGCAGGATTCGGCTAGTACTTCAACTTTACCATTGGGCAGAAACACAAGCACAAGCATCAGGAACCTGAAGACCAAATTTATTGGCCACAAACGCTGATAAAAGGCAGGGCTGTGACTGGAATGTGAACTCTAATTGGCCAATTGCATCCATACATACCCCGTATGCCTTTGGTGAGTGATGTTCATCATTGTTCATGGAATGAACTTATGAACAAGGTTTTTTTTTTTTAAAAAAAAAAGATAGAGAGATCTCAAGCCATCTACCGTGTGATATAGGATTTGGAGACATTGGGATATAAGCTTCAAAGCTAGTGCTCGCTCAAAGTACTTTGACGCAATCTTGTACTTCGTGGGTGGAAAACCAATGCTTTTCAAGTATTAGATTAGCCATATGGATGGCTTGGTTTATCCCAAGTAATTTACTCTTGTTGTCAATTACCATGGAGGACACAGGGCACCTCATGGTGCAATGCCGTGATGTTATGAAGAACTTTGGACTACTTGCATGAAAGCGGCAAACGCAATTAGTCAGTCAAATGCTGCAAATGCTGTATTGGAACCTGGCTACCAAACTTATGTTTTTATGTTTTAGACTTGACATGGCATGTAATCTGATTTACAACTAATTTATCTCTATGTGATAAACGAAAATGGTCCTCGTAAAGTTAGGTGTAGGGTTTCCCTTACCGCCGTAACCGCGCGGTTACCGTGGTTACCGGGCTTACCACGGGGTACGGTAATATAAATACCGCGGTAACATCCTTAAATGCAAATAAATTTAAAAAATAATTTGAATTTTTAATAAATTTTGCACGGTTTTGTACAGTTTTTCACGGTTACCGCGGTTACCATGTGGTAACCGTGCTTACTGTCGGGGCGCGGTAACCCCGGCCCCGGCGATTTGGAAAACCCTGGTTAGGTGTGTCCGTGTTACGTATACTCGTGTATACGTCTATATACGAGTGTTTACATCTGAAACGTGTTCTGCGAAAAAAAAAATTAAAAGAAAGAAATAAAGATGGTGTGCAGTGTGATCTGAGGCAAGCGAACGAGTTGCTTTAAGATTCGGATTGGACTCGTGTGATTGACACGAATCGGCACGAATCCCTCGAATCCCCACGCCGAAGCGAACCCTCCCGACGGCGGAGCGATGAGAAGCCACCGCCGGCGAAGGAGCGCCCGGAGGCTTGCGGTTTTCTCTCCGGTTAGGTCGCCGGCCCGTGCCCTCTTTCTCTGCCAGCGGAGTTCCCGTCGTCGACAGCGTCGAGCCCCGTCGCCGCCGCTGCCTCCACTGTACGCCTCCTCTCTCTCCCTCTCTCGCTTCATCGTCTCCTGTGCGGATTTAGTGTTAGGATCGCAGAACAAGTTTCCTCGTATTGTTTGAGATTGCAGGAGGATTATTACTGTTCTAAGGGGCAGTAGTCTTTTTTTTTTTCTTGTTTTAGCGGGGATAATGGCCAGTAAGTTGATCATATAACCTCTAATTGAGAATTTATTTACCCTTTTGGCCCCACATGTCATTGACCTTAAGTGGCCTCACATGTCAGTTGAATAGGAGGGTAAAGTCTATGTATGTGATCAAATTCTATGTATTTCTAGGGACTAATGCTGCACCTTGGTAAAATGTACTACATGTTTTTGACCCTTGTTAGCTTGGCTACTGCAAAAGGGTTCTTTTTGATTATGGATTTCACTAGATTAATTAATTACCGTGCTCATTGATATTGTTTGCTACAGCTTGGGAACTAGTACTGCTGCTGATCCTTCTGCACAAGAGCTGCAAGAACCTGATGCTTTGCTCTCTGGAGAGTTACTCAGTAGTACAGCACTGAAAGAACCGATAACTGCATCTACGTCTTCCTCTCCACAGACAGTACGGCGTGACGGCATTGACGCTTCCACACCATCAGGGTCATCTCCTGGGTCATCCATTTTGGTCAGGAGACCTCCTGGTTGGTATTTTGTATTCTACATCAGGATGGATCCTGGGGGACGTTTGCACATGTATCCTGATGTGGGTAATGGGCCATATCGGAGCCTGCCGGAAGTTGATGATGCTATCAACCAACATCTTCATAACCTGCGGATTCCAGAGATGTGAGGCTTCTTAACTTTGTTCTATCTCGTTATCTGTTTAATCGCTGCAAACTCTTGTGGTTGGATACTTGGATGTATTTATTTACCTTAACCGTTCATGGTCTCGCTAACTTGTGCAGACTGCAGACTACTTTATAGCGCATCATATTTGCCACTTTGAGACTAACACACTAATCATATGGGGGCATGTTGATGTAATTAGGGGCGAGGAGCTTGATAGGCTCCCTCTCATTGAGAGTATGATACGGCAAGATATGTACTGACCTGACGGCAAAAGGAAACATTTCAATTTAGTTGGGGGTTATGAAAAGGATAACCGTTGTTTGGTCCAAGCTTTAGTTGAGAAGTACAATGATGATCATAATCTTTTGGGGGTATGCTCTCTCTCATCTATCTAAATACCCACACAACATATATGTCTATATCTTATGTCCTATTGTAACACTTGATGATCTGATCCATGTCTGTTATTTTAGGATTTTGCTTATGAACTGAAGGAATTTTTGCAAATTGGAGTAATGTATGAGGACCAAAGGTATTACTACCATATCAATTTCACTACAAAAACAAAAGGAGCCCACAAGTCTGGCTGTGCCATGGACAACCTATTCTTTGCTGAACTATCGCATATGCAAGGAAAGGATGAATGGGTGATCAGCTGTTGCTGTGTAATTAAACCTGCCGCTAATGGTAATCACTCTTTAATCTTTATTTAACTATTGCATGTTCATGTTGCTGGTTCACTTATTGTATTATTTACAATTCCAGTTCAATATAGTAGCACAGATAGTTTCCTGTTTTAAAAAATATGTAATGTGGTTGTGCTTTGGAAATTTGTTTGGATAGCAGTGTAGCTTATGCTAATAGGAATTTGTGCACACATTTTTTGTTCATCTTTGACCACACAGCTGTTGTTTGCTGGCAGTAAAATGACAAATGTGCTCCCTTTCTTTTGTGAAGGTCACTGCTATGGTTGTAGAAATGATGGAAAATCTGGTTTGAAGCACCCCAACAATTCTGATGCTTACAGTGGTGGTCATTTGGATGGCTGTTTGCCTTTTGGACTAAACGATTCGCGCAGCAAATACGACGGTCTCAATGTATGGAGATTTATTTGACAACTATTTACTTCCTTTTTTTTTGTTACTCAATCGTTAATGACCGGACTTTTCTCTCGCTTTACAGCCGGAAGATGAGGAGGCTATGCTAAGATCTTTGTATAAGGTAATAGCAACACGTCTTGGGCAGTAAATTACTGATGTCACTTAATGTCAGCTACTTGATTGATTGCCCCTTTGCTTGTATATTTTCTTTAGGGCATGGATGAACCAGGTTATCTAGAGGGACTCTTCGCTTAGCATGTAGCTCCAATTACGGTCGAAGACCATGGAGGAAGTAAGTTGGTGTGGAAGATAGTGTAAAGAAGCTGGTGTGGAAGACAATGCTATGTTATTGGGTCAAGGGTTGGTTTGGTTCGTGGCCTAAAAAGGCCTTGCCAAATTTTGGCAAGTTATTTATCTAAAAAAAAAATTTGGCAAGTTTTGACATGACTAATTTTGGTAAGGTAAAGTTGTGTTTGGATTGAAGTCAAAATAATCTAAGTTCACTATTAAAATGGCATATTTTCTGAGGCATGTCAAAATTTGGATTCAAACCAAATAGACACTAAACACTATTGAAATTATCAAATATTGGTAAGTCTAATTTAGGCCCCAAACCAAACCAGCCCTAAGTTAATGTCTTACTGGCTTGAACTGATGTGAATTAGGCCAAGTGTGTCCTTTTGCCAGCCAGAGTATTGCTGACAGGATTCCCATTTCGCGCTCGTTGGAGGAAAAAGCAAAATGACGGAAAAATAATTTTTGATTACAACTTTTATGTATGTGCTCTTAACGTTTTAAAAGTAAATGCTGAAAAATAAACTACAATAAAAAAACCGCCAAAATCAATTTCAAATTTAAGGTTGAAAATTCAAATTTTAATTGATAAGCATAAGCTAAAAGATTAGGCTGAAAATCATGCAAATGCAGAGCTGCGGAGGGAACGTAGCGCTGATTCAGTTGGGGTGGGGACGGCCGGTCATACGGGAAAAGTAAACGTGTATATGTTTTTTCATTTTTTTAAGAGTGTGTCAAACTCAAAATTTAAAACGAGAATGGGTAAATTTCTATTGAAAAATTTAAAAACTTTAAACTCAAAATTGAAAAAAAAAATGATACATTTAAACAAGTTCTGAGACATAGATTTGCCACACAGATAAACAAATTTAGAGATTGGCTGATGCACTTTACTCTTCTATGTTTATCTTAATTTAATTCTTTTTAACGTTTGAACATGTTATTTTTAGAAAAATGTAACAGCATTTTCAACTAAAATCTCAAACTCTCTGGCAAGCCAGCGTCAACCTCTCAGCAAAGCACTCCTCTACTATCTACTCTCGGTCACAGGCTGCTTTCTGCAGCAGCAGCCACAGAAAACGACCGAGAAAAGAAAAGAAAAAGGCCGAGACAGACGATCACACCCTGATCTATCTGAGGCTCCAAACACCTTAAAGAAGAAGACAATATGGATAGCCTGCCTATCTTGCTTCAATTTCTTCTCCAGCCACATACATTTCTGAAGGCTCTCATTTCACAGACCAAAAAAAAAAAAAAGTAAGAACCCTAGTAGCAACTAGCAAGAAGAGCAATAAGCAGTGGAGGTAGTTCATCCTAGCCGTACCGGAACAGAGAAGCCATGCAGGCCATAGAAAAAAAGAGAGATGGATATAGCTTCATGTATCTTGATGCTCAACCAAAAGCACCTATGGATCAGAAATTGTATGCACGAATTTTTTTTTCTAGCAACATTTGTGCAAGACTATAGTGAATAGCAAACTAACACACTGAGAGGAGATGACTTTAGGGAGAACGGAATATTGTAGCTGGACTATAGTCAAATGTAAATATTACCAAAACCAGTCCCCAATTGAATCAGGCTCAACTTGATGAATCATCTAAGGAGTGATCCAACAAAACAAACGTAAATGGAAAAGCAGTGCTTATTACAGGCCTAAAATACCACTCACGCTCCAATGCAGGCATCCCTCTCCCTTCATTATTCCAAGCTTTGGGCACAAGACCTTCATGGCTTCATGTATACTGTTCCTTGGCATCAACGATGACAAAAACTCAAAACGCGCGGTTTGAATCTTACAGGCTCTTTGCTGTTGCGATGACGTTCTCCGCGGTGATGCCATACTCCTGGTAGATCTTTCCAGCAGGAGCACTTGCACCGAATTTGTCGATGCCAATAGCCTTGCCTTTGCTTCCGACGTACTTCTGCCATCCAAGAGTAGACCCTGCTTCAAGGCTGACTCTTGCAGTAACAGCCTCAGGGAGAACACTCTCCTTGTACTCAGCCGACTGTTCATCGAAAAGCTCCCAGCAAACAAATGACACGACACGGACAGTCTTCCCCTCCTTCCTCAACTCATCAGCAGCCTTGGCGACAATCTCTAGTTCAGAGCCAGTGCTCATCACAATGAAGTCAGGCTTGTTGCCAGTTGAGTTGTCAGAGACGATGTACCCACCCTTCTCAACACCCTCAATCGAGGTACCAGGCAGCTGAGCAAGCTTTTGCCTGGAGAGAGCAAGGACGGATGGCCTCTTCCTGTTGAGGACCGCGATTTTGTATGCCCCAGCAGTCTCGTTACCATCAGCAGGACGAAGCATCAGAATGTTGGGCATCGCACGGAAGCTCACCAAGTGCTCAATGGGCTGATGGGTTGGACCATCTTCTCCAAGACCAATAGAGTCATGGGTCATAACATAGATAACTCCGGCTTCACACAAGGCTGAGATCCTCATGGCAGCTCTCATGTAATCAGTGAAAACAAAGAAAGTAGCACAGTATGGAATGAGTCCTGGGCTGTGCAGAGCAATGCCGTTGCAAATGGCGCCCATTCCATGCTCCCTGACTCCAAATCGGACATTGCGCTCCTCAGGCGTATCCTTCTGGAAGTCACCGAACATCTTAAGCAATGTCATGTTGGAGGATGCAAGATCAGCACTTCCTCCAAGAAGACCAGGAACAACTTTAGCAAGTGCGTTTAAGCACTGCTGTGACAGATTCCTGGTGGCATCTGCAGGGCTCTCTGGAGTGTATTTCTGTACAAATCAAGTAATCTACCATTAGAATGTCATCATTCACATACCAGCTCAAATGTTATGAGTAGAAATGGTAAAAGACTTACAGGAAGAGCGTCAGCCCAGCCAGCAGGCAACTCCCCTGAGACAATGCTCTTCAAGGTCGCTGCATCTTCTGGGTACTTCTTCTCATACTCGGCGAACTTAGCATTCCAGTCAGCCTCAAAAGCAGCACCTTGAGGCACATGGCGGCTCCAGTGGCTGTAACAGCCCATGCAAATAAACCATAAGGTGAGTGCTATGAAATTTCAACATCTCATTCAGATAACCAAAACAACAATAGACAAACCTCTTCACATCCTCAGGCACAAAGAATGGCTCATAGGGCCATCCAAGGTTCTCTCTGGTTGCTTCAACCTCTTTGGTACCCAAAGCACTTCCGTGGACGCTGTATGAGTTGGCCTTGTTGGGTGATCCAAAACCGATTGTGGTGGTCACCTAAAAAGAGTACATTTTGGCTAAATATGATAAGCTCTATAACAAAACACAGCATAACAGAATGTACAGGAATCTAACCTTGATTAGTGTTGGCTTGTCAGTTACCGCCTTTGCTTCCTTAATGGCGGCACGAATCTCATCATAGCCATCGTTTCCATTCTTAACCCAGATTGTATGCCACCCAAGAGCCTCAAAGCGAGCACTCACATCCTCAGTGAATGCAATCTCTGTGTCTCCGTCAATGGAAATGTGGTTGTCATCATAGAATGCAATCAGCTTGCCAAGACCCCAATGGCCAGCCAACGAGCAAGCTTCATTGGAGATACCCTCCATCTGGCACCCATCTCCCAAAATACAGTAGCTGCACAAAATCCATGAATCATGTTACCAAGGTTGCACCACCATAACTAAAGTGAAAACTAAAGGTATTCATGATAAAAAAAAAATTACGTGTAGTGATCAACAATCTCGCTGTCGGGCTTGTTGAAACGAGCAGCCAGGTGCTTCTCAGCAAGGGCCAGCCCAACTGCATTTGCAATACCCTGACCAAGAGGTCCTACAGAACGAAACCAAACAAGAAACCGAAACATTCAGTTCTGTATGTATTCAAGCATAGAAACTTAAAGGTGCTATGAGCTTCAGTTGAGATGACAGACCAGTGGTAACTTCAACTCCGGGCGTCTCGAAGTTCTCGGGATGGCCTGGAGTCTTGCTTCCCCATTGCCTGAATTGCTTCAAGTCCTCCTCCTGCAGCAATATGCGGCCATAGTTACAGCAAGCTCGATGAACAAATCAGTTGAAACTGAAGTCAACCATATTAAACACTTCACCGATCACTCCAGAATTTACAGTGAACAATTGCTCGACTTAATAGCATCTTCCAACTAATCTTCCTAGGAAGTATTACATAAGATTAAATTCCACTAAACAGATCTCTGACGACTGGAAAAGGTGCACACTTTTACTAGGAAAAAAACGAAGCCGCCACACAAAAATAGCAGTCAAGATCCACACTTTCCACTGCTTCACCTAACAAGATCCGAAACTTGCACGAACCTACTCCCGATTTATCCGCCCCAAACCAACCAACTCGAGAAGCGAAAGAGAGATGCAAGGAGCAAAGGGATATGGGAAGCGCTTACCAAGACGGCGTCGTAGCCGGCGAGGTGGAGCAGGGCGTACTGGAGCATGCAGCCGTGGCCGGCGGAGAGGATGAAGCGGTCGCGGTTGAACCAGTAGGGGTTCTTGGGGTTGTACCGCATGACCTCGTCGTAGAGGATGTGCCCCATGGGCGCGCACCCCATGGGCAGGCCGGGGTGCCCCGAGTTGGCCTTCTCGACGGCGTCGATGGCGAGGAACCGGATCGTGTTCACCGACTTCTCGAGCAGCGCCCCCGTCGCCGCCTGCCCCTCGAGCGTCTCGACCGCCGCCGCGCGCACGCGGTTGTTGTGGCGGCGGCGCGACGCGGACGCCGATGGCGCGCCGCGGCGAGGCGGGAGCGGGGAGCGGAGGCCGCGGCCGGCGAGCGCGCTGAGGCGGAACCCGAGGCGCTCCGGCGGCGCGGGCGCTGGCGCGGCGGCACCCGCGCGCGCGGCGATGGTGGCGTGCGCGGCGGCGACGGAGTGCGCGGCCATGGCGAGAGGAGTGGTGTGGTGGCGAGGAGAGGCGGAGATGGCGAGGTTGTGGGGTGGGAGATGGGATGGGTTATGTATAGACTTGGGGGTGCGTTTTGGGGGGACTCGTAGCCAATAAAAAGGAGGGGGCTATGGTGTGGACGTGGACATGGTGCATGGACCAGCATCCTAAGCCGCCATGGCTGGTGAGATTAGGAGCACTTTCTTCGCCGCAATTATTGAACCTATAATCTTTATAAAGTAGTTATTGTACTTATTTGATCTTTAAATTAGTTTTTATATTGTAGTTAACAAATGTTACTCCCTCCTTTTATATTATAAATCCTTTAAAAAAATTTTATCAAACTTTTTTTAAGTTTAACTAAATATGTAGAAAAATATATTAGTATTTTCAACACAACAATCATATTATCAAAATATATACAACTTAGATTTAATAAAACTAATTTAATATCTTAGATGTTGTTAATTTTTTCTATAAATTTTGTCGAAATTAACAATATTTGATTAGGAAAAAAATAAACGACTTATAATATGAAGCAGAGGGGGTAACTTGGATGTTTTTAGATAATAGATAAAACCTGACATTTGTTTTAACAGAAGCTATAGCTACTTACTTACATAGTCTATACTGAAAAGAAAGTATAGCATTATCAACAAATGATGAAAATATGACACAATAAAAAAAACTTAACAAATGTTAACCTAGGTAAGTACTCCCTCCGTTTCACAATGTAAGTCATTCTAGCATTTCCCACATTCATATTGATGTTAATGAAGCTAGACACGAATCTAGACTGTCTAGATTCGTTAACATCAATATAAATGTGGAAAATGCTAGAGTGACTTACATTGTGAAACGGAGGAAGTATATGCAACATCTTGGATAAAAAATTTATGCATATTTGGCAAAGGTGTGAAAATATTCACATAGAGGAGTGATCTTACTAATTTCTTTATATATTTTGCTTATGTTTATAGCACACTAATCTGATGAGAATTAGTTCGTTTTACATGAACATTGACCTGACTGATTTTGTAGCTTTCACAAAATTCTACAGTTAGGTTTAAAAAAGATGCTGGAAATGGTATCAATTCTTGGAATAATAAAGTGCAAGTTTGTAGTATGTATATATGATAGAATTGTTATATATATTCTGCAGCTATACATGTGGTTTTGATTAGATTTGCGTGTATGGACTGGGTTTATGTGGGGATGGGTGTGGTGAGGTGGGTTGGTGGATGAGGATATCAGCCATGACCGTTGATATGGCAAACAAGATGATCCTGGCCGTTGGAAGAGGGTAGGAAACGATTGGATATTATTAAAGATATTTTCGCCTATTTGTTAGTGGTCTGGTGAGCCTTTTGAAAAAAAAATTGTTATGGGACATATTTTTTTCTAAGAGATAAAAATAATGTAAAGATTGTCCTGGCTCCTTGTGTATGTTGGGGTCGTCGCCGTCACAGTTGTTTTCTGGCGTCATTCCATGGTTGATTGTGATGTTTATGTTGAAAATTTGGGGTCAAAAAAATCAACTTTTTAGATGCAGAGGTATATGATCCTGGCATGTAAAATTGCCATTCTTTTCAACCAAATATAAATTGCAAACCGCTCTTTTCTGTGATTCGCCAAGATGGATGATGAAACCGAGCCACACGAGAATAAATAACAAGATAGACCCAGATGGGCATAGAATCTATTCAGCAGGAATCTACCTTTGTGGAATATTCTTATTTATATGGTTTGCTTGTTTTTGTAACAGTTTTGATGTTGTTTTTGCTTCTGATTTATATACCTTACTACATTAGAAGATGCTCAAGCTTAGTTAGTTAGTTTAACCTCGTCTTTTTTTTTTAAAAAAAAAAAAAGGAGAGCTTAAATTGTACGTACAGATGTAGATTCTGACATGGGAAATTAAAACAGTTTGAAGAGATCAGTAGTCATGTGACCATCCCTGGGGTTAATTGTGTTTAATTAGTCATTCACTAAGCCAACATAGATATATTAGGATGCATTGATCCTGGCTGCTGCCACATTCAAAAGACCAAGAGCAGCACGCCATCTTGAATTTGACTCTTTGGTTCATGCTGGGTAGCCTTTCAAAGCCCCAAAAGATTGGGTCGGGTCTCTCTTTCGGCTCTCGTCGGTGGCTGCTTCCCACAAAGACCGCCATCAGACGTGAATGAACTGCAAGTCTGCAACTACGACTCCAGTTGCTATCCCCTTAAATTACTTTACTACTACCTTTATTCTAAGGGCCGGTTCGGATAATTGCCAAAATCAATCGTACCAAATTTTAATAATATTAGGATGAAATAAATATGTTGCGCCAAAATTTTCTACTGTTACTGAAATTTGGTAACAAACTAAACACAACCGTATATTTATCAATTTTACCAAATAGTGGTATGGTTTAAAATGACATTAATCTAAATAGGTCCTGAAATATAAAAATGCACCAACCATCAATGCATGCAGTTACATTCCAAAGTTCTCCTAGGACACATATGCCATATATTTTCGATGGATAGCCTTAATGTCTGACTACTCTCTTCATCGCAACAAATCTAATATAATACAAATCTGAATAGGAGCTTATATAAATATATAGTAGTAGAATATGTCATAATATTACAGTGGTATTCCATATTGGATTTGTTGATTATAGAACGACGAAAGTATGCGTTAACTTACAAGGTTGTTTACATTATGACGAAATGAAGAGAAGGAACGCACCTACTGCGAAGAGCTCAACAACTACTTCCTCCAAATTTCCACTCACCAACTGATCACCACCAATTCACTTGTGCAGTGCCACCTACCCAATTTCATTCCAGTGGCGTGGTACGTAGGTTCCGCATGTCAGTGTGACAATCGTACGGACTGCCATGTGTATTGTGTTCAGGTAGGTGCACTGGTCGTGGTCTCACCATCTCTCCTCCAGTCGTACGGCGCCACGTAGGCAGTACACGTAGACGGCCTTCTTCCTCCTCCCTCGAGTTGAGTTGGTTGGTGAGAGTGAGACACCGACGGAACGGAAGGAGAACCACGCCGCTTGGATTTTTCTTTTTTACCTTTTCAAATTTTAATTTAAAAAATAAAACCATTTTAAAAACTTATCTTCAAATACAAATCTTTTAAAAACACTAACACGTGACACACAGCGGGCACGTCACCCAAACGGGCGTGACAATATTGTTTTGCCACACCAATCCAGCTGGTGTGGACAAAATGTTCATATATTGAAAATAAAATTTAAAACAATTTATATTTTTTATCTATATCATTATAAAAATTGAAGATGTTTTTACCGGTATTTTGTTACTCATTTGTGCATGAGTCGGTTTTTAAGTTTGTTCGCTTTTGGAAATACATATCCGTATTTGAGTATGTTTTTAAGTTCGTTCGTTTTTTGAAATACAAAAGGAATCGTAAAATAAATCTATTTTAAAAAACTCGCATGCTAACTTGAGACGATCGAACTGCTAATTGCAGCTCATAATTTTCCAAAAAAAAATATATCCAAACGAGTTCTTATAGTAGATTTCACCTTAATTAAAACATATAAATGTTCACCCGGTACAACGCACGAGTATTTTTATAAGTAAAATTAAAAGTTTAAAATAAATAAAAATCCCGCCACCACGGCGCGATGGTAAAAGGGGGACGCTTCTAAACGGGCCGGGCACGGGACGATCGGCCCCGAACCCGGCCCATCTAACCGCTGTAGGCCCACCGCCCACCAATCCAACTCCGTACTACGTGAAGCGCTGGATCCGCAACCCGTTAAGCAGTCCACACGACTCGACTCGACTCGCGCACTCGCCGTGGTAGGTGGCAACCCTTCTTCCTCCTCTATTTCTTCTTCTTCCTCCCTTCTCCGCCTCACCACACCAACCGCACCAACCCCAACCCCGCGCGCGCTCTCCCCTCTCCCCTCCCACCAACCCCACCCCATCCTCCCGACCTCCACGCCGCCGGCAATGGCGGCGACCATGGCGTCCAACGCCGCGGCTGCGGCGGCGGTGTCCCTGGACCAGGCCGTGGCGGCGTCGGCGGCGTTCTCGTCGCGGAAGCAGCTGCGGCTGCCCGCCGCGGCGCGCGGGGGGATGCGGGTGCGGGTGCGGGCGCGGGGGCGGCGGGAGGCGGTGGTGGTGGCGTCCGCGTCGTCGTCGTCGGTGGCAGCGCCGGCGGCGAAGGCGGAGGAGATCGTGCTCCAGCCCATCAGGGAGATCTCCGGGGCGGTTCAGCTGCCAGGGTCCAAGTCGCTCTCCAACAGGATCCTCCTCCTCTCCGCCCTCTCCGAGGTGAGACGCGGATCCCTTCCTCTTGCGTGAATTCCATTTCTGGAGATGAGATTTTAGGGGGTTTATTAGGTGAGGTGGCTGTGTTTGTGAAATCCTAGGAATTATCTCTCAAGTCAATCTAACGATGAGATATAACTGAGGTTCTGGTTTTAATCACACACTCATATAACCAATTTATTGAAACATTTTGGTTTGGCATAAGAAACTGCTTACGAAGGTATGATATCCTCCTACATGTCAGGCTACTAAATTTTCACGACGGTATGATCCACTCAAAACAAGTTTCTTAACGAGTCTGGTGAGGTCTGTTATGAAATTTGTGTAAACTAAGGCAACTTTGGAGGTTTCGCACTGTACCAATGTTATGTTTGAACATTTTGCAAGCAGTGCTTTCTCCCAAAATTATGCAATTTTGAGGCTCCTCTACATCATTATAATTCCCCAATACATTGCTCTTTATTCTTAATAGCTTTGATCGCGAAATTTAACATTTTAATTCTTGAGCTGTTATTTTGTAGCATCAGTTTATCATGAGCCATGTTTGGTACTAAATATACAATCCCTTGGGTTTATTTGTTTCCAAGCATGTCATTAACTTATCTTAATGTGGACAAGAAACTGATGCCTGCTTACATTGCTATTATTTCAAGCGGGTATTGATCCTTTGACATGTGATTGATCATTTTTTTTTCTCTGGTTATTAGGGCACAACAGTGGTGGACAACTTGCTGAACAGTGAGGATGTTCACTACATGCTTGAGGCCCTGAAAGCCCTCGGGCTCTCTGTGGAAGCAGATAAAGTTGCAAAAAGAGCTGTAGTCGTTGGCTGTGGTGGCAAGTTTCCTGTTGAGAAGGATGCGAAAGAGGAAGTGCAACTCTTCTTGGGGAACGCTGGAACTGCAATGCGACCATTGACAGCAGCCGTGACTGCTGCTGGTGGAAATGCAACGTATGTTTTTTTTTTTAATGTTTATGAAAATATGTATGGAATTCATGGGGTATGTTTTATGACCTTTTTCTTTACCATCAGTTATGTGCTTGATGGAGTGCCACGAATGAGGGAGAGACCGATTGGTGACTTGGTTGTCGGGTTGAAACAACTTGGTGCGGATGTCGACTGTTTCCTTGGCACTGAATGCCCACCTGTTCGTGTCAAGGGAATTGGAGGACTTCCTGGTGGCAAGGTTAGTTACTCCTAAACTGCATCCTTTGTACTTCTGTATGCACCTCAATTCTTTGTCAACCTTCTGCATTTATAAGGAACATTCTATGATGCAATTCGACCTTACACTGCACAGTAACTTGAAATGTTTCATGCTTAATCAATATGCCATATTCCTGCCAAGCTCAAGCGAGCAATATTTGTTTGAATTTGGTACCATATTTTTGTATATTTGGGCATTCCTTTTTGGTCTTGATGTCTTCTTTTGAATTAGCATTTAACTGAATTACACTCAACAGGTTAAGCTCTCTGGTTCCATCAGCAGTCAGTACTTGAGTGCCTTGCTGATGGCTGCTCCTTTGGCCCTTGGGGATGTGGAGATCGAAATCATTGACAAACTAATCTCCATTCCTTACGTTGAAATGACATTGAGATTGATGGAGCGTTTTGGTGTGAAGGCAGAGCATTCTGATAGTTGGGACAGATTCTATATTAAGGGAGGGCAGAAGTACAAGTAAGCTTCTACCTGCCTTACTGAGCTGAATTATTCGGGTGTTTATGATTAACTCCCTAAACTAACCCTTTTTCTTTTCTTTGGCATTGACAGATCTCCTGGAAATGCCTATGTTGAAGGTGATGCCTCAAGCGCGAGCTATTTCTTGGCTGGTGCTGCAATCACTGGAGGCACTGTGACAGTTCAAGGTTGTGGTACGACCAGTTTGCAGGTATAACTGTAGTGCCTGTTTTGACATTCTACCGTTTAGTCAAGTTTAGTCAGTAGTCACATATTCAGAATATAGCACAATCTGTATTATGCCACTGTTAATCAAATACGCTTGACCTAGAGAGTGCTATATACCCTAGCTTAATCTTCAAACTAAACAGTTCTCTTGTGGCTTGCTGTGCTGTTATGTTCCCTGACCTACATGTTAATATTACAGGGTGATGTCAAATTTGCTGAGGTACTTGAGATGATGGGAGCAAAGGTTACATGGACTGACACCAGTGTAACCGTAACTGGTCCACCACGTGAGCCTTATGGGAAGAAACACCTGAAAGCTGTTGATGTCAACATGAACAAAATGCCTGATGTTGCCATGACCCTTGCCGTTGTTGCACTCTTCGCTGATGGTCCAACTGCTATCAGAGATGGTAAACATTAAGGCCTATTATACCTGTTCTATCATACTAGCAATTACTGCTTAGCATTGTGACAAAACAAATAACCAAACTTTCTTCAAAATAACTTAGAAATATAAGAAAGGTTCGTTTTGTGTGGTAAACAGTACTACTGTAGTTTCAGCTATGAAGTTTGCTGCTGGCAATTTTCTGAACGGTTTCAGCTAAATTGCATGTTTGTTCATCATACTTATCCATTGTCTTCCACAGTGGCTTCCTGGAGAGTAAAGGAAACCGAAAGGATGGTTGCAATTCGGACCGAGCTAACAAAGGTAAATTCATTAGGTCCCGTGTCCTTTCATTCTTCAAGTAGTTTGTTCATAAGTTGAATTCTCCTTCAATGATGTTTAAATTCATCATCTTCTTTTTTGGTGTTGTGCCAGCTGGGAGCATCGGTTGAAGAAGGTCCTGACTACTGCATCATCACCCCACCGGAGAAGCTGAACATCACGGCAATCGACACCTACGATGATCACAGGATGGCCATGGCCTTCTCCCTCGCTGCCTGCGCCGACGTGCCCGTGACGATCAGGGACCCTGGTTGCACCCGCAAGACCTTCCCCAACTACTTCGACGTTCTAAGCACTTTCGTCAGGAACTGAACTGAGCTTTTAAAAGAGTGAGGTCTAGGTTCTGTTGTCTGTCTGTCCATCATCCATGTGTTGACTGTTGAGGGAACTCGTTTCTTCTTTTCTTCACGAGATGAGTTTTTGTGTGCCTGTAATACTAGTTTGTAGCAAAGGCTGCGTTACATAAGGTGATGAGAATTGAGGTAAAATGAGATCTGTACACTAAATTCATTCAGACTGTTTTGGCATAAAGAATAATTTGGCCTTCTGCGATTTCAGAAGCTATAAATTGCCATCTCACTAAATTCTCCTTGGTCCTCATGGCAATGCAACGACAGTGTGAAGCACTGAAGCCCGTAATGCTCTATCACCACCATGTACAACAGAACCATATATGTCCATATGTACAACTCGAGTGTTGTTTGAGTGGCCAGCAAACTGGCTGACCAAGCCACACGAGAGAGAATACTATAAACTCAATCATACATAACAAGCCCAAGCAACAGAAGACAGAACACAACAACACTCGAGTCTGGGAACAGCAACGCCGATACACTACAGCATACTGCAACGACACAAAGGAATTGGTAAGGAAATGGCACCAAAATCTTGTAGATCTTTAGCGAGTCATTCATTTATAGCATATGTTGGAACAGACATGAGTCACAAGATTTATGATAGCTTAGATAACAGATGGTCGGAATTAACCGCCGAGAGCCTATAGATGAACAAAAACTCTGTTCCACCAGTGTTCTCATGCTAAAAACTTTCTGAAATACCCTACCCTGTTCACCGAATTTCTCCACCTGTTGGATAGCAGCATTTTACTGGTCGCTGATGGTCACTTCAACCTCCACACCTGGCTCAATGGTGATTGAGGTGATCTGCTTGACAACATCTGCAGAGCTGACAAGATCAATCACCCTTTTGTGCACCCGCATCTCAAACCGATCCCAGGTGTTGGTACCTGAAACAATGTTTACATCATTAACATTTCCAACCGCCCATGGGAGATGCAGAACAAAGAGGGCAACTAAAAATATTGCATTGATGTTTCTATACAACTAGAGTGGAAACAAATACAGTTTCAACAGGTAAATAAGAGCACCACAACTTGCAAAAGAGAAATGCTCCAACTATAGTGATAAAATAATTGCAAACAAGGGGTTCACATTATTACTTCAAGGCTGAGCATCAGTTTTAAAAAGCTCGATTTTTAGACATCAAATAAATCAGTACAAACATAATATATCATCATCTGCTCAACATGTCCAGAAATATACAATCATTAAAACATTCAGGTGCAGGTTTGCCATGCAATGTGGAAAAAAATAGTAGTGCATGGTACAAAGAAGTACTAAGAAGCAACTAAGTCATTAACCCAAAAAGGTCAGTATTTGGACAAATAATTACCAAGCATTGGATAGGCCAACCATCAGTTTTAAAAAGCTCGATTTTGTTAGTCTTCAAAGAAAGACTCAGCAAAAACATATTTTAGCATCATTTGGCCAGCCCATCATAGAACAATAACCACATTAAAAACAATATTAATTCAGACAGAACAAGCATAAGGTCCTAAAAGAAGATTTCATATCAGCAATTCCATACCAAGTACAAAATCGTAGCAATATACTCAAACTTATCAGCATCGCCAGTAAGTTTAGCAGAAACCATGCAATAACCATAAAACCATCCACACTACACTTGCTATTACAAGGCCAAGCATCAGTTTTAAAAAGCTCGGTTTTAGAGACTTCAACGATATAACATCTCAGTAGCATCTCCTTGTAACATCACATGCTCGGCCTACAACTAACAACTCAGCTCTCATCTAAAATGCTTTAATCAAGGCAATGCTAACTCCTAACAAACAACACAATTGAAGATGATGATGATATGCTAAGCATCAGTTTTAAAAAGCTCGATTTTTTTAGACATCAAAGATCAAGATCTCAGTGATCAACTAGTATTTAACATCATCTGCTCAGCAGATCATCATCAACATGACAAATCATAGACAACTGTTCTACACAACCTAACAAAACCATCAACAGACAAGCCAGATCATCTCGAGAAGAAATGTCACCTTCTCCACAAGGAGACTTCCTGGTGGTGATGTGGAGCACCTTGGTGGGCATCCGCACGGGGCCCTTCACCTTCAAGCTCTTGTCCTTGGCTCCCTTCACCAGATCACCGCAGACTGCCCCCACGCAACACACATCCAATCCAACACCAATCATCAGATCAAATGTCGCACATAAACCCCATCACCACAAAACGAGAAATCACAAAGAGGGTTTACCTTTCTCGAGGTTCTTGACGCTCTTGGAGGAGAGGGTGATGCGGATCCTGTGCTGCACCTCCTGCGAGCTCTCGAAGCCGATCTTGCCGGACTTCATCGGCGGCGCGTACGCCACGTCGGCGGCCGCCATGGCTGGCGCGGAAGGGGAGGAGGTCCTCGGCTAGGGTTTCGCCTCGCGGATGGAGGAGGGGGAGAGGTGGCGGCGCGAGATGGGGATCTAGGTTTTCGCGGCGTCGACGGAGGCGGAGGGTTTATGTAGAGGCGGGAGGTAGGAGGTGGGGTTCGAGTGGCCGTTGGATCGAATGGTCGGAGTGTTTTCTGGCCGTTGGATGTGACTCGTTCTGGGAGAGGGGAAGCATTGGTGGGTCGTGTCTATGACAGTGGGCCCAGTTTGTCTTGCAAGGGATGACAGTAGGCCCAGTTGGAACCCCTCCTCCTAGCACACACAACGAAGCATGTAAGTATATTGCACGATTAATTAAGCAGTATTAACTATTTTTTTAAAAAAGATTACTATAATTTTTTAAAACAACTTTCGTATAGATATTTTTTTTAAAAAAAAACACACTGTTTAGCGATTTAAGAAACGTGCGCGTGAAAAACGAAATATGTGGAAAGATAGGATAAGAACTCAAGCCTGTGTCTGCTGTTTCTCTGACTCTCTCCTATGGCCGCGTTTGGATATCCTAGTTGGGAACTTGACACATGATTAATTAAATACTAATTTAAAAAATATTTGAGAAATTGATTAATATGATTTTTAAAAGCAACTTTAGTTTAAAAATGTTTTAAAAAAATACATCACTTAGTAATTTGAGAAGCATATGTGGAGAAAACGAGTATTAGAAGTCGGGAAAGTAAAGTATAGAAAGCAGCCTATGTTTGCCTCCTTACTTGCGAATATGGAATTATGAACTTGCACAGCTTGTTATTTTACGCCAATAAACCAGTCTGAATGCAAATTGCATCTGAACTATTGAAATCTGAATCTGATGGACCATACAACAACATAAATCGTCAGTCGTAGCCAATTGTGTATTGCAATATACTCAGTTACAAGATTAGTAGTAACTGCAAAGATGGAATTGGATAAACTGGAGGAGCCATTGACCCAATCAACATTAAGAACAGCTTACTGAAGCTTCACAACAATGTCTACCTCTCCATTTCTCAAACGAGCATAACCTAAACTTGTTTGCAAAATTACATTTCTTTCGGCCTTTCAGGGCACAATTCCCATGAACTGAAGAAGTAGATCGCTATACGCATGAGCAAAATTACAACAGTGTTCTCTATTTTTCAAATGGTATCGGTGCTCTCCCTGGCCATGTTTCAATTTTCTCGAAGTACTTCACAGGAACAACGCCATCGAAACCCTCTGTCAGAATCACCTTGTTGTCTGAAATGTACAGCTTCATTCCATCTGAGAAACAGATTCAGCTATCAGAAACCAGCCCCTAGCAAGTTGATAAGAGAATAAATAGATTGCTTGTGGCTATAAACAAACAGCATCATACCTTGCAGTGCCATACTGACATCCAAATATATCAAGATGTTAACACTCTGCCGCATACCTGAAGAAGATGAGACGTTAGTTCATGATTGCAGTAGTGGAAGAACCAAAAGACTACATACAGGAAAGCACCATTATCAATAATAGCTTGTCATCCACCTAAGCGGGAATAACAGAAACACACTAGATTTATAACAGAAACTAAGCAAACGGCCATAGCCTTCCAGAGAAAACAAGCTCAACAATGGTGCATTTTGTACTTGCGTAAGGGTAAAGCATTACCGCTAATAACTCCCCCATCTGTCGGTAAGCCACTTGAGAAATGTACATGTAACCTTGCCATTCGTTTTAGCCCCTGATGCAAGATTGAATCGAGGTTCTTCCTGTATGTTCCATGCACACAAACTGTGGATAAAAGAATCAGTACAAACCAAACTATTATTCTGTAGAGAGTGCAAAGGGGAACTCAAAAATCACATACCAGAGACTTCATCTGCTGATAGAATGGGTTTCAACAAGCTCTCTGAAGTAACAGTCTGCAAGAGGTTTTGCAGGGTTGTTATAAAGCAGACAAGATCAACAAGTTAGATGCAATTGAGACATCTATCTAACCAGTATATAGAGTCTAACATCACAATTTGTGGACAATGGGAAGTCTATGGCACAAACTTGGGGCGTTTGCCATTGGGCCCTAATGCAAAACAACTCACTTTCAAATATTGTTTGGTCATCTTTGATTACAATGGTTAGTTGTAAACACTAAAACAATTCACTCGATAGGAAAATTAACCTAGCCCTCTAGTAAACTAGATGCCTTATGCATAGGAGCAGTTGTGCATTATGTAAATTTCAGCTAAGACCTAAAAGAGAGGCAAAACGTGGTGACCTCAAATACCATGCATACCATACCATTGCAATACACATAACTGAACATTTAGGTTTTTTGACCTTTAAACTATGCCAAAAAATGGCAGAGCTATCAGTAAAATCCTGTAAAGGTGTATGTGGTATGCTGATGAAACTTGTCACTTAGCAAAGCTATGCAAGCCTCTAAACCAAAAAAAAGAAGTGCTACAGAAGAGTATATGATTACAGAATACAAGACGCTCGATCAGAGTACTAGTGTTAGGCATTATAAACACACATGAATTGTGACTCCCTTTTATTTTGTCCTAGTTCGGGTCAATAAGCAATTGAGCGACATTGTTCTCGGGTAGCTTGTTAGCAGGGGCGAAGCTATGTTGTCCGAAGGGGGTTCCTAGGAACCCGGGTAGGAAAGTGAAATTAGTTATTAATACCCCCTAATGACCATGTGGGCACCCCCCTGGGCTCACGTATGTGTACCCCTAGATCGATAATTAAGCTACGGAGACGTAAAGCCCACTTTTTTTCTTAATTAATTTGATCTTGCAAACAAAAAAAGTTATGTTTTGAATATAGGATTTGATTAATACGAATACAAAGTTATTTTCTCATGATAGATCGTTGGTGTTTGAAGTAAAGTTGTATACATATTGTTATCCAATAATGTCAGTGCTGTATAGGCGATTTTTTTTGGGATTTTTTTTATATATAACAAGTGGCCAATAGTAGAGTGCAAGGAATATACTAATATCCAGGCTTTGCCTTACTGTTTAACAAACATTAGAAAATTAGATGTAGAGTCATAAATAGTACTAGAAGGTAATGTATCTAGTATTTGACATGAATAGTTCATAAGTTTTTTTACTTCAGAGCTAACATGAAGGTTGGGGCAATGTATTTCGGTTTTGCTGGTACAATGCATTCACGCATATTGGTTAGTACTTTTAATCGTTGTACTCCTCTTTTGATACGATTAACATCACTTATTGAATTTTCTTTTTTAATAATTGATGGGAGGCATAATTATTTAGTACAATATCACTTAAAAATTCTATATGGCTTTATGGTATGGACGCATGACTAAGTGGGGCACCCCCCTCCAATTCTCCCTAGCTCCGCCACTGCTTGTTAGCAACATAAAAAATCAACAGTAAGTTATGCTACAGTGGGAAAAGAAAAAAAAAACTATCTTGAGCAAAACACAAAATATGTGTTTTCCAACAGCTAAAACAGTGCCCCATAGAATGAAATTGCACAACCACACATGCCTGTATTACTTCTCTTTTCGTAAGTCTGAGCTTGCTGGCGATAACAGAAGCGATGCTTAGTCATCACAAACAATCATAAACAAGTGATAGTGTATTTTATACCAGTATAATTGCATCAGTGCAGGGGGTTTTGGTAGAGAACATACCGTTACTGTGTGGCCCTGGTTAGCTCGAATCAGCAGCTCACCATCTTCCTCCAACAGACCAAACCTCTGCTTGTTATCCCGTCTAACCGCCTAACACGCCATAATTAAAGCAACATTCACTTATTATTCACATACTAATAATCATCAGTTCATCACTCACAGCACACTGGTGAATCCAAACACAAGCTGGCAAGCTGAAACAAACACGAACCCTAAACCGAAGCATACGGTTGATATAACTGGGTAGATTGAGCTAGTATTACCTCCTTGATTTCGTCGACGGTGTGGGACTTGAGAGGGATCTTGGCGAAGGTCTGCAGGTTGAGCTTGAGCAGGTCGCGGACCCGCACGTAGCCGTCGGTCCTCATCTCCAGGTTCAGCTCCGACGCCATGTGCCGCAAGATCCGCGTCCTGGGGAGGGAGGAAGGAATCCAACAATCAGCAAGCAAGCAAAGCAACTGCGGAAAAGGAGAATCGCGGGAGCATGGGCGCGTTGGCCTTGTATCTTACAGGAGGCGGCCGAGGGCGTCGATGCGGTCGCTCCCATCGCCGCCGCGGCCTCTTCCGCCGCCGCGTCGCCCCCCTCGGCCGCCGCCGCCGCCGCGAGGCTGCGGGGAGGCGAAGGCGGCGGCCTTGGAGTGGTAGGAGGCGGCGCCGCGGGAGGAGGAGGAGGAGGAGGGGTTCATGGGGAGCGCGAGACGCGGGGACGGCGAGGAGGAGAGGAAGAGGAGGAGGGCGGCGCGGAGCGGGGAGGCGGCGGCCTTCATAGCCGTCGGTCGGAGGTGGACGACGATGACGACGACCCACGCGTGCGGGGGACGAGACCGTGCGCGTTGGGTGGGCCGGTTGGGCCGGAATTGGCCCACCTCGAAGGTCCGTGGACGTACCGCATGGGGAGGTGGGCTGGGCACGCTGGCCCATGGTGAGTTGATACATGTGAAAGTTCCTATTGGCTCCCTCAACTAAAACCGGATCAATTCTCCGTTTTGAGAATGGTTTTCGCTGGCATGTCACGTTGACGTTGTCCACCATGCTAATGTGGCAATTACGTGGCATTCTATTAAGAAAATTTTAGAAAGCGTTGGGGCCCCCATCTATTTTGCTGACGGCCAATCTATGGAGCCTTGGTGGACTAATGAGTGATGTTGGATTAACATCTAGCGCCCTAGCCATCGTCTTCCATATTTTGATGATGACGACTCACCACGATGACAACTTCCTTAGCTAACCTTAGTGCCACCAACACTTAAATTCTAGTAGGCTTTGTCGGATTAAAGTTTCAAGGGTGAGAGCAATGAAGACGACTATAGAAGGATGGGCGGGGTGGTGGAAAACTGGTGGAGATTAGCATGCGAGGCGCCATAGACGCGAGGATGCTTGGAGGAGGGTGGTAGGTGGGTTAATGATAGGGAGTGGCGGGTCTTGTGGTTAGGAGGTGGGGTTGAAGGTAGTGGATCCGATGACTCTCTAATAGCGTGATCCGCCAAGGACGAGGGAGGAGATCACGACGCTAGGGGAAAGACGTTGAGCTTGATGATGGTGAAAATAACAAACGGTGGATCTATGGTAGGAGCGAGGTGGTAGAGAGGGTGGTTGACCAGGATTGGGCGAGAGCAAGGTGGAGCACCGTGGCGGCGGCGACAACGACAATTTACTCGGACATAGGAGGAAAGATAGGGGTTAGGATTATAAAGGGTACGAATCTTTAAAGCAATCTTGACCACTAAAGTGAATACTATTAATGGGAAGATCAATAGATCGATGATTGCCACACACCCAAAAATGGATGCTTATCATGCCGTTGATGGCCCGAATTGGAAAGCATAACAAGAAGTGATGCATGACCTAGGTGTGTTAACTTCCCTCCGTTTATGAATGTAAGATGGTTTGGTTTTGTCCGAACTCAAATTTCTCTAAGTTTGACAATATTTATAGAAAAATCATACTAGTACAACTAAAACATCAAATTAATTTTATTAAATCCACTCAAATATATTTTTATAATATATTTGTTTAGTATTAAAAATGTGTTTTTACATTTTTAATAAACTTGGTTAAAGCAGCTTGACTTAGGCTTAGTTCAAATTGGCTAGTTTGGTCGAGCTTTTCCTTGGCATGCAAAATGACAAAAGCTATTAGCGCATGATTAATTGAGTATTAGCTATTAGAAACTTGATAAATGGATTTATTTAATTTTTAAAGAAACTTTTATATAAAAAGTTTTTTTTAAAAAAAGACACCATTTAGCTCATCCGGAAAGCACTTAGAACTCAGCCTTGAAGACAAACCAAAACATATCATATTTTGAAACTGAGAAAGTGAGGAGCATACATGTTGAAGTTACTCCAACCTCCAAATTAAGATAGCACCTTGGTCTATTGTCACTTTATGAGATGCAAATTGGGGAGATTAATTGTCTACAGCAAGCAGCCCGCAGCACATCAACTCAGTAGCAACTAGAGTATATATATAGCAGTAGAGTAGCCATGATGATGTAATCCAGTACTGATCAAAGTTCAGAAGGCACCTAGCTATCAGGACACACAACCATGAATCATACAATATATCGATCAACATCAAATGACGTTCAAGGTTGCCATCCTCAGCACGTCCTTGAGATAGACACGGCCAAAGCCCTCCTCTCCAAACTCTATGCCAGCACTATTCTGATACACCAGGTACTCTTGCCCCTCTCGTCGCCCAAATCCGACCACCAGGACACAATGGGAACGTGTGACTCCATCCTCGTTTTTCTCCCTCTTGTTAGGCTCGTAGGAGTAAATCTCGCCTGGCTTGGTGGTCCTGAAGTTGCTAGATATCTTGAATCCTGCAGCCATGACCCTAGCTTTTATCCCGATCTCTTCGGCAATTTCCTTGAATTTAACATCCTCCTTGTTAATCATCTTCCAGTTATAGATTTTATAGCGCATGCCCTCAAGGCCAGGATCTTCTGCAGCAATACCAATTTCTTGTAGCACTCTTAGTGCCACATGCATTCGGCTTTGACCTCTACCTCCACCTGGTTCTGTTCCGAGCTCTCCTGCATTAAGCAATCAAGACAAGAAGTATCTTAATGCTGCATGCATGCATTTGCTATTTGTAACACAGAAATTTTTGTATACCCCTAAACTTTTACCTAATCCCTTCTATGTCGCTAAATTTTGCCTAATCCTTTTTATGCCCCTGATTTTTTATATTATCCTCTATACTTCTATTCCGTTAATTAGTTGGCTGTTAAGTGGCCATTATATTGTTTTTCTAAAATAACCATATTACCTCTAGTGCACTCTCTCCATCCAAAAATAAACCAATCTAGGATTGGATTGGATATCACATAGTACAATAAATCTGGACATGTGTTATGTCCAAATTCGTTATACTATGTGATGTTCCATCTAATTCTAAATTGGTTTATTTTAGGATGGAAGTAGTACATCATAAAGTGGTAAGCGTCCTCACTAAATAAAATGTTTGAGTGGCTGATACATACTAAAAATAATAATTGCACTGAATTCGAAAAGGAAACTTTAGATATTAAACATTTTTTTGCATGGACTGACAATAGTGACCAAAGGTAAGTATTACTACTGCCTCAAAGAAAATGCATTCCTAGCAAATTTTAGACAGATTAGCATTCAACACAAATTATTGCCAATCTAATGTTGTTTCTAATGATTGAAACTTACTCCTTATTCCTAATCCACCGTGCATGTACATATTTTATATATATATACATATATATATATATATATATGGTGGTCCAATTTTTCATTATTTCACTAAACGAGCATGTACATATCCTATCTCACTATAAAGTTGATGCATATATAGTAACTTGTAAAGCTTAACATGCTAGTATGTCACACCATCACCTAATAGCAATTATTATCCACAATATTTTAAACAACATGCAAATGTGCCACTAGCAATTATTATCTAGAGTATTTTAAATATCATGCAAACATGATATATCAATTACAATTTTGTTGTATTTTTAGAACTCAATATGCAACCAATGTCAAATCATTATCTCCACTTCATTTTCACACTATTTAAACACATACATATATCATTTTTATAATATATTTATGCATTCATTCATATATTCCGCAACAAAATGCAGGGGAATCAACTAGTTAAAAGGGGAAATTCAGCCAATCAGTCAATCTCTCAAATTACATGCATTAACAGGATGGCGAGATGAGGGATGGAAAGATATAGGAGGGCCGGAGGTAGGATATATTCATCAACTAATTAGTTAGTAGGGTCTCACCTTGCTAGAAACACAACTTATTTAACAAATTTGAAATGGTAGAAATACATTCTTTTTGGAGGAGGTAGTACATGGTTATGGCAAAATCCATACTTTTAAAACCGTATATTTATTCAAGAATTACTTTTCAAATTTGATGTAAAGTTTTACAATTTTTTGAATTTCAATGATTTTGCTAATGTATCCTTTTGTATATTTTTTTTTCACAATCCAAATAATTGTTGCGTGGAACATCTCTCACTTTTAGTTATATGGTAAGGTAAATAATGTCATTTAAACTGTTGGGTTTAGTCCCACATCGTTAATTGGTGATGGAGGAGCATGATCTAAAAGGTGGCGGCGGTCCTAATCCATTGGACTAGTCTTTTGGGCTGTGTAGGCTCAGGACCTAAAGTTGTGGCTCTGGTTAGGCTTGTGGTGAAGCAGGCCCAATGTGATCTGGGTGACCCATAGTTGGTGGACCAGGTTGCGCACTCTAACATAAAAAACAAACGAACAACTCTTGGCCCAATAACATAAAAAACAATCTTGGCCCAATGTGACATAGGTGACCCACAGTTGGTGGGCTAGGTTGCGCACTCTAATATAAAAAACAAACGAACAACTCTTGATCAATTAGTGGAATTGGCATGTAAGGGATCAAAAGTTTGGTCAATTAGTGGAATTGGCAGGTAAGGGATCAAAAGTTACTGGAGGATATATAATGGATCTAGCTTGGAAATCTTAATAAGAGCATTTAATTTGTTGTAATAATAATAGTAGAAACAATCCTAAATGAGGTTGATTTATGTTTTATGTGGATGGTTGATCATTATTTGCGGCAGTATTACCTGAAATCATCTTATTGTACTGGCTGACGTAGTCATCAATGGATAAAGTCACCTCAAAATCCTCCTTGGGGATAGATAAAGCACCACGCCTTTTGTAATGGGACTCAGTAGCAGCCCCGAGTGAGTGAAATATACAAGTGTCTGCAATAAATTAACATAGAATTATTTACTTTGTATATATAGCTTGGGGAAGTAAAGCAAACCTATTCCTAGTGTAAGGACCTGTTTAGATATTATACAGATTGCGTGTAAATTGCGAGACGAATCTTTTAAATCTAATTACAACATGATTTGACAATGTGATGCTACACTAAACATTTGCTAATGACGGATTAATTAAGTTTAATAAATTCGTCTCGCAGTTTACATGTAGATTATATTGTTTGTTTTGTTATTAATCTACGTTTAATATTTCAAATGTGTATCCGTATATCCAATGTGGCACGACAAAATTTTTCACCCCTGAATCTAAACACAGCCTAAATAAGTCTTACTCTTTTCCCCCTGGTCATGGACCGGTGGCAGTAAGGATTTCCCACGAAGCTCCCTTCCTCGCTAGTTTACCTTCTTACTCACCTCAATGGTGTCGACATGAAAGAATGCCGAAAAGATATAAAAGAACGATGTTTCAAAAAAAATTGACCATTGACTAATGAACACGCCTTTCTTTCCTACAAAGACTGCTACACTAGTACATGCTGAGGGCACCCACAATGGTTATCTATAAGCTCTCTACAAGAGATCCATGTCAGCATATTTTCCTACTTGGAAGAGATTAAATGAAGAGAGAGAGCAAAGCTATCTACTAACATGGAGATAGTCTATAGAGAAAAATGAGGCAATGGATTAGAGAGCTATAGATACCCATGTAGACATACCATTGAAGTGGTTTACTATTAATCTAGTCTATTGTTGAGGTGTACATGTTTTATAGATAGCACCTTACTTTACCATTGCGGGTGCTCTGATAATGCTGCAGTTAACCGTTTTGGTGTAAACACTTAGGCTCTGTTCGTTTCCTGGAGTTCCCAACTCCCCCATCTCATTTTCCGCGCGCACGCTTTTCAAACTGCTAAACGGTGTGTTTTTTGCAAAAAGTTTATATACGAAAGTTGCTTAAAAAAATTATATTGATCCATTTTTGAAAAAAAAATAGCAAATAATTAATTAATCACGTGCTAATGGACTGCTTCGTTTTCCGTACCGGAGGGATGGGTTCCCAACTCAACCAAAAGAACAGAGCCTTACAGTGTTGTTGGAGATGTAGAGACAGAAAGGTTGTGCCTTTCTAAGAAAAGAGAGGATTGCTGTACATATATGCATATGGCAAATATACCACGTCGTTCTTTCAATTTATCAAGCAGCAAAATTATTCAAATACTCAGATTTTGTACCAAGGTTGCACACACAATAAAATTTAGTTGGGAAGAGATCTGATTACTTCCAGTGATTAACAAACTAGTAAGTGAGGTGATAAAGTAGTGTAGACAAGGCTAGACAATGGAAGTATAGTAAAAGGGTCAAGCATCATGGGCTCCTCCTCTGTCCTGATTTACTGAGCTGTAGGTGAATGCCCCGATGAACAAATTAATTTATCACGACATAGTATACCACTAAACCATGTAATAATCAAGAATTACTGACTAACTGAACAATCTACAAGTAAGTATGGCAGTTCCTGGTTGAGGATTTGTTTCAAAGTACGCACTGCATCAATAAAGCTTCGTCTTTTACGTACACAACACATCAGAAATGCAATTTTATGATGTATATTAGGGTGCAAAGTTGGGCCTTTTTACATACTTGATGTCCGTATGAGGTCGGGAACAGATTGATGAGCACGATGAGGAATTGAGGAGGAGGAGGAGGATTATCTTGGCGCCGCGCGCGTTGAGTGGTGTCAAGTGTGGAGCTAGTGTGCGTGGGAGCAGAGACACGATCTGAAGAAACCAAATGAATCACGATCCGATCGATCCTGCCCTGCCTGAGCTCGTCCCTGCAAACACCGCTGGTTTCTTGAGGCCGGATTTGATTCAAAACACATACACGCGGACGGACACAGAAGAGAAAAAAAAAAGCTTCGTTTTTTACGCGCAGAACGCATCAAAGACGCATTTTAATCATGTGCTAGGGTGCAAAGTTGGGTTCTTTTACCTACTTGATGTCCGGATGATCAGGTCAGGAGCGCCTGCTCCTGCTCCGTCGAAGCGAGCCGCCGTACACCGGCGTACGTGAAGGAGTGGTGACCCCGTGGTCGACCGAGGCGGCGGCGGCGCCGATGAGCTCACCGCCGCCGCGCTGGGTGGACGCAGCACAGAGAGAGGTGGTCTCTCTCTCTCTCTCTTTCTCTCTCTCTCTCTCTCTTTGAGTCTCAGGTGGTAAAGCAACAAGCGAGAGGAAGACGACGACGATATATACGCGAGGAGGAAGAAGATGGTGAGCTCCAAGCAATGGTGTCCGTCGGATGAGAAAGGAAAGGCCAAGATTTCTTCCTTCAGGTTCAGGTGGCCACCACCCACGGTCCCACCCGCACCCACACAGGCCACAGAGAATATATGCAAAAACCACCTCCAAGTTTTTAAAATCAATTTCTCCAATTCGTCGCTCTCCTCGCCTGCGCACCGCAGGCGGCGGCGGAAGCGGAACTGCTTGTCTGCTTCTGCGAGTGCGAGTGCGAGTGCGAGTGCAGCCTGCAATTTGGGGGGAATCGCAGCGCCGTCACCGCAGGAGCGGGAGCTAGGGTATTCTCCCGACTGACGCATTGTGTTTCAGTTTGCTTTTGCACTTTTACGACCCAAGCTTGTTCTTGTTCTTGCAAATTTGTTCTGTTCCCGATGCAAATGCAACTGACCCGCGCGTTCTTTGTACCGGTTTTCTTTCTTCTTTCTTCTCCTTGTGTAGCAGTTGATAGTATTTATCTCTTGTGTGTCGCCTCAGATGGAGAAGAATAAGTACATCGGAGGGGGATATCTTCTTTCAGAAGAGGGTAACTTCTCTTTTCTTTGAGTAAAGAAACATTGCAGTTTGAGTTTTTCTTTCAGAAGGGACATGTAGCAATTTGAGTTGCATGCTCAAAACTCAAAAGAGGGGAATGTTGCAGAGTTCTTTTGAATAGCCCAATGATAGGCTCTAACTATACTTCACTGCGAGTGACGATATTGTGCATCTCAAGATTCCAACTCCTTTCAGCTAAACTAGGAACAACAGTGGTGCTTGATAGCTGTTGTTCATCAATGCAGAAGCGATTTGAGGAGGACGAGTGGACAACTATGTTATTGTATCTTCTGACAAGAGAGTACAACATGTGAAAAGTGATATAGTTGTTAAGGATGTGAAACTGTGAAAGAAAGTTTGGGTTTGCTCAGAGGCTCTAGGAGGAAGTCAATTGATAGATGAAGCAAAAGAAATGGCAAGGAAGAAGGATCTAGAGCTAGAAGCAGGTACATCTATTTCAGTTTGCTTTGCTCTCTACTTCTAATGATTTCTTATTGTCCGTGTTAGATGTTTAGAAATTAAGGGTGGCAGTGGGTCTCAGAGTATGCAACCTGTGGAAATGATGAACATCATTGAGCAAACAAGGGTAAACTTGTAAATGAGTACAGTTAAACAACCCCAGCATAAGCATCCCTGCGACTCAGATCAAGTTGACCTTGGTACTGAAATGTCACAGAGGAGCTTATTGCAGACAATGTAGATGATGAAATTCACCTTGAGGAAGTAAATGATAGTACTTTGAATGAGAGCAGCTTCCCCTGGTAAGCAAGTAAGAAACCAAGGGGGGAGGGTCACCAGGGGTGGGCCCAAAGTTAAAAAGGAAAGGAAAAAACAGAATATAACTCATAATATACCATGAACAGTCTACTTGCTACGATAACATTATGAACATGCCAAGCATTTGGGGATCTAGAGAAAGTGTAAAGAGAAAGAACAACAGTAGGTAGGGGGTTAGAATTTCCATTTTGTCCACAATGTACTACACAATATCTCTTCTTTGTTGCCTCCAATTTGGGCCTACATGGCTACTCCCCACCAAACTCATGCTCTCTTATATTACAAGACCCATCATGTCCCGAATTCAAATTATCATTCTTTTCCACTCTTGCTGTTTCCTCTGTATTCTTAGTTTCTTACTCTGAACCTGTGGCTGTCTTTCCATGGCTTCCAGCACTGCCATGACAATTTCTTGGAGAACTGACAGGAGAAACTTGATCACTGGTTAGCAGGGAACCATAGTACATGAGTTCTCTTCAACTCTGCTTAAAATGTGAATGGCAAGATTTGCTTGGCATTGAGATGGTGAGTTTTTGTGATTTTTTTTAATCATTAAAGAAGACAGTATATTGAGTGTAACTTAGTAGTTGTTTATGGAGCAGCTTAGTAAAATGGAAATAGAAAATTCCTTACTGAGTTAGTCCAGATATGTAATAATACGCTGCATCCGTAGGGAGTAATTTTAGTATTGTTAGAAGTGAAGATGAGCAAAGCCTGGAAGTTTGTTCAGATGGACTTTTCTTTTAAAATTCTGCTGTAGAGCCTAAGATTGATTATAGATTGGCTTTTAAGTAGGAGACATTTTACACCGTCTAATAGCATTTAACCATTAGGATCCTTGTATGTAGCCTGAATAGGATTTTGATGCGTCCTGTCTGGAAATATCAATTTTCATTTTTAGTAGTTACTTCCTCCGTTTCATATTATAAGACTTTCTAGCATTGCCCACATTCATATATATGTTAATGAATCTAGACATATGTGTGCCTAGATTCATTAGCATCTATATGAACGTGGACAATGCTAGAAAATCTTATAACCTGAAACGGAGGTAGTAGATCTTTGGAAAGAACCCTCTTAGATCATGCTTCTTCACTAAATTGACACTATAACTCAACTGCAGTTGAATCCACATTTTAAATATGAACTTTCCCAAAACACAATTGTTTTGGGAAAGTTTTTTATTTGATTTTCAGTTTATGTCAGCCTGTCTCAGGGACCAGTAATATTTGATCAATGGCAGGCACAACTGAGAAGGCTTAAATAATGTGTTTGTGTAAAAAGTTATATTAATCGGTTTGAAGGAAAGTATAATGAAGTAAAACAAAATTTGTTAAGACAAATTGATGTTTTAGACAAACATTGTGATGTTTTAGTTTTGTGTGTATCAGTCAGGAACAGAGAGGTTCATGTTGAGAAATGTTTCGCACAGCTCTCAGAGAAGAGAGAAAGAAAGGGACAAAATGATCCAAAGTGAAGGTTTCATTGAGGCCGGTAATACAACATATTTACAAATAGATGTACGTGGGTAGGATGGAAAGGGGCTGGTCTGAAACTTACGAACCTAATTAATTTGCGACTTTGGGGCCAAGAGGGCTTATTTCAGTACATCCTTGAAGCTCCCAAAGTTCAGAAAATACCATTTCCGTATGAACTAAATAGCCACTTCAGATACCATGTTTCTCTGGTTAGTAACCAGACATTTGTATTCTCTTAAACTATAATCTAGTTAGGAGAAGTTTGCAGGGCAATGAGCATTGTCAGTATTGTGGGAATGTTGAAATATTCAACCATCTATTTTCACAGGCCCTCTAGCAAGTTCGTCTGTTCAATTTCATTTGGCATCCCTAACTTCCCAGCAAATGCTCATGACCTGGGCTGGAAAGTTTTTAAATCAGAAAGAGAAGAGTTTGCAGTGGTTGGGGTGGCAGCTGTATTGCTGTAATGTGTCTCTTTGAAATGCAGCCTAGCCTGTAGTGGTATAAAAAAGGCTCCTGTTTTTCTCAGTAGTCAGTACAAAACTGTCTGATCTCACCTCAGCAATTTTCATGTTTGTCAATGACTTGATTTTTGGGCAATTATGCAGAATGCTTTGTCAGTGCTAGCACTAGCAGGATGCTGCTGGTAGAGGTTTTCAGTGGTGAACTGGTACACATGGATGGAGAATTGGCAGTGGCTCTAAACAATGTAAATTATTTCATAATTGGCAGTGGCTTCAGAGGTTTGGGCAATAATATAGCTTCTTCTGTTTCATAATGCAGGTTCTGTCCTGGGCTGTGGGCCTGTGTCCAAATCTTATTACTGCTGCATTCTCCTGTTTTTGCATGTACAAAAAAAAAAAAAAAAGAATGTGCTATGCGGTTGGCCAGGTGGCAGTTGGCTGTATCTAACATCTTTAGCAGACAGATTAGTTTCTGTTTTCCTTTTGTTACATGCTATGTAAAAGTCATATGGTTTTTATAAAGTGAATACCTGTTTCTCCATGGCTAGAAATACAAAATGTGATCTGCAGTTTGCTTCTCTAAATTTTACTAGCTTACCAATTGAAATTGTGGATGAAGGTTTTGGTTTGCTCATAAGATCTAGGAGGGGGTCAATTGATAAAGGGAGCAACTTAGGACATACGAAAGACCATATTCCTTATTGAGTTGGTCCAGATCTGCAATAAAAATAACTACCCTGTATCTGTAGGGGTGATTTTAGTATTGTTAGAAGTGAAGATGAACAAAGCACATAAGTTTGTTCAGATAGACTTCTATTTTTAAATTCTATTATATAGCATAGGATTCTTTATGGATTGGCTTTTAAGTAGGAGAACTTTGTCCGATCATTTAACATTAGGATCCTTGTATGTAACCTGGAGAGGATTTTGGTGAGTCCAGTCTGGAAATGTCAGTTTTTTTTTGTAGTAGTTAGATCTTTGGAAATAACCCTCTTGGATCATGCTTCTTTGCAAATTGACACGAGAACTCAACTACACTTGAATCCATGTTTAAATATGAAAATTGTGTTTTGAGAAAGTTATGTATTTGATTTCAGACTGGAATATAGAGGCCCATGTTGAGAAATGGTTAACACAATTCTCGAAGAAGAGAGAAAGTAAAGGAACGAAATGATCCAAGTGAAGGTTTCATTGAGGCCAATAATAACATTATTTACAAATAGAAATAAATGTTCGGAAGGGAAATAGTTTTGCGGTGGTCGGGGTGGCAGCTGTATTGCTGTGATGTGTCTTTTTGAAAATGCAGCCTAGCCTGTAGTGCTAAAAAAAAGCTCCTGTTTTTTTTCTCAGTAAAGAACCGTCTGATCTCACCTCAGTAATTTTTCACATTTGCCATTGATTGATTTTTGGCAATTATGCAGAATGATGTGTCAAGGCGCTGGCACTAGCAGGATGCTGCTGGTGACTTTAGAGGTTTTCAATGGTGTAACTGGTAGTGGTACACATGGATGTAAGTTACTATTTCATAATTGGCAGTGGCTTCAAAGTTTTGGGCTATAATAGTAGCTGCTTCTGTTTCATAATGCAGGTTGCCTCCTGGGTTGTGGTCAAATCTAATTGCTGTTGTTTCATGATGCAGTTTGCTGTGTCCAACATCTTTAGCAAACTGATCAGTTTCTGTTTTCCTTTTGTCGCATTGCTGTGTAAAAAGTCATATGGTTTCTATAAAGTGAAGACCTGTTTGGTTCACTAAATTTTACTACTAGTGTATCCGTTATTGTTGTGGGATAAGATGATCGTGTTTGATTCACGTGTTACAGAAATGCACCCTGAGCTGACTTCTTACATTCATGCACAATGTATGAAACACTGACAAGAAGTTCCACAGTTTATTACAAGTATATCACACCAGTTAACAAAGTTCTCTGTCTGTTTTCTATGTAGGTATCAGTATATTATGGCCTACCTATTTTCTAAACTATCATGCCACTGAAGAACTACTCTGGATATATTTTGCTGTTTCAGCATAAATCAAAATATGCATGATCCTTACAGTCGAATGACTTAACTATTATCAAGTTAAAGAAAAATGGATTTAAGACTGTTTTAAGAAATTTATGTAGAACTTTTTTTTTTCAAAAATCACACTGTTTAGGAGCTCAGAAGCGTGCCATCATGCCATACTCATCAGCTCATGGGATGTCCAAGAAAAAAAACATTTCAAATAAAACACTACACCATTACGACCATCCATTAAGAACCAAAGCCACGGTAGGCAGAAATGGACGACGAGGTGTAAGGTTATATGTCAACGCATACATGAGAATTTACATTCCGTTACTCTATTCTAAAATTTGAAACTCAAAATTTATGTTTAAATAAACTTAAGATAGGTTAATAGTGTAGAAATGTAAAGATGCAGTTCCAACTCATGGCTTGAAAACTGGATCAAAAATATCTTCTGGTTCATCTGAATCATCAAGACCCTAATCCAATCATGATAACAATTAGTCAACAATTGAGAAATTATATTTAAATGCATAAAATTTAATAAAGAACACAGCAAACCTCAATCATCCTTCTTATCCTACTCGCCTTCACTTCCTCTTCCTCATCCTGTGGAAATGGAAATTATTGTCATTCATTAACAATGAAACACAAATTTTTGTTTAACTGATTATCATAAAAAAGAAGGAAAACAAATAATCACACCTCATCATCATCAGATTCAGATTCAGTCCAATTTTCAGTTTCAAATGGCATAACTATGTCCTTGTGACCGCCCACATATGTATCGCTATCATTTGGGTGCTTCATATCCAGATTTCGATCGTTCTTGCAACCATAGCAGATACCTGAATATGTCTATTTGTCAGATAATTGGCTATCAAGTCACCAGTTGGGAATTAAAAAAAAGTAAAAGATGCTATCTACCTTAATAGAATTGAGCAATCAAATACACACAACACAAATAATCCACCAACTCAAGAAACAACATATGTATTACATAATGATAGTATATGGAATGAAAAAGACAAGTGCACACCATACAATTGGCAACCATCTTAAAAGTAATTGTATCACTTGTATCAGTAAATTCAATTAGCATGGAACAGAAAAATGCACTAAAACCAATCTTTTGGTTGTTAATAACTCATATGTTTGTAAAAGTGGTCTCTTCAAATAGTTATTAAGGGTGTGTTTGGTTGAGTGGATGGGGTTGGATGGGACATGGCTGCCAGGATTTCCATAGGCTAACCAAAAATGACACATGACATATGAAATTTAACATTGTTCCTTATAATAATATATGCCCATTAACAGGAGCATTTAATTTGTGTAAAAAAAACAGGAGCATTTATTTTAGTACAAGTAGGGCATACCATTATCAGCAGATTTAATCAAGCAGCAACAAGTCACTACCCAATCTTCCTCCCCTTGCGAAGACATCACTTCAGCAAAAAATAAATTGTCAATATCAGCTCCACTGGTCTTTGCTGTGAAATTGAAGTGATTGAACCACTTAATTCCCTCAACAATCAATTGATAGTGAACAACATCTTGAAGCTCATAAGCAAGATCCTACAACAAACAACAACAGGATAAAATTTACAAAGTGTTTTATCTCCAAGACTTGTAATCCACGCAATCAGAAAAAGAGTGAGGATGAGAAGATAAGCAAACCTCAACAAGGTCATGATCATCATTATACTTGTCTAATAGCACTTGAACCATTTGACGTCTTCTCTTATCAACGTTTTGACTAGCTTGTGATCTGGAATATTTCTTTCTAGTACCATCAGGCCAATAAAGTGATTTTTGTATCATCCTCTCCACAGGAGAAACTCCATCTTGCTCCTTGAACCTAATTGGAATCACACAAACTAATGATTAGGAAGATGTACGTCTGAAGTGAGGCATATAAAGTACTATAGTTGTCAACAAACAAATGATATCACTTCTCAAATTTTGAAACTACAGGGTTGAATTGGCTATTTTCTAAACAAATTTCCATGATCATAAGTTAAAGTGTAAGAAGTCTTCATCCTTTATATTTTACATCCCAACTCCTTTTTTGCTTGTGGATAGGAATAGGTTCTTCGCATGGCAATGCTTTTTTTTTACAGGAAATGTTCCAATGTTTTCATTTGCAGGATCTTTTTACTAGCTGACCATAAAACAAGCGGGGTTTATGCTTACTTGGTGAACTTTCTTGTTATGTTTCTAGTTGTGCTAACAAACTCAATCAGAAATGATGGATTTTGGAGACCATAATTTTTTCAGTTTCTGAGCTATCTATAAGTGACTAAGTGAGGCACTTTTGTTCAGTTTGTAATTCATCTTTTACTCGTTTCGTAGGGCTAATTGACCTAGGACTGTTAAATAGTGTATAGCAAGTGCAGTACACAAAAAAGGGACAAATAATAAGCTAGAACCAGGTTTAGAAAAACCTTACATTGGACACTTCAGGCTCTCAAGATGACGATTGATAGCATCCTCAGCTTCATATAAGTTCAGAAATGGTCCATCTAGAGCAGGATATGTGTGAAAAGATCCTCCACGATCCATCCTAATGTGATATATCCATGGCCAGTCAGCAGGGTCTCTTGTCCAAATGGTTGATTCAGGAGAAGTGTGATGGCGGAGCCTTGATGATGGTGAGACCTCGCTAGTGCCATGTGGTGCGGATGGTAAGGAAGAGGTAGTAGCAGTAAATGGATCTCCTAATGTTGTAGGTTCAGGCGACTCCTCCATGGTTGCAACTTCTGGTTCTTCAAGCGTTTGTTCTAATGAAAGCTGAGTATTGCCTTCAACATGCTCCTCACACCTAAATTAGAACAAGCCCAATATTACATATAATTATTTTTTGGATATTGAATGCATAAAGACAATTCTATTAATGCCATTCCAGAATGACCTGAAAGTACATAATGCTACAACAAAACTCAAACTAAATCAACACAACTCCTTTAGGCTAGCTCACACTTTTAAACCATCAAAAGCTCAAAGATCTTTATTCCTTAACCCCGTACACCGGTACACACATCATGATTTTTCTTTTCATAAAATAAACAGTGTGTTGCTTGATGTGCCATCTTTCACTGCTCAAGCACTTTGATACACTGTAAAACTAGCAGGCATGGTTCTGCAACAGAAAGATTTCTCAGGGCAACCATGATGAGTGATGTCGCAACAGGTAAATTGAGGAGAATAGGGCATGTAGGTAACAGCCTGACAGGTTGAGTTCATGAACTGAGAACAATAAGAGGATATCTAGGGAGGTACAACAAGTGTCATGGTCAGAACAGCAGTAATCTTACCGGATGAAAAGACTGTTAATTGGGATGCAATTAATTATGGAGGGTGGGGGACAAGCAAAAAAAAAAAACTTTTTTTTAAGTGCAAGTCATTGGAATGACCAGTTTTGTTGTAGCACAATCAAAAGCTTGGGATTTGAAGTGACATTTGTATTACCAATTGACCACAAATCATTGGAGTAGCATACACTATTATATACCTAAAAGCACATTCACTGTGCTATGCCAAGTCAGGGAGAAACATGCTAATGGCTGGGGCTAAAAAACAACATACTACCCTCTGCCGTCAGTAGTGAAATCGGCATCAGAATACATATGTAAATTTTCCAGTGAGAAAAATAATTGTTTTGAAAGCAATGCCCTGGTAAGATTTGAGACACCTAACATTTGCAATCAATAATTTTGCGCTCTAGAGCTGGACCTATTTCACGATATGCCCATTTAGCCACTTGATTCACAGTTCTCTTTTTTCCCCCAACAAAAGAACCCAAATCCCCCCCGTGCATTCGTATGAATTGGCTCAGTCCCTGTCCCCAGACCGAAATTGACTCATCCAAGAGGGTTGTCCGAGCAGCAAATAGATGGTGAGGAAGACGAACTGAACTGGAAGCAATAATCAAGCAACTCCTCCAAGGAGGAAATTTTCTGGTTGGTTCTTGAGCAACTTCAACACAAGTACCAGTTACAGTTAGAAAGAGAGAACAGAGTGAGGTGAGAGGAGGTGATGGCCGTACTGTGGAAGCAGGGGCGGCGGGGCTGGATCACGGGACTCCCTCTGGGGGTGATAGTGGTCATAGATTGCGCCCAAGAGCTCATGCAAGCTTGGGAACGGCTCGCCGGGAAGACTGTATCCCAAGGCGAAATACCCGCGAGAATTGCGTGAGACTAGTATTTGCCGATCCATGAAGGGCAGTTCGACGTGCAGAGGGGGCGGGGCCATCCGAGCCCTCCTAGACACGCGGCGTTGCCTCCGTGGAGGGTCCATGGATGGGGGTTGGCGCCACCGCCCACCGGCCACCGGTGGTGAGGGCGTCGCCGGCGAACCGGGGAGGAGGAGGAGGAAGACGACGGGTGGCGGGGAATAGGGTTTCGTGGGGACAAAATAGCCCAAACCGGCCTAGTGGATGATGCTGTTAAGAGTTATGGGCCCAGAGAGCCCATTTGGAGGATGGCCCAGTAGCCCACAACTATTTTCCTCCCTAAAATGCAGCTCACTATTTCTTCCTTTTCTTTAAAAAAAAAGGGTCGTGTTTTGTTTCTTGGGTTTCGGATTTTTTTTAGTTTTTTACTTGTTTTAATCCATTAAGGTATCAAAGATCATTTAACAATAGTATATATTAGGCGACCCCTAACAAACCGGGATCATGCAATTAATTATTTTGTGATATTAGATTAAGTTTGTAACTAATGAACCCATCTAAGTTTGTGTTTACAATCTTCGCTTTAATTCGGCCCATGCTGCTAGAATAAATTGGCACGCTCGCTGGGTAGGTTGTCTATGTACCAACAATTAAAACTATATATTTAATACCGACTCTTAATGATATTTTTCAATTTTCATTTTTCCAGTATAAGCTGCACCACATATTATTTACCTGAAGAAATTCGTTGTATTTTGGATTAAAAAATCCTTATAGTTTGCAGTTTTAGATATGTTTCTTGCTGAAAATCATATCTAAAGCACGTAATTAAGAAGATTATACCATTGGATAAATCAGTTCATAATTAACTTGTTAGGTGTATAAAAAAACTATGTCCTTCTAATATATCGATAACCAAGCCTGTTGCATCTTCGAAAAGAAAATAGAAAGGAAAAAAATAAATAAAGTTGCAACATGCTAGGTCCATGCAGAGATCGATCGATCGAGTACGTACCGGTGTTCCATGACGATGTTTTTTTGCGGCAGCTAGCCGAGGAATATCTCGATCTCGATCGCAGCTAATAGTCGAGGAATTAAGACGACAATTATTAATTATTAATCAATTGAAACGTTCTGCTCTGCTTGATTTATTATATACAGATGCCTCGCTAGAAACCGTGAAGGAATCGTAATCGGGCTATATATATGAATCTAATAAACTGTACGTATATACCGTATAACGTAGAGTAATTAACGAACCACATGCATGTCGAGTCCGATATTTATCACAAATTCACGAGCTTGACTCCATAAATGAATCGGATCGTTTCATCAACTTGAAAATTCATCCGAAAGATTAGCAGAATATGTAGGGGAGACGGGTAGTAGGCCGATTGGGCCTGATATTATTGTCTGGGGGTCCATGGTTTCCTAATTAAAAGCCCGCCAAGGTATTGTGGGCCTAAAAGAGTTGAAAATAAGTCCAACTTTCTTCCCTCACCTTTACGCGGAGTTAAATCGACATTCATAAACCATAATACAGATATCTTAACCCTTTAACTTACAAAAACAGGTTAAATTAGGTCCTATGACTATACGGATGTATGGTTTCGCTAAGGGACAATTTCGTTCATACCCCTACTTTCATATCCAATATTGATTTTACCCTCGTTTTCTAGGGTTTTCGTTTTTCTCCCACTTTTTTCTATTGAATGAGGCGTTTACCCCTGTAAGAATGGTAAAATCTGATAAGGCGCACTGTAAGAGTTACTCTCTCCGGATTGATAATACTTGCCGTTTTGGACAAGGGCACGGTCTCCAAAAAATAACTTCGATCATTATTTTTCATTGTAATATGTATAAAAGCAAAGTACTTTATAAGATTAATCTATACATGTAGTCACCATATTTGAAAGACAAATATTTTTAAAATGATTCATAATCAAATATTCTAAAGTTTGATCTTATCCTTATCTAAAACGACAAGTATTATCAGTCCGGAGGGAGTAAATAGACTATCTATTGGAAAATAGTATATTTTTAATCCTTAAATCCTCTTTAGAGAATCTTAAAAAAGATTTAGGAAAGAGATTTTTAGGAATCTTAGCCATGCTCTGAGCAAATCAAAATTTAAAAATTGGCCACTGAAGTAATTAAAAGCCTTAGTACTTACTAAACAATCTAGAAATAGAACAGAAGAGTTATTTTGCTTGCACAGGACCATTCCAAAACCACTATACTTTCCAAGATAGCCATTGAAAAAACATCATAATCCTCCTTTAACAGGTAAAGCTAAAATTCGAAGATCAACCAGCACAACCACTCAACCAGGCGAAGGCCTGGAACTCAATAGTTTCACACCACGGTATAAACGAGCAATGGACAGCGTTAGTCTGATGCTGTTGAGACACAGAAGTCACGTACCATATAGTATTATAGTAAAATGGCAGGTTGTACTACATAATAACCAAAACTCCACAAATTCCTAAATAACATGAAAACGCACTACTACAACACAGACACGGTAGCATAAAAATGGTTCTATACTCATTAGGAGTACGTACTCCCGCTCCCATTCCACCTCAACCAAAAAGTTCTTCCTGTAAACCTGTTTCCTCTACATCACCAAAAAGTTTTTCATGCAAACCTGGTTCCTCAAGATCCTAAGGAAAAGGCAACAGCAAACAAACATCAATGGACCATCACGAGAGTAACTAGCACCATATTACATGTGTAACAATATACAGTATGAAACATTTCATATAGTACAAATATACCTCGTAAAGTTTTCTTATCCTCTGCTCCTCTTTTTCTTCCTGTGAAAGGAGCATCAGAAGCATGTCAGTATGCCACTGGCAATGAAGCATAGCATATGCCTACATGCTATAGACAGAAAAAAAAAAGAGGGGTGGAAAGATGGGCTTATCACACATCTTCAGACTCGCTCATCTCTTCGGTGTCATAAATTCCACAAAGATACTCATGTCCACCAGCATATTGGTTAGTATCATTTGGGTGCTTCAAATTAACATTCTGAAGCTTGCAGTTATAGCAATTACCTTAATAAGAAAGAAATAATACAACTTGTCAATCAACTGTTGTTCCATCTGTTAGGCATCAAATTAAATAAATATTTCCTAACGAACAGTTAGGCAAGTGAAGGTAAAGAAACATGCATTAATGAATATAGGCCACAAGGAATCCACCAGTTTCAAAATAACAAATGTAAAACGTGAGGTAACATATAAATCCAGTTAGCGCGAACCTGAATCTGCAATGTACATACTTTTGAAGTAATCAGTGGCCGTATAATTTACACATACATAAACGTGGTGGCCTAATCCAAATGATGCAAACGACATAGAATGCAATATATAATATTGTAGACATACATAGCCAATGTTTCTCAAAACTACATGAGTATAGAGATATTGTGAACCAACCCCATAAAAGTTAACTGAATACAAGGGAACAATTACCATTGTCATCAGATTTAAGTGCACAGCAACAAGTGACAATATAATCCTTTTGTCCTACCAAACACATCAATTCAGCAAAGAACAGATGAATTTGATAATCCAATTCATTATCTCCTTTGGTCAATGCCGTGAAATTTAAATGGTCAAACCACGTACAGCTCTCCATAATTGGTTGAAAGTGAATGACATCTTTGAGCTCGTATGCAAGACCCTGAAAATAGAATTAAGAATCAGAATACAATAAGAATGATGGGATAGTAACGCTAGAGATCGGGAGAACAGACCCCTAAAAGACTGTGATCGTCATTATACATGTCTAATATCACCCGAGCCAATTGGCGCATATCATTATGCACATCCTGCGTTACTTGTGATTTGGAGTACCTCCTCCTAGTTCCATCAGGAAAATAAAGGATTTTGCGTACCATCATGTCCACAATAGACTCCCCATCCCGCTCCTCAAACCTAGCTCAAATCAGAACAACCCATTATTAGTATAAGGTGAAGTGAACTATAGGTAAAAAAAATAATAGGGGGTTGCAGATATATTGTTAGGTAATTTTTAGATAGCAAAATGTACCAACAGTTTAGCGAGTTGAGGCTTAGGAGTTTGTGTAAAGAGTGTTTAATAGAAGTTTTAATATACATATGAAACAACAAAACACTAGCATAGTTTCTGGTAGTCGACAACAGAAAAGAGGCACACCCATTTAAAATTACGCATAACTAACTTAACTAGTTTCGAGGTAGATAAGGTGTGCATGGCTATTGGATTTAGATTTATCAATCTTTAAAGCATTTCCCTATTTAAATTCCTAACACAGACTGGTGTTTTTGCCCTGTTGTTACCAGTGAATTGACTAATTCTTGTGGCAAACTGACAATCAGTCTTGTTCAGCATCTAAGGCACTAGGTGCGATATAAGCTATACTTAACTGTACACACTGGAATGCTGCAAGCGAAATTAAAATATTCTTGGATGAAAACTTGTGCAATCAGGTCTTACTTTGCAAATTTTCTTCTATTCCAAGTATTCTCAGGTGAAAACAAGTGCAATCAAGTTGCCTAAAATTGTTTCTTGGCAAATTTTATCCACCTTAGCATGGCATTGTTCTATTTGTAGATATAAAATCGCATACCAAGCACATGGAAATAAAAAGAGGATATGCAGGTATCTTACTTTAATGGAGGATATAGGATGTTAAGATGGCTAGTGAAAGCGTCTTGAGCTTCATTTAAGCTGAGAAATGGACCACCCATATCAGGATACGTGTGGAACAGCCCACTACGATCCATTCGAATGTGGTATGACCCGCGGCGGCCTTCAGGAGGTTTGTGAACCCAAATGACTGACCCAGGGGATGAGGAAAGGCAGCACCCTGATGGTACAGCGTCAATGTTGTCTTCTGGTACTGCCTGTGGGGAGGAAGAGGGACTGGAAATAATTGGTTCTTTCAATGCTATAGCGCCAAGAAGCTCCCCCACGGACAAAACATCTGGTTCCTGCAGTGCCTGTGCAGATTCAGGCTCAGATGCACCTCTCAAAAGGCCCTCACACCTGCAGTGAACAAGATCAATTAGTACAACAAAGTATCTTGCAAAGCCAATATTCGATCAATTAGTACAATAAAAGTATCTTACAAAGTCGATATTCCAGAATGACCATTGCACAAATGCCAGGTTAACATACTAGGAAATATTGATCTGTTTTCTAAAATGACTCGAAAAGATATAGCCTTTTACCGAATTGCGGCATCAGTTTAGTAGAAGTGAACCTATGTAATACACCAATTTATAGTGCCGTTAGTTCTATTTTTAACTATATATAAGCCGACAAAAGGAATTCAAGTATCCTGCCTCTCCCCTCCCCTCCCCTCTAAACCGACAAAAGGAATGACTTTCATCGAGTATCCTACATTCCCACCCCTCCCCTCCCCTCCCCAAATATAAGAAGGGTGTGCAATTTGTCTCGTGATTGATCATCACCTCATTATAGAAAGTGTCTGGGGAACCATCAATCCTCAGAAACATAAATGATAAATAATAGGATTGAATCCAAATGCAAGCCCTTTCATCAACCTTGTTCATCGACAGAGAAAGATAGGGAGGAGGGAGGAGGGTTGAGGTGGTGTTCGTACTGTGTCGGCAGCGGGGCTGGATCACAGGGCTTCGACCGGAGGTGATAGTGGTGGTCGAGTGCGGCGTAGAGTTCATCGGAGGTTGGGAACGGCCCGACATCAACATCGCGCCCCCCGGAGGCGAAATACCCACGAGAATCGCTGTACACTCGTACCTCCTCATCCTCACACGGGTCCCGCTCCCGCCCTGCTGTCCTGGACGCCATGGATGGGGATGGCGCCGGCCGCCGGCCGGCGGCGGGGGCGTTGCCGGCGGACGGTGGCGTGGCGGGGACTAGGGCTTGGTGGAATCGAAATGGCGCAAGGCGAAGTGGCCAACACAAGTGACTATTGGGCCGGAATTGGGCTCGGCCCATACTAAAATTTGCATGACTGGATCGAGTCCTCTTGCATATGATGAGGACGATCTGGTGTCTTGCTGTTCCATGAGAAATATGCCTATCGATCGATTTCTATTTGGTTTCTTAATTATGTCGCTCGATGGAGCCGCTTGATTGCTACAGTGTATTTGCTAAATTAACCTAACTAGCAGGAGCATGGAGGAGACGAAAAAAATAAGCAGTGTATGCGCTTGGTTTCACGGATTGGGGTCGATTTATATGAAGGTTTAACAATAATTTGAGAGAAATCAAGCTAGCCACCACATGCAAAAACTCCTACAATGCACTTATATAAAGATAGGCAGATCATAATTAAATGCAGTTTGAAGATGGACTTACTTAGGATGAAGATCCGGGCTCTGGTGATCCATGATTATACTCAATGTACAGTTTTTTTTTTTTTTGAGGGATACTCAATGTACAGTTAAGACGGTATTTGGCTAACAAAATTAGTTTAAGCGAGCACGGGATTGGGGGCGATTTATATGCATCTTCTTCACTGGACAATTAACGTGAGGGAATCGGAATCGTTACCGTGTTCTGAACAAATTACTGTATGCGTAGTACTCCCTCCATCCTTAAAAAGGCCCAACCGAACCTAAAGGAGCAATCCCTATTTTCATATCTAATTGTGATTTTACCTCTGCTATTTAGGTTTTTTTGGCCCCTGCTTTTTTTTTTGATCGAATGAATCGATTACACCTGTTTTTGACGGAAGCAAGTGGACCCGGAATTTGTTAAGGGAAAGAAATAGGGATTTTGCAAATCTTGTGTTACCCTTCTATTCCGGCAAGGTCACTCCGTGCTTACTGGAATAGCATTATACTCGTATGTCTTGCTCTTGGAGCCATGGTGCTCAACGCCTCAACGGCAGCGCTGGGCTCCGGCTAGATAGTACTAGCTCAGTGCAGTGAAGCAACTATACGATCGAGCTAGTACACTCAAGTCTGAAGCCTTAAAAGGACGTGGTGATTAATTCGTTTCAAAATTTTGTTGATTATTCTTTCAAATTTGTTATCTTCATCAATGTTCGTCAAAATTTTACAATAGTCAAATCTCTGAAAATTGCATATCTGGTCTGTATATCTGAAGCTGAAACAACGAAGAGAAAAAACAGGAAGAAAGAAGGAAATGGACGGCTGAGATGAGCTGATACCGTTTCGCTAATGTAGATCGAACGTCCTTGTTTTCTTTCAGTAATTACTGTTTACCGTAAGATACGTCTTAAGCGAGCTAATGAACTGAGCTGGGTTTGTCCCTATTCGTGGCGGCAGAATCTATATAAGCCGATCCGATCCCCCTTTGCATCTATCGAAGAATATAAACCCTAGTTCTACACTTGTTCTTTGTCTTGCAGCGCACTTTAAATTCCCCTAATTCTGTTATTTTTCATGCAATTTCTTCCTGTAGGATCCCAAGTAGGTAGCCTCTAAGCCAAAAGTCAAGTTAAGGTTCCAGGTGCATTTGGTCCCTGGTTCCTGGCAACAATCCAGATAAAAAATAGTAACATTGTATAACATTATGTTAATTATAAAACAGTCTAGTTATATTGCACCCTCCATGTTGCAACTGACATGACCTCAACCAAAAAGCTCTTCCCACACACCTGGGTCATCAAGATCCTAAGAAAAACATTAGAGAGCAATCATCAATTTTGAGAAGAAAAAAAAAGACACTATACTGTATGCATATAATAACGCTATGTCTGAAATAAGGTCGCGTACCTGATACATTTTTCTTAGCCTTTGCTCCTCTGCATCCTCGTCCTGTCAATCAAGGGGCAGAAAACTGTGTCACTAACATGGTTGCATGGCATAAAATATGTTAATTATAAATCCGTTCCAGTTGCAACTGACATGATCTCAATCAAAGAGCTCTTCCCATACACCTGGATCATCAAGATCCTAAGAAAAACACGAGAGAGCAATCAACATTAATTGAGAAAAAGAACACATACTCAGCCAGAAACATGACATATACGGATATACCTGATACATTTTTCTTAACCTCTGTTCCTCTGCATCCTCATCCTGTCAATCCAGTGGCAGAAAACATGTCATTCACAATGAAGCGCAGTATATGCATTAATGAAAATAAGGAGGAAAAGATGGATCCTCTGACCTCTTCAGAGTCACTCGACACTTCAGTGTCATATATCCCAGTGATATAACAGTGGCCGCCAACATATGAATTGACATCATTTGGGTGCTTCATACTTCTGTTCCCAAACTTGCAGGTATAGCAGTTACCTTAGAAAGAAATAGATCGTTTCGTCAAATGACAGACACACCATCAGTTATTCAGTTAGGCAGCAATTATATATATGAAAATATCTTAAATTCAAGTTGAGCTAATGAAGGTAAAAGGAAAAAAAATGCAAGAAGCTATGAAAAAACAGATTATTAAACATGAAAAACCAAATGTTTCTCCCAGGTTTATGAGTATATACAAATTATGAAGTATGAACCCAAGTCCACAAAAGTTAAGACGGGTACAGCTTACCATTGTCATTAGAACTTATCAAAGAGCAGCAAGTGACCACATAATCCTTTTGTCCTTCTAGAGACATTGCTTCAGCAAAGAATAGATGGTCACGATCTAGCCCTTTAGATCCTTTAGTGTTTGCAGTGAAATTTATATGATCAAACCACCTATGACTCTCAAATATTGGTTCGAAGCTAACGACCTCTTTAAGCTCATAGGAAAGATCCTACAATGAGAAATAGAATAAGATCGGCAAGTGTGACATCAATTAGACACCACCAAAGCGAGAATGATAGACATAAAGCGAGAGCAAGAACAAACCTCCAAAAAATTTTGATCATCATTATACATGTCTAATATCACCTTAGCTAGTTGATTCATCATATTTTTGACATTCTCAAATGCCTGTGCTTTGGAACATTTCTTCCTAGTGCCATCAGGCCAATAAAGCTTTTCCCTTATCATCCTGTCCACATATGACTCCCCAGGTCGCTCTTGGAACCTAACTCAGATCAGATCAGACTATATCATTAGTACAAGGCACAATGAATATAGTACAATGTGGGGGTTGCAAAGGCATTGTTAGAGAATGTGTACCAGCAATTTAGTTCAATGTTTAGAGAATGTGTAAATGTTATCTAATAGAAAGTTCAACATGCATATGATTTGAAACAACAAAACACTAGCATAATTTCGCAGTTATCAACATAGAAGAAGCACAAAACTTCATAATTTGAAAGGTATACGTAAGTGCCGTGGAATCACACTTAGCCTCTGGCACATCAAAGCTAGCTGGGAAACAAGCTATCTATTCCTAGATAGGAACTAGAATAATGTGATCCAACTGGAACCGCCATTATTCACTATGGATCATATAAAAACAGGACCTAATATAAATTCAGAAATAGTTCAGCTCAAGTGGAGGCAGGTGAAGAAGAGGGCTCATCCCATGATCAACTGCTGCAAGCGTCTAAAGAGGTGAATGCAACTGCAGCAAATGAGGCGAAGGAGGAGCACCCTGTGTCTGCTTGAGAAATGAGGTAAGCTACAGGATTTGACCCACACTCTTGTAGTCTTGTTACAAAGTTCTATAATGCAGTTTAAGTCCGAACTGCATGTGAAATAACGCTATGTGAATGGTTAAGTTGTATAATGCAGTTTTGACCAGAAATGCTGTAAAGACTTGTCTGGATGCTGCTTTGACAAAACAGATCACTTCTATGTATCTGTGAGGATAAGAAATAACCAAACTACAATTTTGATATGAACCACCATGGTTTGGGAATCAATTGCAACATTTTAACCTGAGGGGAACATATAAAATATATGCGTTTCAGTAATTTAAATGGGAAAGGTTTTTTTCTCTCTTTCTCAAAAAACAAAAAAAAAACTGAGGGGAACATGCCTAAATGATGCTTACCAAGCAACAACTAGCTTAGGCCTTATCAACTTCTGAACTTCATAATATCTTTTTGTTGCAGTCATTTGTGCTTAACAACCTCTTAAAAACATAGTTACCTAAAACTGTTCGCTTGCTCAATTGCTTTCATCACTTAGCAAAATATTTCTTTTTATCAGCCAGTGAACAGTACAAACTACAAGTTAGGTCCTACAGTTACATTTTGTGATTCATGATCTGAACACCATCCAAGCACAGGGGAAATAAACAGCGTTAGCTACAATAGAGTGTAAGAACCTTACTTTACTGGTGGATAAATCCTGTTAAGATGGCTGCTGATAGCATCTTGAGCTTCATTCAAGCTCTGAAATGGACCACCCAGATCAGGATACATGTGGAATGACCCACTACGATCCATCCGAATGTGGTATACCCCAAGGCGGTCTTCAGGAGGTTCCCGAACCCAAATGATTGACCCAGGGGAGGAAAGGCAACGGACTGATGGTGAAGAGTTGATGGTGTCTTTTGATACGGCCTGCGGGGAGGAAGAGGGACTGCAAGTGATTGATTCTTTCAATGTTGTAGCATCAAGAAGCTTTCCCAAGGACAAAACATCTGGTTCTTGCAGTGCATGTGCAGATTCAGGATAAGAGCACCTACAGTAGCAAGATCAATGAGTCAAACAATTTATCTTAAAAAGTTGATATTCAGTCAAACAGTTTATCTTACAAAGCTGATATTCTAGAAGGATCATTGTGCAAATCCGAGGATAACACACTAGGAAATGTATAGTCTTTAACCAAGTTACAACATTTGGTTTGTAGAAATGCACATATGTTACACACCAATTTATCCGAAAAATTGACAATTTGACCTTTTTGTAAAACTTGTCAAAATTGACAACCCTCCCTCCCCTCTCTTCCCTACCCTTCCCCAGATATCAAGTTCTACTGATCAATATTCTCCTAGTCCTGGTTTCCCCTTCTGGGAGAAGCAATCTTCACAAAAAAAAGCAATCGATTGAATCGAAATCCACTAACTTTCACAAACCTCCACAGGGAAAATATATGCCCTCGAGATATAATAAGAAACAGATAAGCGAAGGGAGGTGTTCGTACTGTGAAGAAAGCGGCGGCGGGACTGGATCACTGGGCGTCGTCCGGGGGCGATAGTGGTGGTAGAGTTCATCGGAGGTTGGGAATGGCCCGGCATCATCATCGCGCCCCCCGGAGGAGAAATACCCACGAGAATCGCTGTACACTCGTACGTCCTCATCCGTGAAGGGGGATCGGGATACCCCATCCGCACATGGGTCCCGCTCCCGCCCTGCTCTCCTGGACGCCATGGATGGGGATGGCGCCTCCGGCCGGCGGTGGGGGCGTCGCCGGCGGACGGTGGCGTGGCGGGGACTAGGGCTTGGTGGAATCGAAATGGCGCAAGGCGAAGTGGCCAACACAACACAGGTGATATTTTTTTATTTTTTAGACATTTTATGTTTTAATTTTATTAATAACCATTTCTAAAAGTATTTTCAAATCTACCATGATCAAATAACTCTATCGCATTAACAACCACACCACGCTCTTGTTACGCCACCACTGCTCGTGTGACCAGCCACTTAGGTGGCATTACCGAAAGATTCAGTTTTCGAAAATATTTTTAGAAATAGTCTATTAATAAAATTAGAACATGAAAAGATCTTAAAAAAATAAAAAAAATTCCACACGTGACTAGGTGAGGACGAGGAGTGAACTATTGGACCGGAAACACTCCGTTCCGGGATTGGGCTCGGCCCATGGTAAATTTTGCGTATGGACCATTGCCCCTCATGCGTAAGGCCCATAATTGTTTCTCCTTTTTCTTAAAAAACTACATTAGTGTTTATGACTGAATCGCAGAAAAGAAAAAAAACAACGTTAGTTCTGTTGGGTTTTCAGTTGTTTTATTATATCCAATTAAAATTTTGATTTTTCTGTTTTTGAGTGTACTCTTGAACAATTCACCAGGCGAATTGCAAGATAGCAAAAAAAAAAAAAAACTCGCTAGAAAAATTAAGCTAGCCAGATGCGTGCACGATACTCCCTCTGTTTTAGATAATAAGACATTTTGACTTTGATTAAAGTCAAACTACTTTAAGTTTGAATAAATTTGTAGAAAATAATAATAATATTTTTAACTCAATATAAATTTATTATGAAAATATATTCAATTGTTAATTTAATGAAACTAATTTGGTATTATAAATATTACTACATCTGTACATAAACTTAGCCAAATTTAAAATAGTAGTCAAAACGTATTATAAAAAAAAACAGAGGAGTATATCAGATGGAGTTATGTAGGATGACGGCGATATGGTCTCTGCAATTACATGGGAGAGATGTCTATCGATGGTCTTTAATTGGTCGTTGCTTATGTGGCTTGAGCCGCTTGATTGCTACAGTATATTTGCTAAGGGCGTTCGCGAAAATAAAATTTTTGAATGTCACATTAGATGTTTAATCGGATATCGGAAGGATTTTTTTTGACACAAATGAAAAAACTAATCTCATAACTCGCTTGGAAACCGCGAGACAAATATTTTGAGCCTAATTAATTCGTCATTAGCACATATGGATTACTGTAGCACTTATGACTAATCATGGACTAATTAGGCTTAAAAGATTCGTCTTGCGATTTTCCCCTTAACTGTGTAATTAGTTTTTCTTTTAATTTATATTTAATGCTACATGTATATGTCCAAAGATTCGATGTGATGTTTTTGTGAAATTTTTTTGGATAACTAAACTAGGCCTAAATTGACCTAACTAGCTGCAGCATGGCTGCAGATCGTGACTAAATGCAGTTTGAAGATGGAGGACTTACTTAGGATGAAGATCCGTGCTCTGGTGATCCATGATAAGTTGATACTCTGGTGATCCGGGCTCGAGCCGTTTTAGCAGCTGGAGCCTGGAGGAGACACAAATTAAGACGGTGTATTTCGTTAAAAAATTAGTTTAAGCGGGCACGGGCCGGGATTGGGGGCGATTTATATGAGAAAATTGTAATTATAGGACTCCAAACAGTACGCTTCGCAGTTATATGACTCCAATCGTCGACTTCGCTAAAACAAATAAGGCCTCGCAAAAAACAAATCAAAGGCATTTGCAAATCTGTTTTGTAATCGGAATCGACGTGCACATGGTACGTACAGTTTGCTCAGAACACGCACTTTCCCAGCGAAGATGTACTGGAGTATATAAATTGACTACAAATCTTATGTCCGCTTAAATTAATTTTTGTTATTCAAAGGCCGTCCTAATTTTGTCCCCACAAGATACCTACGTTTAGCGGCTTGAGCCATATACTTCCTCCGTCTCTAAATATATTTGACGCCGTTGACTATTTTAAACATATTTAATCATTTATTTTATTCAAAAACTTTTGTGAATATAATTCAAAAACTTGAGTAGTAGTAGTATATTTAGCAATAAATCAAATGATAGGAAAAGAATTAATAATTATTTAAATTTTTTGAATAAGACGAACGGTCAAATATATTTAAAAAAGTCAACAGCATTAAATATTTAGGGACGGAGGGAGTATATACTTACAAGTAGTAATATACTCCATTTCCTAATAGATAACATGTTTGACTTTTGATTATATTTAATAATTATTCGAAAAATTTAAGATGTTTATCATACTTAAAGTGTTCTTTTATTAAGTAATAAAACAACTCATAGCAAAATAAATAATAATCATGTAATTTGTTCTTTTAATAAGACTAGAAAAATGCCCGTGCGTTGCAACGGGTAAATGCTATTTTAATTTTATTATTGCTATACAGTTTAGCTAAGATAAAATTCAGTGTGAGAATTCACTTGAATATATATTTTTAAAAAAATCATGAGCTCCAATTAGGAGTCTAACTTTTACCTCAAGTTAGCATGCAGAGTTTTTTAAAAGAGATTTCTTGTACGACTTATTTGTATTTCCAAAAACAAGCAAGCTTAAAAACTGACTCAGATATGGATCTGTATTTCCAAAAGCAAACGAACTTAAAAACCGGGTTAAATACGGATGACGTACCAAAGTACCGGCAAAAACATCTTCAATTTTTATAATAGAAAAAATGCCCGTGCGTTGCAATGGGTGAATGCTAATTTTAATCTTATTATTGTTATACGGCTTAGCTAGGATGAAATTCACTGTGGGAATTCGCTTGGATATTTTTTTAGAAAATCATGAGCTGCAATTAAGAATCTGACTTTCATCTCAAATTAGCATGCAAGTTTTTAAAAGGAAATTACTTATACGACTTGTTTTGTATTTCCAAAAGTTAACGAACTCAAAATCCAATTCATACACAGATCTGTATTTTCAAAAGCAAACGAGCTTAAAAATTGGCTCAAATACAATACAGATGACGTAACAAAATATCGGTAAAAATGTCTTCAATTTTTATAATAACAGAGATATGGTGTTGGAAGCACCATCCATGTCATAATGGATTCATGGAACAAATGGCATCTTAGTATAGTTGCTCTACATATATTAAATGGATAGTTGATATATATTAACATGCATGGGACTGATTTAGGTTCACTTTCCATAGTTTATGCGGGAACCTGCCAGAACCAATCTGGATAATCCCGTGCCTCGCCGTTCGATTCCAACCAGGTCCTCCGCATGGCTCAATGAGAAATTACTGAAAATTAATCTATTGCCTCCGTGACGGTGTGACACCGATACGGATGCAACGCGGAGGGAGCGAAATGTAACCGTGCGAGACTTACAATGACGGACGAAAATCCCAGACAAAAACATCTTAAATTTTTATAATAGATAAAGATAAATGGTCAAACGTGGTCGATCGGATATAGCATACACACGACTCATTCTCAATCAAAAGCTTCTCAAAAAACAGTATATACAGGACTAGATGGAAAGCACAAGGTTTAAGGAACGTATTACGGTTTAAATTGAGAGGACACACAAGTCACGACGTCGACGTGTGATGATTGCAACAAGAGTTAGAGCGCAGGTAGTACGCGAGAACGAAACCCCAACAATTCATAATCAAGATCAAAGATAACTAAATAAAACTACAGCTCCACAACATGGTTGCATGACATATGCTAATTATAAATCCGTTACAGTTGCAACTGACATGATCTCAATCAAAGAGCTCTTCACATACACCTGGATCATCAAGACCCTAAGAAAAACACGAGAGCAATTACCAATTGAGAGAGAAAAAAAAAAGACACCATACTGCATGCATAATAACGTTCGGTCTGAAGCATGTCACATACCTGATACATTTTTCTTAGCCTCTGCTCCTCTGCATCCTCATCCTGTCAATCCAAGGGCAGAAAAATGTGTCACTAACATTGTAATAATGAATCTTAATATATGCATGAATGTCTTACAAAAACTAAATGGGGGAAAAGATAGATCATCAGACCTCTTCAGAGTCACTCGACACTATAGTGTCATATATTCCTTTGATATAACAGTGACCACCAACATATGAATTGACATCACTTGGGTGCTTCATACTTTTATTCCCAATCTTGCAGGTATAGCAGTTACCTGAGAAAGAAATAGGTTGTTCGTGAAATGACAGACACACAATCAGTTAAGCACCAATTATATGTAAATATCATAAATTCTAGTTGAGCTAATGAAGGTAAAAAGGAAAAAAAATGCAAGAACCGATGAAAAACAGATTAACTAGACATGCAAAACCGATGCTTCTCCCAGGTGCATGAGTATATACAAATTATGAAGTCTCCCAGGTGCATGAGTATATACAAATTATGAAGTATGAATCCAAGTCTATAAAAGTTAAGATGGGTATAGCTTACCATTGTCATCAGAACTTATCAAAGAGCAGCAAGTGACCACATAATCTTTTTCTCCTTTCAAAGACATCGCTTCAGCGAAAAATAGATGGTCACTGTCCAACCCATTTAGTCCTTTAGTAGTCGCAGTGAAATTAATATGATCAAACCACCTACGACTTTCAATAATTGGTTCATAGTTAATGACACCTTTGAGCTCAAAAGCAAGATCCTGCAATAAGAAATACAATAAGATCAGAAAGTGTGGAATCAATTAGACATCATCACAGTGCAGAAAGAATGAGACAGACAACGAGGGCGATAACAAACCTCCAAAAGATTGTGGTCATCGTTATACATGTCTAATATCACCTTAGCCAGTTGATTCATATTATTATTGACATTCTGAAATGCTTCTGCTTTGGAACATTTCTTCCTAGTGCCATCAGGCCAATAAAGTGCTTTCCTTATAATCATGTCCACGTAAGATTCCCCAGCTCGTTCCTCGAACCTAACTCAAATCAGATCAGTCCATACCATTAGTATAAGGCAGAATGTAGATAGTACAATGCAGGGGTTGCAAAGGCACTGGTAAGAAGTTTGTTATAGAGATTACATTCCAATAAGTTAAGAGTTTCAGGATAAGAAAAGTTTGAGTAAATGTTGTCAAATTGAAATTTAGCACTCATATTAGTTCAAACTAAAACAGTAGTATGGTTTTTTGCAGTTATCAAAGAAGCACGAAAATGCATAATTCAAAAGGCATGCGTAACTGAATTTGCTTGTTTCTAGATATATAAGGGCATGGCTATCGTCTTGTAGTTTATCAATCTATAGAAAGTATCATAGTTTCAAGGTTTAGATCCTAAACTCATCCTGGTTTTTCCGTCCTATTTTTACCTGCGATTAGACTAAGTTCTGTGTGATCACTCGTGTTTACCTCTGACACATTAAAGCTAGCTGAGCAGCAATATAATTGTAAACGCTGCAAATGAAATTGAAAATTCCTAGGTAAAAACTAGTGAAATGTAGCTTATTTGTGAACTTCGTGTTATCTTATGGTTTGCAGTCATTTTGTGCTTAACAACTCCATGCCCCCATATATACAAAGTTACCTAAAACTGCTCGTTTGCTCAACTGATCTCGTCACTATCAGCTACTTTAAATTACAAGTTACAGCCCACAATTCTGTTCATGACTCATGCCCTGAATATCATACCAAACACATGGGAAATAAATGGAGTAGTTGCAAGCTACAACAGAGTGTAGGAACCTTACTTAACTGGTGGATACAGCTTGTTAATATGGCTACTGATAACATCTTCAGCTTCATTCAAGCTCTGAAATGGACCACCCAGATCAGGATACGTATGGAAAGACCCCAAACGATCCTTTCTAATGTGGTATACGCCAGGTCGGCCATGAGGAGGTTTCTGAACCCAAATGATTGAGCCAAGGGATGAGGAAAGGCAGTGCCCTGACTGCGGAGCATCAATGGTGTCATCTGGTACTGCCTGTAGGGAGGAAGTGGGACTGGAAGCGGTTGATTCTTTCAATGTTGTAGCACCAGGAAAGTCCCCTAAGGATGAAACATCTGCAAGACCAGAGGTACCTCCCACATGATCCTCACACCTGCAGTGAACAAGATCAGTGAGTACAAACAATTCATCTTATGAAATCAATACTTCGTTGTACAATGCAGGTTAATAGACCCAGAAATATATATATAACTATGATTCATGGAAATGCATATTTTTATGAGATAACCTATTTGACACTTGACAGAAGACAACCCCAAAAATCTTGTGAATTGTGGACACGTTGGATCGTTTTGAGATTCATGCAACCAGCCCTAACCCCTTGTTCCTCCCTCCCTCAGTCCTGCCGCCATTCTGCGGATCGCCTGCCTCCTCCTCTGCCACCGGCCCAGCACGCCGCCGCTGGAAAGCACAACGGCGAGGTGCCCCCACAACCTAACCACTCGACCAGTAGATGCCTTGTCCACTCCGGCCTACCTCTAAACTCAGGAACCTCCCCCCTGTTCCCCCTCTGCCCACCACCATCGTCGCCGGAGATCAACGAGCTCACCAGAGCAGGAGGTGATCATGTTGCATGAATCTCGGAGCAGACCAGAAGGTCAAAAATCTGTAAGATCGGGGCTTCGATTTTCTATCAAATGGAGGTCCTCAAGCCTTCTTCCTCTCCTCAAAGATCAACAGTCGCAACTCGTCTCCTCCTTATTAGGGAATAGCCATGACCACAAGTAATTAAAATAATTCGATTTAATCGAAATTAACCAATCCTAGATTCCTAGTTCCTTCAGGTATTCTATCTATCAAAACAAAACTCTCTCTAAGATACCAATTAGAAACAGAGAAAGGATCGAGGGAGGTGGAAGGGGAGAGGTGGTGGTCGTACTGTGCCGGCAGCAGCGGCGGCGGGGATGGATCGCGTCCTGAGGCGAAATGCCCACGAGAATCGCTGCACGCTCGTGCGTCCTCATCGGTGAAGCGGGGTCGGAACACCGCATCCGCACAGGGGAGCCGCCGTGATCTCATGGACGTGCGGCCGCGCGTCGGTGGAGGGGCGATGGATGGATGGGGTTGGCCTCCTCCGGCGGTGGGGGCGTCGCCGGCGGCCGGCGGACGGTGGCGTGGCGGGGACTAGGGCTTGGTTCGTCGTGGTCGCCGGCGAACGCGGGTGAGCGAGGTGAGGAAGGATGGCTATTGGGCCTAGCAGAATTGGGCCCACTTTCCTTTGGACTATCCCCTCGTGTGCAAGGCCCATAATTACTTCTGTTTGGTTTCAAGTTATTTTTTTCAGATTTTCCTTTTTATGTTTTTTTCCCCTGATTTTGAGCAAATCCTCCAGGTGAATTGTGATGAACTGATGATAAAACAAAACAATAGTAGTGTAATAGAAAACAAAAAATAAAACTCGCAAGAAAAATTAATGCGTGGACAAAGCAATATTGCATATAGACAGGTGGACTTACGTAGTATGACGATCTGGCCGGCTGATCTGCTGCTCCTCCTCCATGTCGATGATTATTTTTTTCTCTCGATAGTTTCACGATTGGTCTAATTATTGGTGGAGATGAACAAATTTAGACAGGTAAACATGGATTAGCGGCTAAGTGCGAGTTATGTACGTACTACCTAACCGAATTTTTATCGTGTTCTGAACAAACCGTGCATACTACATGTACGCTGAGTCCTACAAATACACAGATTCGCAAACGCAACATCACGATCAGATTGGTAATTGGATTGCATAGATACCCAACTGAGAAACAGATCAGAAGCGAGGGAGAATCGGTGGAGATATGTACGGGATGATCAACGGAGGGCGGCTAGATGGAGACCGGCTCCGTCCGATCTCCGGTGGGGCTTCGCCGGAGATGACTGATGAGGTAGACGATGCGTAGCGGGGCCGAGGGCTTCGTGGGGCCTCATTTGGAAGACCACTGGGCCAAAATTACCGGCCCATTACTGTTAAAAGGCCGGGGATTATGGGCTTCAAAAGCAGGACTCCTTCCGACAAAGAGCCTGGAGGAGCAAAAATATCCATAATTATGAAGCAAAATTTTTATCTATGTACTCCCTCTGTCCAAAAAACCCTAGGACTGGAAGTGATATATTCTAGTACAACGAATCGGTACAAATGTATATCCAGATTCATTGTACTCAGATGTGTCACATCCAGTACTAAGTTGGTTTTTTTATGGAACGGAGAGAATACTCTTAGAGCAGGTACAATAGTAGCCTATAAGCTAGCTATAAACATATTTTAAGGAGATAAGAGAAGATAGAGAAGAGCAGTTGGCTACAGATTTGTAGCCGATGTGCGTATGGCATGTGGGATCAGATATTAATAGGTAACTATTGTATGAATTAGCTATTAAATTGACTATAAATGATTTGGAGCTGATAGTTGGCTACACTATTAAACTTGTTCTTATAGGAGTAGCAGTTTTTAAAAGTAAATATTGAAAAATAAACCATAATAAGAGAAACCTTAGATTGGACTTTAAATTAACTTTTACAATTTAAATTGTAGTTGTGGCTGGTAAGCTATCAAGCAAACCATGTACACCATGTTTCAAAGTCTTCTGTTAGACGGATTTTCATTCCAAGTTTAGAGAGGTAAATTGATTTGCTTGCTTATTCTTGTTATGCCATTTTCATGTTGTTAAACCTGTCTTTAAGAGAAAACAACCAACTTGCATTTATCCCTGGTTTAGTTTCCTAATTTTTTTCCAAAAACATCATATCGAATCTTTGGACACATGCATGGAGCATTAAATATAGATTAAAAAACTAATTGTACAGTTAAGGGGAAATCACGAGAGGGATCTTTTGAGCCTAATTAGTCCATGATTAGCCATAAGTGCTATAGTAACCCCACATATGCTAATGACGGATTAATTAGTCTTAAAAGATTCATCTCGCGATTTTCAGGCGAGTTATAAAAATATTTTTTTCATTCATGTCTGAAAACCCTTTCCAATAGCCAGTCAAACATCCGATGTGACACCCAAAAATTTTTCTTTTCGCGAAGTAAACAGGCCTTAGGCAAGGCCTGGTTTAGTTCCCAACTTTTTCTTTAAACTTCCAACTTTTCCATCACATCAAAACTTTCCTACACACATAAACTTCTAACTTTTCCGTCACATCGGGTTTGTTTGGTTTAGTGCCCTACCAAAGTATTGATAGCGCCAAAATTTAGGCATGTTTTGGCACTACCAATATTTTGGTAGGGTAGTATTTAAAGTGAATGAGTTTGGATTATACTAATTGAAAGCCAAATTTTATATTATAGTTAAGAAAGTTTTAGAATTATGCCAAATTAACTATGGGCATTACCATTTACTTGCCTCCAAACCAAACCATTAAATTCACTATTTAAGCTACCAAAAAATTGGTAGGGCACATTTTAGCATCAATCCAAAATGACCCATCGTTTTAATTTCAATTAAACTTCCAATTTTAGCGTGAACTAAACATACCCTTAAGAGCAAGTTTAATAGTATAGCCCACTACTAGCTCCAATTCATCTATAGCCAGTCTAATAGCCAATTCATACAATAGATGCTTACTATACTATTAATATATGGTCTTACCTGTCATACACACACTGTGTCTTGGAGTCTGTGCTGCAGCTGGCTACAGATCTGTAGCCCGCTGCTCTTCTCTCTCATCTTTTATCTCATTAAAATATGTTTGTAGCTGGCTAATAGTCTGCTATTGTACCTGCTCTAAGCACAATTGAAAAATCTTGGAAGTAGGGAACGGCTTCTTCTCCCTCACCACAAAATGAACATTGAACAAACCAAGAAAAAAAATAATGAAATGACCCATTTGCCCTGCATTCCAAAGCACTCACATTCATTGCCTTTTGAGCTTGACCCACACCACTCTGAGGGCCCTTTGAATAGCAGGGTAGAAAAAACGGAGAAATAGCAAAAACATAGGATTCTGACAGGGATTGAAGTGTAAAACAGAGGATTGCAAAACACAGGAAAAACATAGGAATTGTCGTTTGATTGGAGCGCAGGAAAAACGCAGGAATCGGATGAAAGAGATAGACTTAAAGGAAATTTTCCAAGAGGTTGGAGCTCTTGCTAAATTTCCTCCAAAATCCACATGTAATGTGCCATTCCATAGGAATTTCATAGGATTTAAAAGCTTTAATCCTTTGAATCAAAGGGCTAAATAGGAAAATTTCCTATAGAATTTGAATCCTATAAAATTTCTGCATTAAGGCCCCCTTTGAATCACAGGAATGAAAAAACGGGAGAATGGGAAAAACATAGGATTCTGATAGGAATACAAGTGTAAAACAGAGGATTGCAAAACACAGGAAAAACATAGGAATGACCGTTTGATTGAGCCGCAGGAAAAACACAGGAATTTGAGGAGAAACACAGGAATTTGAGGAGAGAGAAAGACTCGAAGGATTCTTAACATGAGGTAGAACCTCATGTTAAATTTCCTTCAAAATTTGTATGGGAAGAGGTATTCCATAGGAATTTTATAGGATTTCATAGGATTCATTCCTTTGATTCAAAGGGCTATATAGGAAAAATTCCTATAGGAATTAAATCCTTTAAAATTTCTATGAATTTCCTTTAAATCAAATGGGGCCTAAAAGGGGGCCATGAATCTTTCACTCCACTCTGCTCAAATATAGCACTCCACTCCCTGGTCAGTGCTACTTCACTCTCCCACTTCGAGGCTACAAGCTTTTCTTGCTTGCTGCAATGGCCGCCTCCTCCGCGCAGCTCATCTTCCTCCTCCTCCTCGCCGTTCTTGCCGCCGCCTCATCGCGCAACGACGAGGAGGCCCGCGCGCTGATGGCGCTCAAGGAGAGCCTGGACCCGGCGGGGCGGGTGCTGGGCTCGTGGGCCCGCTCCGGCGAGCCCTGCGGGGGCTCGTTCGTCGGCGTGACGTGCGACAGCGGCGGCCGCGTGACGGCCATCTCGCTGCAGGGCCGCGGGCTCTCCGGGACCCTCCCTCCGGCGATCGCCGGGCTCCGGCGGCTCACCGGGCTGTACCTCCACTACAACGGCATCAAGGGGGCTATACCCAGGGAGATTGGGAGCCTCTCGGAGCTCACCGACCTTTACCTCGACGTCAACCACCTGACCGGGCCACTGCCCGTGGAGATTGCCGCCATGGAGAATCTCCAAGGTGAGGTTTCTATGCTGCGTTCTTCAGTTCTTGTACTATTTCGTCTCCAAGATTGCATTTCTTGGGTTGAACCTTCGTTTTTTTTGTTGGGTAGATGGGGTTTGCATTTGATTTATGGTTCTTTGTTTTCTTAAAGATTGTTCGGTACTTCTTCTTGTTTCTTGTGATGCTTTTCAAATAAAACTGGCATAAAAATGTCGCTTAGGAGAATGGAGCAGTGAAGCCTTCCATTTTCCACGGTTTCAAAAACCAATGATGTACTAGTAGTCTACTAGTTCCAACTACTCCTTGGTTTGGTATATAAATGCTCCATTTTTGTATTCCATTTTTCGTCAGTTTGTGGCGGGATTTTGGCATGAATCGGTACTTTTAGTTTTGGGTTCATTTATTAAGCATCAGTACAATGGTTGATTTTTGAAATGGGGCAGTTTATCTGTTATCAAATCCGATTTGTATGTTTCTATTCCGATTCTTCTCTTGGAGCATTGCGACAGTCACGTGTTCATCCATTTTGATTTGATTTATCCTGACTGAACTGCTGCTTGGTTTATTAGAACCCCACTTGTCTCTGGTTTAGATTTTTGTGGTAACTTCAGGTTGAATCTTGGTACAAAACACTTTACAGTGCATTATGAACTTCTTTGATTTGATTTACTACTCGGCTGTTTCTGTCCAATGTTTGTGCCTTTTCTGTAAATAAATCCAGTAAAGAACAAGTGACATTTTGTTCTTCTGCTGCCTTGGCTCCTTCCTTCAGATTTCAGAATCTGCACATATATCTCATACTTGTTGATTAGGCCTTCGTCGAGCATGTGATGCTTCTGTTCATGTTTTGGAAGTCTACGTACCAGTGCCTGCTGTTCCCTAGTTGTTAAAGAGTCAAATATTATTTTCTGCCACTAGATCTGTTTCAAAGATTCAATAATATGATACATAGACTTCGCAATGGCTCATTGAGAATCAAAAGTATGATATGATGTGGTGCAGATTTTTTATGTAGCATTTCTTTCTCTTTTTTGCAGTTTTGCAGCTGGGTTACAATCAGTTGACAGGCAGCATACC